AACACTATGATTATTATTATAGATAAAATTATTATAAAAATTCTCTCTAACCTACGGAGTGCAAAATTAATAATGGCAGATGTTTTTTTACAAAATCCACAAAAGAAATTGAAATCATCTGTAAAACCAATTAAAATAGGTTATTTTTGAAGATAATAACTAATTTTTGTTAATGTTGTTGTTAAGAATTTTTTTTCAAGGATTAAACAATTTTAACTTAAGGTGGAAAACACTGAAATTTTTTTTTTTAGTAATTATCAATACTTTATAAATTTAACTTCATATACATAAAGTAATAACAAAATTAACTAAAAAAAACAACAACGATTTTTTTGTGGGTAAAATGGCACCTGTAGCCAAAAACGCAAAAATATTGAAAAACCCTGGCCAACGCATCTAAAGATGTACTTAATTTTGACAAAATACTTTTTGTGTACTTGTTCTTTTGGTTTTTCTGTGATATGACCAAAACAGATTTTTCACAATACTTTTTGATAGGCAAACATATTGGGCCAAAGTGGGGCTGAAAAATTTGACCAAAGTTTGTGACTTTGTTGACATTTTAAAGGACTAGTTTCAATTTTAACCCGGTCAGGGTTTTAAAAACTATTAAAAATTTTTAAATTTATCTACATTATTTTAACTTTTTTTTTTTTTTTTTTTCAAATTTATGTATTTTTTTCAAATAATGTAGATAAATTTGTAAATCATCCTATAATAACAGTTAAATTATACTATGCACCAGAGTTGTTAGTTCTTGTTAGAATTTTAACATTGCTGAAAATGATGGTATAACTATTTTTTAATAATTTTAATTTTTTAAGCTACTTTTTTTCATTTTGCAGGTATGATATAAAGTAGCTTCCTTAGCAACATCTATAGCAGCGGAAAAAAGAAGTGTGAAAACTTTTGTTTAACCACTATTTTAATATGTTTTCGTGTTCTGCAATAATAAAAAGATTTAGTTTAGAGGCTAACTATGGTCAGTTTTAAAAATAAAACCGTTTTACTTATTGAAATTGCATCATTTCATGTTAATTTGATTACTTACTTATGTGACAAACTATTATACCAACACAAGTTGTGTTGATACAATGTTTAATTGAAATATTTTTTTTAGGTTAATAAATTAAATATGGGTAATATGGGTAATAATAAGAATACTTCAAGATAACTCAAGATAACAAGATAACTCAATAAGTTCTCAATAATAAAATTGTAATAAATTAAAATAAAATAAACAATAATAAAACAAAAACTCATTTATAACATAACTCATAACTCAAGGTAACAATACTTCAAAAAAAAAAGTAAAAATGCAGATGTAGATGAAAACAATTCTCCTAACTTGCCTGAGGGTAAAAATTTCTCAAAAAACAAGGGGTTGCACCCTACATTACCAAATTCGCTGAAATTTGGCACAAATGTGGGAACAGCATTATTTCTGGGTGATTTTTCAGAAAACTATAAATTTGTAGTTCAGGATGAAATGCAAAGCTTTCATTGGACAAATTTACAATGTACACTTCATCCAGTGATTATTTATTTCAAAAAAGAAGGCATTCTCAAGCACAAATCCTATTGTATTATTTCGGATGATATGATTTATGATGTGAACATGGTTTATAAAATTATTGAAGTTGTTTGCAATGATATAAAACAAATTTGCCTCAAATAAAAAATATTGAATATTTTTCAGATGGGTGTGCAGGTCAATATAAGAATTGCAAAAATATGTTAAATCTTTGTTTCCATTGTGAAGATTTTGGTTTTACTGCTAAATGGAACTTTTTTGCAACTAGTCACGGTAAGCAACCTTGTGATGGAATAGGTGGTACAGTCAAACGTCTGGCAACACTAGCAAGTTTGCAAAGAGATATGGGTAATCATATTTTATCTCCACAAACAATGTATAAATATTGCAATGAAAACATTGAAGGCATAAATTTCATATATATTTCATCAGAAGATTTAACTTTGGTGAGAACCGCTTTTAAAGAACGATTGGATACTGCTAATACAATACCTGGAACACGTAGCTACTATCAGTTTGTACCACTTGGCCAGCAAAAGGTAAATTATTATTTTTTAATTATACCTTTTATCATATTTTAAAATACACGCATAACTTTTATTGATAAACTTAAATAGATATTAGATTTTTGCAGAATCATTATCAAAAATATTTGTATTTTATTATATTTCCTCTGCATTTGCTATCTATGCATTTAATAAAACATGTTTGATAAGTAAAACGGAATAATTGCATATGTTACTATTTTGTTTAGGTAGGCACTAAGCTATGCAGTGTTGATGAAGAATTTGCTTTAATTCATGATTTTGGAAATATCCAGATAACAACTGTAAACCTAGTACCAGGTGATTATGCCTGTGTTTCCTATGAGCAAAAGTGGTGGATAGGAGTCATAGAAGATATCAATTTAGAAGAAAAAGATGTGCTTGTAAAATTTATGTGTCCTAATGATCCTGCATGGTCGTTTAAATGGCCACCAAAGGAAAGCCAATGCTGGATTCCTGATGTCCACATTATTTTCAAAGTTGAGGTACCGATAACAAAAACAGGACTTTGCTACTATTTAGCCAAAGAGGACTTAGAAAAGTTATTTTCCTAAGGAAGTAGAGATTTTTATATTTATGAGTCTATTATGTCTTATCCATTCTTTTTTTAAATATTATGTTTTGTGAACCAACTTGTAAATAATTTGAATGTAAAGCATATATAAAATCACTAAAATTTTAGTATTTTTTAAAAAAAAAATTATATACGTTTAAATTTTGTTGTAAATATCATATGAAAATGAAAAAGATAATAAAGTCACTAAATTTTTAGTTTCTAATTTGATTGATTGGTAAACGGTTGGGGTTATATTAAGTGTCTAATTTAAAAAGCATTAAAAAATTTTGTGTCTATATCAAACATCAATAATTCCTCAAGTAAATATAAGGCCAAAAAAAAATTGGTTCGAAAAGTAGGTATTGATCTTATTTTTAAGAAAATCGAAATTAATTTTTTTTTATATCAGTCAGATTTTTTTTATAGCTATAATTGTCAATGCCCTTTTTTCTCGGCGTTATAAAGTGTATTTTATGGATCTTAAAATAAGCTACATTCCCTTATTTTGACATATAAAAAACTATATTTTTCGGATTTAACAGGTTTTAAACTCTTTTGGTACACCATATTAATGTGAAAGTAAACGGAATAATTTTCGGCACTTTTCCCCCCTCAGTTTTTAGTCAAAATCAAGGAAACTTCAAATTGCTGTAAATTATAAACATTAAGGAATTTTATGAAAAAAAATTACAATCTTTCCTAAAATATGTCTATAAACATTTGTGCCAAGTTTCAAAAATTTTGGTGATATATTTGGTATATTTGGTGATATATTTGGTGCAGATTTGTGTTTTTTTGTGTTTGTTGAGAATTTTTTACCCCTGAATCGATTTATGAAATTATCAAGAAAGACTTAAATGGCTGTGTAACGACAATTTATTGAAAAAATGCCAATGAAAAAAGGCCAACCACAAAAAAAAAAAAGAAGAAGAAAAGATTTGAGAGTAATTAAGAAAGGTTGGATTGATAAAGATTAAGAAAATTATCCAAAAAAATCTACAAAAAAGGATATTTTTAAGTTATTTTTACTTATTTGCCTTATATCTAAAAATAAAGATTTTAACATAATTTATTAACTCAAAATACGAAATCTCAACATTAAAAATATTTAGATCCCTAAATTTTCCCCAATTGTTCAATACATATATATGTAGAGAATGAAGTAGAATCTTGATAATTGAATGAATATTTATCGATTGATATATTTTTTTTTTGAACCTTATTCCCTAGAAATTAATCAATTTTCAGTTTTTTATGACTTAAAAGGAATATTTTTGTTTCTATATAATGATCTTAGTTCATCCTCTACCTCATCAGAAAATATTATTGCAAAGTACCGAGTTGTTTTAATTAGCTATTCTGGAATAATTGTGTTTTAAAAAATAAAAAAATATATAATTTTTTGTGCGTTTTTTATCAATAAAGTCCTCTTTTATATATATATATATATATATATATATATATATATATATATATATATATATATATATATATATATATATATATATATATATATATATATATATATATATATATATATATATATATATATATATATATATATATATATATATATATATATATATATATATATATATATATATATATATATATATATATATAAACCTTCATATTTTATTATTATTTTCATTAAATTTATAAAACTGATTTTATAATTGATTTAAGTTATTTTACTAAAAAAAAAAGACATTTCCCGTGAAGCCACCTTTAAAATTGAATTTAATGAAGTTCTATAGCAAATTTTCAAAAATGGTTTTGAGATTGTAAATCTTTGATAAATTTTGCACAAACCAAGAAAAAAATACTTTTTTTCAAAAATTTTATATTTCAAAAAATTATATTATTAAAACCCTCTGATATAAACTATTATATTAGAGGAGTTTTGCACCTTAACATAAGCGTTAAGGTTACTTAGAACCTTTAAACTTTAGAAAATCGTTGAAACCTCTAAAAACTCTTGTGCAAGTAAGAGGTTAAACCCTCGCTAATCAGACGGCCCTAGACGTTTGTCTATTTTGCCTTTACCTAAGGCCGGCCCTGATAATGTTATACTAAATAAGGCGTCAATTTGATACTTTTAAGATTAGCTCTTTGTTTGTTTCAATGTTCAAAAATATTTATTATAATAAATTGATGGTAATTTTTTTTAACATTTCGTTGCAGAAACAGCTTTAACGGAACCGAGTTTAACTGCTAACAGTTATTTTGACTTTATACATATTTAACGGAACCGAGCTTAACTGCTAAAAGTTTATACATATTTAATCTTTTTAAAAATTCAATGATACAACAATATAAAGAAGAATTTAATCAAAATATCTTTAAATAAAAAAAAAAACCTGAGTTATAATTGACCTTTTACAACATAATTTTGCACAGACAAAACAACGTCGAATTCGGCATCAAGCTACAACAATGTCAAATCTGACATCATTTTATAACGATGTTTCTGAAACGCGTTTGAGTTCTTAAAATGTCTTTCATAATTATTTATCTTTTTTAAAATACTGGAAAATAGTTCACTAATATTTTTATTTAGTTCAGCTGATACTTCCAGGTACGAGCAGCTGTATTTTACGGCTAATCTTAAAGCCTTTTCAAAAATTACTTCGCGTTTACTGCTGTCTGATTGATTTCCGACCAGTATACATGGAAAAGTTTTTCCTTTTATTTTTTGAATTTCTAAAAGTTTATTTTCTGCAAACAAAAGTGTTTTTTCGGATGTCAACGAGAATACAATGACACATGCGTCACAATGAGAAAGAGTAACACGCATCATCGCAGGGAACGGATGCAATCCAGAAGTATCATAAACAGTCAGATGAGTTTTCGAACAGTCTTGCTTTTGAACTTCTATCTCAAAGATATCTGAAATCGTTGGTTTGTATTTTTTATTGTAGCAACCAGTTGTTGTTCGTTGAAGAATACTTGTTTTTCCAACTTTTTTATCGCCATAAAATGCAACAGAAAACTTTCGTGGAATTCTCGATGTTTTCATAACTGCGAAAAAAAATTTAGATTCTGATTTTTTTTTTACTACAATTGGATGACTCATTATTTCACAATGCGATTTTCAAAGTGGACAGTGTACTGGTGCTTCCATCAATCAGTTTAGATGTAAAATAGTTCGTCTTATTTAAAGGTTGACGCTACCTTGACATCTTCTTTGTTTACAACAAAACAAAATGACAATAGCTGAATGTTGTGCGAATATCTTCAAATAATAACTTCCTTAATTAATACTAGTGCCAAATAAAAAATCGTGTTTTAACAATTAAAAAGTAATAGCGTGTATCCACAAACACAATTAAAACATGTGTTTTGATTACCACAAATATAAATTACATGATTTTATTAAGTTTTTTCTATAACAAATAACGTCAAAATTGTAGCGGTTAACTTTCTGGTTAATTTATAATTTCAATAATCAATCAATATTATAATTATTTTTTGATTTTGCAAAATCAAAGAATAATTAACTATAATATTGATTGATAAATGAAATTATAAATTAAACAGAAAGTTAAAACTTTGAAATGAAATAGAAAAATGATGTTTTATACACAAATTAACTCAAGCGTTGTCGACTTTTTACGTTAATAAACTTATTGCTAACTTACATGTATATGACGTATTGTTATTTTTTTTTTTTTTTCGGTACATACATATATACTTGCACATAAATTTTGTGCTTCTTATTTTTTCATAAAGTAGTATAAAATGTATAAATATATATGTTTTTATTTTTGTAATGAGTCTCGAGTGATCACGCTGGTAATCTGTGTATTAAAAAGAATAAACCTTTGATTTATTTCATTTTTAAATTTTTGTTTAAAAAAAAAATTAAATGAAAGATCACATTTTAAAAAACTTATGTTTTCATTTTTCATTTATTATAATTATATCAAATTTAAGTGTATTAATTTGTTATAAGTGAAAAAAATAAAATTTAATATTTTTTTACGTGACACAGACAACTTTCATTATTGTGCTTCTGACCTTATATTGCAATATAATTTCTTTAATTTTTCAAACAAGTTTAATGTCAAATGAAGTAATATAGACTACATAATACTTAAGATATGCTAAAGATTCAAGATACTTAAGATTCAAGATATCTTGTGATAGCTAATATGTCTACTTATGAGTGGTTTTAGTAATTCTTCCTAGCGGAGAGCATTATTAGCAATAAATCGCAAATTTAATTAAATGTCTTAAAGAACTGTTTTCAGGAAATAATTCCTTTTAACCACTCCAGATGAGGTCAGGTTCAGAATCATCACGATCACCCTGCAACTGGGATCAAGTAACTGAGTACTACCTGTCCCATGCCCTACCGCCTTATAGAGATTGTCTTTTTGGCTGCGAGAAACAAACTCCGACTTAAAAATCTCCTACCTTGAAGCTCATGATTGAGTAAAGGCTAGGGATGGTGTTTCGATAAAAATACTTTTCTTGGGCAGATGTTGACTGCATCCAGCTACTGTCTTGTAGAAAGCCTCTTAGGCAAAGACTTAAGTGACAAGCAGAACAATTCTAGTAACCAGCCTCGAATCCCGTCTTCATCTATTAGGCTAGCATAGATGTAAAGTAGCGCTACATTGTTCCTTGTATTAAGCTTCTGCTTAGCACCTCTTCACTCTATCACCTTTCTCTTTATTCTTTATCGTTCTCCTTCTTACCAAGACTACACTCTTTTAGATTTAATTTCCAAAAAAATAACCAATTACATTGACCATGCCCTTTTTCTTTACCTCTCTGCCAATATTATTGTTATTGATGGCTTTAATGCTCATCACACTGAATAGCTTGACTCTAACGCCACTGACGCTGCTGGCAATAAAGCCTATAACTTCTGCATTTCTTAATCTATTACTCAGATAGCTAACTTTATGAATCGTTTTAATAACCTTAATCATTTACCATCACTCCTTGATTTGCACCTTGTCTCTGACCCTAGCTAATGATCAGTTTCTCCTTGGAAAAACAACAATAGCTGTTTATTATTGCAAGAGATTGATGTAAAAAGGTGCTGTCTGATGCCAATCTCCAGAGAGTTTGTTTGATTTGAATCAGTCATTGTAGTTTTCTAGCTCACAATTTACTGTAGAGAAAATTGTTTTTATACTGGAATGGAGATAAAAAAAGATTAGTGTCATCAGCAAAACGAACAAAATTAAGCATATTTGAGAACAAGTATATCATTTACATAAATCAAAAATAGTAAAGGTTCAACAACAGAGCCTTGAGAAACTTCACAGCTTATCATTTCTAACTTTAAACATGTTGAATCAAAAGGTACTTCTTGTTTTTTATTTTTAAGGTAACTTTGAAGCCATTTTAAGTTGCTATTTATTATTCCATATGCTTCTAGTTAGTGCAAGAAGATTTCATGATTAACAGCGTCAAAAGCTTTTGACAAGTAAACCCAAACCAGAATTAGACTGGCTAAATCAGTTATTATATGATGAGTTGAATGCCCTTTTAGGAAACCAAACTGTTTGCTGAACAAGATAGTTTGTTATACATAATACGCTCAAGCAACTTTGAAAAACAAGAAAGAATAGATATAGGTCTGTAGTTAAATAGTATAGAGACTACTCTTGCTATTTTTAATTAACAAAGAAAAAGTGTAGTTATTAAAAGAGCTAGTTTAATAACATCAAAAAAAGCTTTTAGAACATTAACATCCCGACACTTTAATTTTATGCGCATTAAAAGATGCCTGAATTCTAGTCATAATATATTTCAATCCACAATATACATTACCAATAGTAATTTTTGAAACCTGGAAACATTGTACAATTAGTACAAATGTTTCCAGGTTTCTGAAAAAAAATGGAAACAGATTTTCTCCATTTTCTTAGTATTATTAACACGATTAAATATTAACAAAATTAAGAAATTTTTAATTCAAGAATTAATAAATTAAGAAATACAGTTTTTTGATCGATCAGCGGTGCATTTGATAATCTTGAACACAAATAAACATTTTTTATTTGTGATTATCAATTTGTTCAAAATATTTGAAAATCGCAAACCATCGAACAATTGTCAGGATAATAAGGTATTATAAACTATAAAATATCAAAAAGCTACAAATTGAAACAATTTTTTATGAATGAATTTTAGCAAATGACAAAACCATTTGAAAAACTTTACAATCTTTAGGTTGTCAACAATATCGATCCTTATTCAACTGTTTGGGGGTAGCCAATCGGATAAACTCTAGTTTTATGTAATATGGTTTTTTAACTTTATAAAGAAAAAAAATTTATTTATCTACGTAAGTTAAAGAATTCTAGACAGTGAGAATAACACACAGTGGGTCGCAGAACTTTTTCACCCAGAAAAGTGTGTACCCCAACTTTGGCATATCCAGCAGGATATGAAAAGTATATTAGGTACACCTTGAATACTTACAAGGCAGAAAACTATGCGCAGTCGGCAAAAATATACAATTAACTCTTAAACAAAGTCTGTAATTCGTCAAATGAAATAAAATAAAGTCTGTAGTTTCTTAAATGACACAAGTTGTAAAAAAACGTTAAAAAAAAAAAAAAAAGGCATACATATATGTAATAAATAAGTAAAAATGGAGATATAGTCATAAATATATGAAAACAAACACTCGCTATCTTGTGGAACTACTGTTCATTTAAACTAATATATAATAATATATCTGAAAAGCATGCATATTCATAAATATTTACAATAGAGTGGGAAATACTCAACCAAAACCGAGAATGTAGAAAATGTTTTTATGTGCTTTATAACAAAATATATTTTTTGTTCTTTACAAATTTATTTATAATGGACAATATTTTCAAAATACTAAAAGTTAAAAACAACTCTTTTTGCAAAAAATCTGTAAAACTTTTAGCGCTAGAGGAATTGTAACTATATAAGAATAACTTTCCACGTGGCATCTTAACAAGAACTATTTGATAAAATCCCTTTCATCTTATTTTTGATAAAGTGTTTGCATCAAGGCATGCCTTTCATCTTGACATTTATCGAGCAATCTGTTCGATCTAAATTATCAAAATGATTATCTGTATATATATATATATATATATATATATATATATATATATATATATATATATATATATATATATATATATATATATATATATATATATATATATATATATATATATATATATACATATATATATATATATATATATATATATATATATATATATATATATATATATATATATATATATATATATATATATATATATATATATATATATATATATATATATATATATATATATATATATATATGTATATGTATATATATATATATATCAAACATGTTAGTGTATTCTACAAAAGAGGCTTCCTGAAGATCTTGCCGAAAAAGAAACTGACAGTAGAAGTTAGATACAGTGGGGTGCAGAATTGTAACTTCACCTGTATAGAAACCTTAAAACTATCTTTCAAAGTTTGTTGATCAAGTTCTATTCTCGGTGTAGTTAAGGCGATTTACAAAATATTTGAATACTTTTATTTGGAATTAGCATGGTTTTGTCAGCATATTATGCCCAAACAAGATCTTTAAATGTTTTAATTTTTTTTTTGCTTGAGGTTTTTATAATATTTGAAGAAACTTTTCTTTTTTATAATTTTTAAAATCTTATTACAATCCGTAATAATTTATCTAAAGAACACTATTTTAGAGTCTTTAGATCAATTTCGCTCATCGACATTAACATGAATTTAGTTAAAATCTTTTTAAAAAGTTACTTAATTTACTACTGATCCTAGTTCTAATCGGTTCTGACGTATATTAACTATATATAGTTGCCAAAACACAATATTTCTATCAATTTTCACAAAAAATACTGGAATTCCGACCAAGAAAGAGCTTATAATTATAAATAATTGCCAATAAACGATCAGAACAGATTATATTGTTAAACTATAATGTTCATTTCACCTAAAAAACGTTTTAATATAAAATCTTATTTAATATTAGACAAGCGATTGTGATTTTAAGATGATTTAAAAAAAGATTCTACGGTCTGGGTTTTTTCGCTACAAACATTTATATTTATGATACCGCAAAATTTATTATTTTATTTTTTTTCGCCTTTTCATAATTCACAGACCAGACCATTTCACGGAAATATGTCATAATCAACAAAATATCATAGACGCTATAATATTTTGAAAGTGCCTTAACTACACCGAGTTTGTAGATCATTTTTTAAAATAAACAAAATAATTTACATGAATCTATTTATACTTTAATTAACTCAAATTATAAAATCGTTTAAAACCGTGGTGCATAATTATAACCTCGTTATCTAAATTGCATCAAAAGCCATCAAAATAGTAGTAAATTCTGATTTTAAATTAAATTTATTGCATTTTAAAATTACTTGTAAACTGAGACGCTCACCATGTTTGATCAACAATTTCGTAAATGATCCAACAAATTATTGCACAAAGCATCGAAGTGGTAGAAAATCTATACTTAAAGCTCGCTAACAGCGACAAATTGTGCATGCCGCTAGTAACCGTACTATCTCCGCGAAACAAATAGGCGCTGATTTGGGATTGAAATGCTTAAGATGGACGGTGAATCGTGCAATTAACAAATCAGGCGTTCTAAGATATGCAAATAAAAGCACATTCCCAGCACTGAAGCGCACAAACGCACTCTTTTTCATTGGGCCCACTATGTGTCGCAAAGCGGAAATAAGATTTTACTTCACTTTTAAATTTTTTTAAATTTAACTTTTTTAGTGCGGGATTTTCAGGGGTATAAAAACCCGGGTTTTCACTAAATCTTCATATTACATAGGATAATTACAAAATTTCTTTAATTTTTTTGCATCTTATCAAATAAATGATACCTTTTGTATATTAAAAACCAAGAAAAAAAAATTAAAAAAAAATGATTGGACCATTGTTTTTATGTGTCCGTAAAGATAGATTGATCGACAATGTTACTACAGAGTTAGCCAGTTTTTATTTGTTATAAATTTACTGCGATAATTAGATTTTTTAGAAGTGAAATAATATATTTAGTGACTATAATATGTTTTACATCCTAAGTTGTTATTATTACTGTTAAATAAGCTATAAATATCAAATTATAGTATATGCATACATATAATATATGTATGTATATATACATGTAAAATATATATATATATATATATATATATATATATATATATATATATATATATATATATATATATATATATATATATATATATATATATATGTATATGTATATGTATATGTATGTATGTATGTATGTATGTATGTATATATATATATATATATATATATATATATATATATATAAATATATATATATATATATAGATGTATGTATGTATGTATGTATGTATGTATGTATGTATGTATGTATGTATGTATGTATGTATGTATGTATGTATATATATCAAGCAGAGTGAGCATAAACCAAAAAAAGGTGATTTACTACTTTACACTTATGGATCCAATATAAGCAGGTACGCATAGATTTATACATCTTTATATACACACACTCACACAAGCACACAAATCGTTTACTATGTTTCCCAAAAACACTTCTAATTTTGACATTTTTGTTGGTGTTGAATATGCTTTAATGTATTTTTTTATTACTTATAGTTTACCAGGAAGAGCACCTAAATTAGAATAAGTTGCTTCGAGAATTACTGATTGATATGAACAGCAAGACTACAAGACCGGATATATAGATTTTCAATTAGAAATCTAAATACCTATTTTCAATTAACTCTAATAACGCGTTTAAAAAAACGCGTTTAAATGTCACAATCTGAAATTAAAATAATAATTAAAATAATACATTGTGCTTCTTTTACTAGTTATTTTAAGTATCTTTAAGTATAGTTTAATGTACATTTTAAGTATTTTAAGTATAGTTTAATGTACATATACTTCATCGTGCTTCATTTATTAAGCATTTTAAGTATCCTCCAATAGGTTCTTTGTCTGAGAGTGCTAATGAAGCCAGAAACAAGGAAAGCAAAACTGCACGAATTAGTAAAGCATGTCTAATTTTCTCGGCAGAAAACACTAGAGATACAGCTAATTATTTGTTTGTGACATTTGATATGTAGCTCTATGGAGTATTTTTTTTGAATGTTATGCTATTGTTAATAGTTTGACTATTTTTGTTATTTTTTTGGTAAAAAAATATCAATATAATTTATAATAACAATTTATAAAACATCTATTAGAACGTTGAGAAACTTTGTAAGAGACTAAAGAACAAAGAATCAAATGATAGCAGATTTGTTTATAATTTTAATAAGTTTATATTCAATGATATTGTTTACTGTTAAATCGTGTTAATGATATAGTTTGTAAAATTCTATAAAATAACGAAGCCTACTGTTTTTTTAATAAAAATATCCAGACTTAAGTAATTTTCCGGATTTGTCCGGATGAACAGAAAAAAATACAGTTAACTTTTTTTTTAAAAACCGGATATTTTTCTTTTAAATATAGAAATATAAACTAAAAATTGATGTCTTGTGAAAAAATCAGCTTAATATGTTGAATGCTTCTTTATTTATAAGCCTATTTCCTCATATTGTATTAGAGCGACGCATAGTGGGGCCTTTTTTTCGTCATGTGGCCAAAGGCCACATGACGAAAAAAAGAATGGCAAAAAATTGTGTGGTCTAATTAGAAAAGTTAGAAAAGAGAAAATATTTTAAAAAAGAAGGGCTATGGGAGGTGGAGGAGTAATGATTTGGGGTACATTTGGTTATTTTGGAAAAACTTCGATTTGCTTTATTACTACTAAACTTGTGCTGAAGGATAAAGAAATTTGTTGAATGGTTAATTGAATGATATTTCCATAGATCATTCAGGTCATTTTTTAAAAATCTGAAAAATTGTTAGGGTTAAATATCCGGAAAAAATCCGAAATATATTTTTCCTTATTTTCCTCTTAATTTTTCTTTAAGCTGATTTATTTTAAATTTTTTTTTACTAATTTTTTTTAATTTTTGTATGAGCGATGAGTGAAAAAGCCTAAAAAACAAATATATTACAAAAATATATATCTTTTCCATACATATTCTATGTACGGAAAACATTTTGGATATCCAGAGAAACTCAAAGTTGAGAAAAATATCTGAAATTCTAGAAATATCCCGAAAAAGATAATCCTTGTATTTTGCAAAAATTTGGTAACACCAATTTTGTTTTCCAGCAAGATAATGCTCCAATTCACAGATCAAAGTCAAATATCTCATGGTTTACCAGCAAGAAAATTCAATTATTAAAATGGCCAACACTCTACCTGATTTAAATCCCATTGAAAACATATGGGGTATCTTAGCAAGACGTGTTTACGCAAAAAGGAAACAATATTTGAATGTCGATTAATTGAAAAAGGCAATTGTACATGCTTGGAAGAACATATCTCTTGCAGATCTTAGAAAATATTCGGAAAGTATGCTATTCGAAAGTGAGTTATTCAGAATGGCGGCAATAAAATAAAGTATTAATAATAAATTCAAATTGCACTACAAAACATTATGGAATTTTGTAGAGTAAAATTGAAATAAGGTTATAATTTTGCACCATCATTTTTATTAAATTTTAATAAAGTCAATTAATAAAATGAAACCAGACTCATTACAATTAAAAGATTACAAATGAAAATTATTCAAGTGAGATATTAAGCAATTAAATTAATTATATATATATATATATATATATATATATATATATATATATATATATATATATATATATATATATATACACACATATACACACACACACACTAAAATATTTGATATCGAGCACTCTTTTTGTAGAATTTTTGTAAAATACACATAATGTTAGTACATTTTACTTTATAAAAACTGAGGTATACACTTCAGTCATTTAAGGTAACAACAATTGGCAAAAAAATACTAAAACAATAAAAAGAACAAAAACTTAATACCATTACATTAAACTTACTTCATAAGAAATGCAATAAAATGTGATGTGTATTTTCTTGGAAAATATTCTTGTAAAATTACGTTTCTAAGTCCGATTAATGGTCCTTTAAGATCGTCTATTTTTTCAACTTTTATTTCACTCTGTAAAAACAATTGAAATGCTAGTAATATATGTAATAGTTTATTTAAATGTTTCAACAAAATTAACAAATACCTTTATAAGACCCATATATATTAATAAGTTTGATACAAGATCATCAAGGGATAATTTTTCGTCATTAAACGCTGTCCTCAGCACAACATCTAAAAATACAATAATCATATAAATTTACAACATCTAAAAAATAGAAAAGTAGAAAAACATAGTCATTTTCTCATTCAGTCAACTCTGTTACTGAAATTTTGTCCTAAAGCTCTTTAAATGGAATCATAGTACAATTAACATAAAAAACAGCATTAGGGATAGTAATATTTATGGTTAATAAAATATTAACCATAAATAATAAATTTATATATAAAAATATAAATTTACACATAATCCTGTTGTAGTTTGTCAAAAACTTACTATCCCAAAAATTTTTTATCCACTCCGTTCTAAAATATCCACTACATTCTAAAATAGTAACTGGTTTGTAGTTCTATAATATTTATTTACATTAAAAGTTATATCGTGCTGCAAGGATTTTTTATGTAAAAAGTAGAGCCTACTTTTAAATAATGATACACTTATTTTAAGTCTAATCTGTGACTTTTTTTTTAATAGAGTACTAAATCTATTGTTTCAAATTTTAGCTTGAAATTTTTAGACATACATACATACATATGTGTGTATATATATATATATATATATATATATATATATATATATATATATATATATATATATATAATTGTGAAAATAGTAAGCGTATGATTTTTTTTTGCTGTTTTATTCGCTTTATGTTAGTGCGTATTAGTAGGAGACATTTACATATAAAAATGGGACATGGAAAGCATTGTAGTCCGGAAACAGTCCAGACCTGAATCCGATAGAAAACCTGTGGTCTCGACTCAAAAAACTTGTAAGGAAAGAAAAAGCAGGGAACAAGCGACAATCAATAGAGGCCATAATCAAGTCCTGGTTTCACGTGATCAGCACTAAAGATTTGGGCAATTTAGTGAACTCAATACCTTGTTGGATTGCTGCAGTAATAAAAAATAATGGATATCCAACAAAACATTAAGTTTTTTTTTTTATAAGCCATTTTTTTAATAACATGTTTTGTAAGCTGTAAAATGTAAATTTACTATAATTTGCTACCTTATCATTAAATTGTTATACTTTTATATTAAAATTTTAGTTTTTTTAATTTAAAAACATCAAAAAATAATAATCAATATAGAAAACCGTTATTTTCTTTTAAAAAACACACCAAAGTGAAGTTTTCATATATTTTGAAGGGTTATCCATTCTTATGGCCACTAGTGTGTGTGTGTGTGTATACATACATATATATATATTATATATATATATATATATATATATATATATATATATATATATCCACACACATTAGAGTTGTCTTTATTTTTAAAGTTTAAATATTTCAATGGTTGAACCCCCAGTTATGTTCCACTCTATACAAAAGTAATTCAAATTTAAGCAACATTGGAAATGATTGGTGGCTCAACAAAGTTTTTCAAAACATCAACAAATTGGCATCTGTTTAAGTCTGCATAAAATCTTAACAATTTTAGCAAATATAAGTTTTTATTCAAATTAAATAAAGTAAAACTATAAAACATACATTTTAAATTAAAAAGCACCTAAAGGGAACCATACTAAATGTTTAAAAAAACCCTATTCTAGTGCTTCATAAATCATCTTGTATTTTAACTTATGCTAATGTTTGTTTTTAATTAACATTTTCAGAATTTTCAATGAAAAATTGCCAAAAAGTGTCAAAAGTTTACTAGCAAAAGTAAATTTATAATAGCTATTTATCTTATATGAAACAGATTTTGCAGAATATTTAATTTAATTTTTAAAAAATTATTTAACCCAACATCAGACATCTAGTGTTCTGAACTATAGTATAATGATTATAAAATATAATTATAGCAAAGATGGGTGTTCTGTAATCTACATACATAATTATCTAATTCTTTTACTTTTTTTTCTTATTGATGACATTACGTTCACAAGTTTATCTTATTAACCCTTTTAATGGAATTGAAAGAATTAAATTGCTTTTAGGGAAGCAGGTTTTTCCATCATCACACCATCCTAAAAAAAATATCCATGAAGAAGCAACTCACACCGTAGTGTGAGTTAAGAATTTAGTAGTAGAAAGTCAGTCAGAAGATCAAGATGCAGTTATAAGCACAACTACTTGCACCTCCACCACAAAAACCAAGATGTCAAAGTGTTGTATCACCTGAACTAGCAGCTAAGTTTGATCAAAATAGACTAAGTGACAAGGCTGCCATGATGGTCGTCTTTGAGGCTTCAAAGGCACTAGGGCATGAGGCTGAAAAGACTTGCTTTGAACAGGTCAACCATCCATCGGCTATGTTGAAAACAAAGAAGAAGCTGACTGGCATTATAGAATCATTCAAACCTACCACGTCTCTTACAGTCCATTTAGATGAGAAATGATGCCAGATTCGACCAACACAAAAAGTTGACAGGCTACCTATTCTAGTTATGACTATGGGCAAGATTAAGCTATTTGAAGTTGCAAAGATTGTTGTAGGCACTGGTCAAGTTGAAGCTCAAGCTGTCAATGCTATCCAGAAATGTGAGCTGGAAAACTTAGTTTAAAGCTTATATTTTATTACAACCAACTCGAATACTAGCCGATTGTCAGGTGCTTGCATCATTCTCATACTACTACTCTTTTTAAGTTTGGTTGTTATCATATTATAGTTTAGTTTTCATCATATTTTAGAATTAGTATCAGCTGCCGCCTTTGGAACTTGTATGGGCTCTAGTCAAGCACCAGAAATTTTTGTCTTCAAAAAGTTTCAAGCACAATGGTCTATATGAGAATATCTTTTTACAAGAGTCAGCCTTTGCTGAACGCATTCATATCAAAGGTGAAGTCATTGAATTCTGTGATAACTGCAGGATCATCAACCATAGGACAATTATCAAGAGCTGGCGAAAGCCATTTAAAATATTAAAGTTTGACATTTAGGTCACAGTACAAGCTCACTAAGCAAGATTCTCGTGGTCTCCTACATGTCAATATTTTTCTCAAGAAGATATCAATTCTTGGTATTTGACGCCTCTGGTATCTAAAGCCGCTAGAAATGATCTGAAACTCTTTAACAACTATGTGCATGCAGTGATAAAAATATTGTTGCAGCAACATCATGCAAGATTGTTAGTCACTTATGGTACCTATTGGAGGACCTAACCTTATTTAACCTCTTTGTTCCTGAAGTGGATGTATCTACAAAGCAAGCAATGGCAAAAGGATTTTTAACCAAAGACCCAGAATTGTAGAGTAGAGAGATTAAAGATGCTTCAAAAGCATTTTGAAGCATCTTGAATCCCAGTGATTGAACAGAACCCTGCAAAGTTTTCAAATGCAAAGAAATTAACACTACTTAAGAAACTGTTGTGATTAATATACTTAAGAAACAAGTACTTAAGAAAGCTTAATCTACTTAAGAAACAATTATGGGTTATTTGTGACTCACATAAAACACAGTTTCTAATATATTTGTCACTGTAACAAATAGTTTCTAAGTAGATTGTAGTATATTAAAGTAGTTTGCATCACTGCAAACATTGTCAAGTTTTTCTCTAAAAGTAAGCCAATAACTATATTAGGTAAACATTGAAGTTTTTAAATTATTAAAATTTTGAATTATTAAAATCCATTTTTCCATATAATTTTTAATTACAAAAAGAAACAATTTTGAAGTTCAGACTTAAGATTACACTCACTTAATTTTTTGTCATATACATAAGGGCCACCTTAATATACATGTATATAGCTCCACAAAAAACACTCTGATCGCCAAGTCTTATCATTACTTTAATTTTTTACAATAAAGTTCAATACGCCAATCGTTGCACTACTTCACAATGTTGTACTATTTCACAATGTTGTCAAGGTCATTTTGAATTTCTGCTTGTTAATCAAAGGAATCTTCTATGGACTTTTCTATACTTAGCAGACATTTTAAATGTGCTGAGCACAACTTCTGGCAAGTTGTTTATAATTAGTAGAAATAAAATTAGACCCAAATCGAATCATGAGGATTCAGAACAACAGTCTTGATCAGATTTGTTGTGCATGATTTGTTTAAAACAAAACCAAAGTTTGCTCATTAGAAATAAAACTATTTGAAGCTAAATGCTCCAGAATTGTGTCCCAAATATGCTTTTCAAGCATTTTACAAATCACAGGCGTTAAGGATACTGGCCTAGTTTTGATACACTTTTATAAATTGGTGATATATTTGCCATAGACCAACAGTAAGGAATACATCCAGCGTCAAAACTCAATTTTTGATTGAGTTTTTAGAAATATAAATAATTAGGTCTACAAAACCTTCTGCAGCATGTTTTTAAACAAACAAATTTCAAAACTCATCATTTTTAACTCATCCCTACCTTTTAACAATTTCATTATTTTCTTATTGGTTATTATTCTTTTCTTATTTTTATTATTTTTCTTATTCATATTACATAATTTACTGCAATCACACTGGTTTTCACATTTTTGAAGAAACTCAGGTATTGCTTAATCATTATCGTTAACTGCCTTAAGTTATTGTTGACTGCCTTCAATTGCTTTCTTAATATATTTGCAATGTCTGATATGTGAGTTGTAATGGTTCTTTTTCATTCAAATTTAATCTAATTTAACATTTTGATGAGTACCTTTTAAGATTCTTGACTTAGTCAATGGGAATTAAAACAAAATAGAGAATGTTTGATCTTTATTGCCTTTTTCACTTGTGCTTCCTTTTTTTATTACTACAAATAGAAGTAAACAACCAACAAAGTTCATTATAAGTATATAAAAATAACTCATAGCATTCGCAGGCATATTTAACATGAAACATATTATCATTAGAAAAATTAAAATCTCCTACCACTAGTTCCATGAATTTTTTGAAAGTTTTGATTTTGGAAGCAGTTTTAATTGAGTTTAGAATCAACTTTAAGTAAACAACTGTAGAGTTAGTTGGTTAATATATACAAAAATTAAACAAACAATACATTTTTTGAGCACCAGATTTTTTTAATCTCTTTATTATTAAAATGCAAACTTTACAATTTCTATATTCATTAATTTTTTATTCACATAAATGGCAATTCCAGCTCTGATTCTATCTTTGTTTGCCTTGATAAGTTGTAGCCTAAGATGTTTTTAATTGAATCCAATATAAACCAAGTCTTTGTAGTTGTGATAACATCTATTTTAAATGCAAATGTGGATATCTTAGATAAGTTAAAAGTGTTAGCAGAGTTAAAAGTGGTAACATTAGTGTAATAGAAATTCATTGGTTTATAGTGTCTTTTGCTTCAAATTTATAGAGACATTTTCATTTCTGTGCGTGATTTTTTTATTTTTATTTGTTTTATAAAATTGAAAGCTAGGACTTAAAGCAATATCTATTATGATTATGTTAAAGAGCAATATAACAAAAATATTTTTATCATATCTTAGGCTACCTGAATATATATATATATATATATATATATATATATATATATATATATATATATATATATATATATATATATATATATATATATATATATATATATATATATATATATATATATATATATATATATACATATATATATATATATACATATATATATATATATATATATATATATATATATATATATATATATATATATATATATATATATATATATATATATATATATATATATATATATATATATACATACATATATACATATATATATATATACATACATATATACATATATATATATATATATATATATATATATATATATATATATATATATATATACATATATATATATATATATATATATATATATATATATACAAATACTATTGCATACTAAGGTAAGCAATCTGAAGTCATACTGAAATAGCCTGCTGCCGGGGGCTTCAGTACATACATCGACTGACAAATAGCCTGACTCGCAGTGGAGTGCTGCTACATCAACTGAGGGTTTGCGATGGGGCAGCAATCGTTTCATTCATTGTTCGTTTTTTTTCTTCTTTTTCTAAAAAAAACGTATGGATTAAGGTAAGCAAAAAAAGTGAGCAAATGCTTATAAAAATACGCTTTAGTAAGTGTATATGTATGTATGTATATATATATATATATATATATATATATATATATATATATATATATATATATATATATATATCATTTCATATTTTTTGTGTGTTGATGTTAAACAGTTAAATGCTCCACTCAAGATAGAAATGTTTGATGACTGCTATTTTTCATCGAAAATATATTTTATACTTTAATTTATTAAATAAAAGTGGTAGAGATATAGTATTTCACTTGAAATACTCACAAGCAATCGACATTATACAAATAACTGCACGAACTTAACAAATTTATAACTTATGTGCATGACTTCTATGCTGTTTTTCACAAAATAATAGATAAAACATATACAAGTTTTACATTACTTAACTTTTGATAAAATCTATAAGATTCGCTGAATGAGAATTCACATCTGTAACAGATTGGAGCTTGCAGTGGCAATTTTAACTCTAACGACTCTAACAGATTGGAGCTTGCAGTGGCTTGCGAAACTCTAACAAAACTCATTTATTTACTAGTTAATTACTATGTAAACAAATAGTGCAATACTGTTGTCATTCTATATTAATGAGTGGCAACCCTTTCACTGAGTTCTCTTCTATACATCTTCTTTGATTATCATTCACCACTGAGCTTTCATGGAAACCATATATACAATCAATGTTTGCACCTGCTAAGTTGCTTCTCTTTATTGAGCTCATGATTATTTTACTCCTGAATCATCCTGAATTTTCTAGCTCAATAAAATCTCTAATTAGTCCCTGAATGGAATACTGTTGCTATATTTAGGCTGGGCCTTCTAATGATAGTCTTTCTCTTCTAGAAAAGGCCCAAAAATGTATTACTTGCATTTTTGGGCCATCTCTTTCTTTTTTTTACAAATACTATCATGGTCGCTGCTCAGAGGAGCTATCATCTCTAGTTCATTAAACAAAAGTCATTCTCGCTTGACTCATCATTCAACAAAGTCACATCCTTTTACTGTATCTGTCCCAGCATGATTTAAAAACTTTTATTCATCTAACTTTTTTTCCCGCACTTTAACCCTTTAGAACTCTCTCCCATCTTCATGTTTTTATTCAAACAACATAAAATTTTTTAAATCTTCTTTCAATCATTTCCTTGCTCTTTATTGACCATGTTTTCATCATCAGTCTTACAGTCCTCATTAATACCTTTTTTGTGAGTTTTGTGAGAAACCACATTTTTAGACTTTTTAATAAATAATTTTACATGGCTTTTTGACACTTTGCATTTTACAGCTCAAAACCTGGTTTGGCTAATTGCTTAGCAATTTAGATGTGTTTTTTTTCCATCTTTTATTCCTATATGTATATGTAAAAAAAAGAACTTTTACCTGATACATCAGCAATAGCTTGTCTGTCTAAACTTAATGAACAACACATCTAAAAAATAAAAAATCTTTTAAGTTCTTTGTAATATTTATCATGTTTTAGTAAAAAGATTGTCATAGATTGTCAATGTTTAAAAATCAAATAAACTTATTTTTATGGTGATGTGTAAAATATTTGTTCAAAGCTCACCTCAACAAAAGCTTTTGAAACTTTATCAGCATGAGGAAGTAAATCCTAAAAAGATTTGTAATCAAATCAGCTGTGAAAAATAGTTTTATCAAGCAACCTCATTTGCATAAACATTTAAAAAAAAATGTTTAATTGCTTTGCAAACCTCTCTAACCACACATTTTAACAAGTCTTTTCGTTGCTTGGCTTCTAAACTCTGCCATTCTTTCAAAGAAGGACTTGATAAAAACTTTCGAGCATCTTCAATAGTAGATATTTTCTAATAAAATGATTTATATAAACAAAACAATAAAAACAACATAATTATATTTTTACAGTATTTATTATTGTTATTACATAGATAAATATGACAAATAACTTATTCTAATTAAATATCTAACTATAAAAAAAAAATATTTATAAACATTAATAAACAGATATTTATATTAAAAAATTTTTTTTGCTGCTTTAATTTTTAAAAAAGTAAGATAAAAATAAAGCAATGTGAAATTGATAAAAACTTAAATAATAAAAGAAATCAAAATCGGGAACTGATTGAAAAATATATTTCTATAAATATATATAAATATAAATATTTCTATAAATTTTATATTCTAACAGCAAAATTATAAGAAGAATTGATTACCTCCACCTCATTAACTTTATCTGACACAAGCAAAGGTGAATCTTTTTCTAATCTTATTCCTTTAACTTGTAGTTCTATGTCTTCATCAGTATCTTCACCTGAAATATCAGATTCCCTACTTTTCTCATCTTCATCATCATCAGGTTCTTCGTTGTCCTCAAATGATCCAAGTGCTTGAACATTCCCAATGTCTGTCATCAAACGTTTTATTTCTTTAATAGAATCACCAAGTTGATTACCTAAATTGATTATATATATATATATATATATATATATATATATATATATATATATATATATATATATATATATATATATATATATACATATTATATATATGATTATATATATATATATACATATACATATACATATATATATATATATATATATATATATATATATATATTGATTATTGATGATAAAACTTATTGTGCTGCATATTTCAAATCTTTTCAAGAACACCAATATTAATCAGCAATTATTCGCAAGAAACTGAATTTTAAACAAAAATGCATTGGAATGCAAAAATTCTCTTAAAATTTTTTAGTTTGGCAAGCAATTTGAGAATGTTGTGAAAGAAGCTCATGTTTTGTGACTATGGGAACAATAACACCAAAATATAAATCAAAGAATGCCTCAAGAAGCATCTTTGCCATTTTTAAGGTCTCATACGGGTAACATGTTATTTTAGCCTGATTTAGCATCATATCAATACTCTAGGACAACTATAAACTGACTTAGTGAACATAAAGTAGACTTGGTTGAAAAACACTGCTAATGTTGAGTGTAAAATGCAAAGCCTGTGTGTTCTCAACGTACACAACTTCAAAAACTTACTTAAGTGAAATTTGAGAATATTAGAATATATACTTTTATAATATATATAACATTCAATATTGAAACACAATAGTTGAATAAATATCTTTTTAAATATTTGCGCAGATTTTTTCTGGTACATGTCTTATAGCATTCAGAAATCTTTGTTTTGTCTTTAGAAAAAGTATAGTGTTCTGCCTGCAGAATTGAAAAAAAAAAAAAAAAGCACTCGGCATTGCTTGGAAAAATGTCTGTAAGAATAGTTCAAGTTTGGTTTCAAAAAGAATTAGGCTTACTATGTCGCAAGTCAGCACAAAAAACATTACTTATGGTTGCTATAGTTGATAAAAGAATTATGGTTAAGAATTGGACACCAGAACAGGTCTACTGCCATGAGTTTGAACAAAAGCAATTTTTCACTGATTGGTAAAGGCCTAATGTAAATGCGCCACCCCTGCAATGCACTTTGATTCCAGAATTGATGACAGAACTAAAAAGAGTTTGGATTCAGGACATGTTTTTGCAATACTTTCAGAAACTCTCTGAAAGCATGCCGAAACATATTGAAATGGTACTTAAGAACTAGGGGCAGATGACTAACTATTACATAAACTTTTAAAATTACTATTTATAGTTTTGTTACCCCTTTAAACTTGATTTAAAAAAAAAATTAAAAAAATAACTCATTGTCTACAAAATTTTTGCACTAGCTGTATTACAGTATCGTCCACAATTATTTTCGTCGCGTCCACAATTATTTTCGTCGCGTCCACAATTATTTTCGTTGCGTCCACAATTATTTTCGTCGCGTCCACAATTATTTTCGTTTGTCCATAATTATTTTTAAATCAAAACACTTTATTTTTTAAAATTTTTGAAATCAAGAAAAAAATCCAAGTATAATTTAATCAAATAAATTCATTACGTTGAATTCCTTTTAACATCTACTCACGCATGTGAGAATAATAATTCTCAAAAGAATATTCGGTAAAACCTGATAAAATCTCAGTAATAATTCTAATCATTTCTTGTGAATTGTTAGATTGTATTTGTTTAAATAATTTTTTAACTACGCCAAAAAACTCCTCGATAGGATTAAGTTGAGGACTGTAAGGTGGTAAAAACTGGATAGTACAATTACTTTCTCGAAATGCTGATTCTACTATTGATGAATGGTGGAATCGCGCATTATCCATTACTACAACATATCTGCGATCACTTAAAACTGGTCTTAAATCTTGTTCTATCCAGTCGTGCATGCTAGTGGTATTAAAGGCTCCAATCTTTAGTTTAAATCCAATACACCCTGTAACTGAAATAGCGTATTAGGCTAACATTTACGCATATTAGGCTAACATTACGCATATTAGGCTAACATTTCTTCCTCTCTGTGTGGGCACTGTAACTAACGGGGTGCTTCCTAATAATGCATATCCATAATGTCATGAATCATGCAGATTGAACCCGGTTTCATCAATATAGACCAGATCTGAATTTCGCAGAAAAGAAACATGATTTCAAAACATAAACCTCGTTGCTATTACTTGAGCTGAATTTCTTGCAACAACGATCGATTTAAGCCTTTTACGGGTATATCCCATTTGTTTTAATTCTCTTTTGATTGTAGTTGTCAAGCATTTATGTTCTTCTGGCATTAACTCTGCAATGTCAATAGTAGTTAATGCATTATTTGCATTAATTAATAACTCGATTTCTCTCTTTCTTTCAATATTATTTCGTGCAGCTCTGCCACGTTTTTTTGGTATTATATTTTGGTCTGCTTCAAGCTTTCGTATCCAGTTTTGTATTGTCCTAATTGAAAGACCTGTTTCATTTGCAATAGATCGACTTGATTCGTTGCCAATCAACATTCTTTTTATTGTAGCAATATTTTCTTCCGCTGCTGTTTTGTTTTTTGTTTGTTCAGCCATTTCGATATTTGGATTATCGAGTTGTTGTTAGTCATTATGGCTTAAAGTGTTTTGATTTAAAAATAATTATGGACAAACGAAAATAATTGTGGACGCGACGAAAATAATTTTGGACGATACTGTATTAATAATATTATATTATGTTTTTCAGTTTATCATTATATTATCTTTATATATCACATACTATCAGTAGCAGTAGTGGTACATATTATATATTATAAGAACTAGTAGTAGTAGTAGTAGTAGTAGTAGTAGTAGTAGTAGTAGTAGTAGTAGTAGTAGTAGTAGTAGTGGTAATAGTAGTAGTATCAGCAGCAGCAACAGTAGTAGTAGTAGTAGTCGAAGTAGTATCAGCAGCAGCAGCAGTAGTAGTAGTTGTAGTAGTAGTAGTATTAATAGTAGCAGTAGTAGTAGTTGTATTAGTAGTAGTATTAATGTTACTATTTGTAGTAGTATTATATTACTATATAATATAAAGTGCTCATTTACATCTTAATCTAATACTAAATTTATGTGAGAAACATTTCAAATTGAAAAGGTCTTGATAATTTTAATAGCTGTAAATTTTGATAATAGTTTATTTTAATGGCTAATAATAGCTAAACATACCTGATTATACCTTTTATCATAATATATATGTGATCAGGATTAGTGTAATACATATGTTATCAGGATTAGCAAAATAAAATACTATGAATATTCCTTGACTAATTTTTAGAGTAAAAATATAAATATAATCCTAAAAAAGTTAACTTTGTGTTATGACATTAACATGGGAAATTTATACAAACTTTGTTGAAACATAATAAATTTATAGAAATTTTAAAGAAAAAATACCATCTAAATTAAGCATTTGAAGAGCTTCCTTGTTTGCCATACTTTTAGCTATGGCAAGACCACCATCTCTTCTAATTTCATTGAAAGACAAAATAATTTCCTGTAGAAAAAAAATATATATCCTTTGTGTGACATTGGCATTCAAATAAGTGGATATTAAAATATATTATCAACTAATGTCTGCATGAAAATTTGCTACTTGAAGATACTAATATATTAATAATTAAGCATGCATTAGCATAAACTATATTAAATATAAAAATATTACTCATTAATGCATGCATAAATATGTTTACATTTTTGCATTTACTATGCAAAAATATGAATTTATTCCAGTTAATAAAGCACTTATATAAAATTATAAAATCATGCAATAAAACAGTATAAAAGAAAAAAATTAGTTAATGAGTATTTAATACTATAAAAAAGATTGCAGCTCATTGACAAAAATTTAGTTTAAAAAAAAACAAAAAAAAACAAGCAAAAATAATGGATGAAACCAAAAACACACATATAAAAACAAAAACACATATAATAACTTTTATTCTTTACAAATAAGAATACAAAAAAAAAAAAAAAAAAAAAAAATCACACTTCAAAGCTCATAAAGCAAACCTCAATATCATGTTAATAAAACAAATCTCACTTTTAAATTTGTCATTTTAGCATTTAATGCTCCTGCCAAAGCTAAAGCCCCTGAGTCTTTCAGAAGACAATCACCAACATTTAGTGTTTCTAAGTTAAGCAAGGACGGAATACACTAGTAAAAAAAATTTTAAAATCCTTAATTTGTTTTTCTTTTTAACTACAATAAATTTCAAAATTAAGTCCACAATTTAAAATTTTCATAGCAAATACTTTTGCAAGCGCTTTTGCTCCGGATTCTGTGCAAGTGTTGTCATTGATGTTAATAATCTATAAGTAATCCAACAAGTTAATCAAACACTATTTAAGAAAAAATGAGAAAGTTAATCCAACACTATTTAAGAAAAAATACTATTTCAAAATTAAAAAACCTTGAGGTTTGTATTTTTTTGAAATGCTTCAGCAAGATATACAATACCTTCCGGCCGGATACCATTTTGTGGCATAGTTATTTCTTCTAAACTACCTAATATCTGAATATCGTTTAAAGTTAAAAAAACACCAAGCTGCATCAAAATTAAGTTTAATATTAAAATAAAAAACATTAAAATAACAAACATAAATGAAAGATTCTGTATTAAAAAAATTAGTTCTGATTTATATAGATATTATCAATTTTAAAAAATTAATATGGTATGTAAAGTTAAGGTAAACACAAAGGTATTGAATTAGTTTGGAAAGTATATTGGTATATACAAAGGTATTTTGGTTTCTAAAGTTTGGTATATATAAAGGTATTGAAATGGTTCAAAAAGTATATTGGCATATATTGATACTGAAATTGATAAATACAGATACTTAAAAAAAAAAAAAAAAGAATTACCTTAAATGCCTCAGATAAAGCTTTAGCACCTTCATTTTCCAATCGATTTCTTCCAGATATGAAAACTTTAAGTGCAAATGGTGTACGTGTTAGTTTACTTGAATTATGACAAGTAATGAATGCATCTGCCAAAATCTGCAACATACAAATATATATAAATGACAAGTAATGAATGCATCTGCCAAAATCTGCAACATACAAATATATATAAATGACTGTAAAAGATAAATAGTAACAAATAAAAAAAAATACTAAGAAATTAAATTTAAATGAAATAATCAAAACGTTTTAGATGTTTATCTTCAAACAAGATTTAACAAACTGTAGAAAAAAAGATCAAAGAAGACAATAACACTAAAATAATCTGATTTTTTAAAAGTATTATTGTTACCCAAAAAAATACAACAATAAATATGTATTTAAAAAAGTAATCTGATGTCACACTGAAAACTGCTGGGGGGTTCCAGCACATACATTGACTACCTTACAGCCTGCTGCGGCAAAGGAGTGCTACTATAATGATTGAGGGTTTGGGATTAAACAGCAATTTTTTTCTTGTTTTAAAAAAGCTGCATGCTTCAAAGATAAGCAAAACTAGTAAGCATATGTATATATATATATATATATATATATATGTATATATATATATATATATATATATATATATATATATATATATATATATATATATATATATATGATATATATATATATATATATATATATATATATATATATATATATATATATATATATATATATATATATATATATATATATATATATATATATATATATACACATATAGGCCTCGGCGGGAATAAATGAACATGAGAGCAGAGAAAAACTTTCCTAAAATAAACTTGGGAAGGTGTGCGAGCTGCTCCTTATTTTAATCAGGGGTCTTTTTTAATTTTGACTTAAAATGTAGTACCGGTTGCTACAGTGTAGCACGGTTGCTACACTGTAGCAAAGGTGCTTTTTAAAAAGGATTGTCGTATATTATGCAATTAATTTTTTTTTTTAATTGTGTTTTTTATTTTACGATTATTATACTTTTCCAAGAAAAATTATACTTTTGCGAGAGCTGTAAATTGCTCCATAAATTGCTCCTGTAAGAGCTAAAGCTCTTCCTGCCGAGGCCTATAAATATATATATATATATATATATATATATATATATATATATATATATATATATATATATATATATACACATGTTATAAATTTTATAAATTTTTGACAAAAACAAAAATGCGGAAAACTAATAAATTGTGTAAATAATTGTGGGCTGTTTATATAAAACATGTGCTGTTTGTCTCGCATAGTTTGGTAAAGTCATCTAAAACTCAAAAGATTACTCCTGCAATTGAAAAAGTTTAGAACTTTTATCTAGAAAAGTTTATCAAGTTTATCTCGAACAAGTAAAGTTTACCTAAAATTATATAATAATAAATAAAGTTAAAAAAATCCTAATACTATATAATAACAAGTAAAGTTCAGATCGCTCTCCAGAAATTTTGAAAATAGGGATAACAGATGCCGCTTTCCAGCAGGCTAGAAAACAAGACTCTGATAAGCACTTGTTGAATTGTTTTGAAAATATAGGTGACAGCTCCGAAGAATACTTCTGCAAGACTATAACAGATATGCTGTCCAGGCCACAAGCTGTAGAAGAATCACTTTAGATACAGAAGCTGGAGTGATACAGATGTCAAGCAATGGATCAACCTGTTTGACGACCAAATTAGGTAGAACGCAACTAGTGGAATCAAAAAATGATATTGATGAAAAGTTCTTAGAAAATAATTTAGTTTGTTTTAGGTGAGGTGACAAAGTCTTAACCATACAAGAGAGGTGGAATAACAGATTTGCCCTTATTATTGATACTATTAAAGATTCTCCAGAAGTCCCGAGAGCCAACTTGTGATGAAATACGAGATTTCATGACCTGAGAATAGCGGGCTTTGGCGTTAGACAAAACCTTTTTACAATAGTTTCTAACAGTAATAAACAGACATCTGTTTTCTGTAACGGTTTTGATTAGAAATTGCGGAAAGGGAATAAAAGATTCCATACCAGCCTGAATCCATGAAGTTATGTAAGAAGCACATTTGTCAGCAGGAAGACAAAAGATTTCTACCCAAAGGCAATCACAAAAAAAATTACGGAAAGAGTCCCAGTCAGCTTTGAGGTAGTTGTAAGAGGTACAATAATAGGGAGATTCAGATGATGAAGAAGAATAAGATAATAGTTTTAGAGAAATCAAACTGTGATCAGAAGCACCTAATGGTGAATGTGGAGAAACTGAGCACTGACTAGTATCAGAAACAAGACATAAGTCGAATAGAGAAGGTTAATGATTCGGGTTGTCTGGAAAGTGAGTTGGAAAGTTGACTATTTGAATTAGGGATTGAGAAAGACAAAAGTTGTGAGTTTTAACACCTGCAGAGTCACAAGAGCCAAGCCATTCAGTGTGATGAGCATTAGTTTAATAGCCCAAGCAACTGCTTTTTTAATTTAATAGTTTAATATCCCAAGCAATTAATAAACCCTACGCCGTAACAAAGGGCTCCAATGTGGCCTCGGCAATCCACACCAAAAGTACAAAAAGGGACACCATCCATGTGTAACATGGCACTGTTAATACTTAGATATTTTTCAGCTGTTGATGGAACCAGCCTCTCTGAGAGCTAGCACAGATTCAGGAAACCTGACTACCAGACGGCCTCAGAACCATAAAACTAAGTTTTAGAGCTGTACGCCAGCCTAATGAAGAAGGGGTGTAAGGCTGGTCAACAGATAGAATCTGTTTACCCCTCAAAAGATATTTTATGAGGAAATTTATATACAAATATTTTACAATTTGAAAACTTCTAATTTGAGCAACAGCTTAGAGCAAGTAATAATAACAAATTATAAATATAATTAATAAAATTCTTAGTCAAAACTCATTAATTCTGAGGTGGGCATTCGTTCCTCAGAATGAGGAACTAAAGTTTGGGAAACTTTAGTTCCTCATTCTGAGGAACTAAAGTTTCACAAACTCTGTGTTAGCTTTCATAGAGGCTGATTTCACCAACAGCTGTAAAATATCAAAGCATTAACAAAGCATTGTTGTGTATGAATGGCGTCCCTATTAATAACTTTGGTATGTATTTTTGAGGCTACATAAGGAGCCCTATGTCAGGACTTCTGGTTAATAAACAGAATTGAGACAAATGCATAGCTAATTGCTTGGGAGGCCATGCTCTACCTATGAATGAGTCATGTTCTCTTTTAAATTTAAGTCATGTATAAAGTAACCTAACACATAAAAAACTATCATCACCACCTAACTGTTTCAATAAATCTTTCACAAATATTTGTGGTCTTTGAAATAACCTTTCATCAGTTGAATCTTGCCTCTAGCAAAATTTATTAGACTTACTCTTTGTGAGACCAATTTAAATTTGACTGTTTTTAATTTGGCTGTCTTCTTCAAATCTCAGTGTTGATGGGTACTATCCTTTGATTCGCAAAGACTCTAATAGTCACATACATGGCTAGATGGTATAGTTAGGCATTAATTAATCTATTTGTCGAGAAATCAGAGTCTTTTCACTACTATTTTGACCTTTATCATTCTCCTTGTTCTCAAAACTCTTTTCAATGCAACTTTTGATCAAATTGATCATGCCTTTTCTCTTTATCCCTTTTTTATCTTTATCCCTCTGCCAATGTTGTTGTTGTTGGTGACTTTAATTAGCAATCAATAAGTTTTCCAAGCATTCATCGAACCTTATACCTCCCGATTCGGAACACAGAGCTTCAACCTGCGCTAAGGCTGATCAAATTTGGCTCATATTCAAATCAACAATAAAATATACAAAATACATACCGGAACAGGGTAGTTAAAAAATTTAAAATAGAGTAGGTTGAAAAATCACTAGGTCAAAAATACAGTAGGTCAACAATTTAGTAGGTTGGAAAATCAGAAGCACATGTTTTAATAAGGTGTAAATATAAAAATCAAAAACGCCATAATCTACAATTTACAAACTTTCAAAATTAGGTTAAATTATAGGCCAACACTTGCATCTTATGGTGTATCTGAGAAAGTTTTTGAAATTATCAAATCATTTCTTTTTAACTGCTTTAATAAAGTCATCCTTGAAGGCCAACAATCTTCTTTATTTCCAGTGACTTTTGGGACACTTCAAGGTTCTATAATTGTTTCTTTTTTGTTTCTTATCTGCATTGATGATCTTTCTGAGTCAACTTTACATTCCTGTCTTGACAAAAACTCTTCTCTTTTTGATCGCTTAGAACAGGAAGCCGATCATGAATCTGATCTCACTACTGTAATGGATTGGGACTTACAATGGCTTGTGAATTTTAACTCTAACAAAACTCAGTTAATTACTGCAAACAACTATCGCAATACTGTCAACATTCCTATATTGATGAATGGCAACCTTCTCACTGAGTCCATTTTTTTTACATCTTCTTGAATTATTGTTCACTGCTGACCTCTCATGGAAACCATATATACAATTGATTACTAAGTTAGCATCTGCTAAGGTTGTTTCTCTTTACCATGCTCACCATTTTCTTACTCATGATTCCATTTTTTACCTAAATACTGCTGTCATATTTGGGCTGGTTCTAATGATGTTCTTTCACTTCTAGACAAAAACCAACTCATTCTAAACATAGTTGGACCAACTCTTTCTCCCGAGCTTCTTTCCAATCACCATAAAATTGCATCTCTTTCTCTTTTCTACAAATACCATCATGGTTTGCTTTTAAGATAAACTTTTATTTGTCTAGTTTTTATCACCGCACTTAAACCCTTTGGAACTCTCTGCCATTTTTATGTTTTCCTGACTTATACAATAATACTTTTCAAGTCTTCTGTCAACTGTTTTCTAGCTTTTTAATTCTATTCCTTGTTTTCTAGAAACTTATTAGTGGTTGCTTGCAGTATTGTTGGGAGTGAGTCAGAATAAAATAAAAAAGACTCAAGGAAACCACATACAGAATCCATTTCAAAGTTAAAATCTGCTAAGGTTGCCTCAATTTTATTATAACTTCTGATTACATTCTCTACCTCAACAAATCTCTTATTTATCCATGTATGGAATACTGTTGTCATATTTGGGTTAATTCTTTTAATGAGACCCCCTCTCTTTTAGACAAGGTCCAATAACACATTTTAAATGTTGTTGGATCTGCTCTAGCTGCCTAGTATGAACCTCTGAATCATTGTTGTAAGATGCACCTTTATATCTTTTTTTTACAAATACTCCATGGTGGCTGCTTAAGGGAGATTTTATCACTCGATCCACCAAACGCAATCTAGCATGACCTATCATTAAGCTAAGTCTTTTTAGTGTAACTTTTGTGCTCAGAAAACTTTTAACCATTATTCATAATTTTTTCCCTCTAACATTAGTGTATTACAGTGTCTAACATTGGTGTGTTACAGTGTTTAACATTGGTGTGTTATAGTGTCTGTCTTTATGCTTTTTTTGATTCATTTCTTCAACAGAGTAGTAATAATATTAGATGCAGTTGTACAAAAGCTGAACTTTTTTTTTCAAAAAGATGTGAAAACTTGTAACTATATTTTAGGTTAGTTTTATTACAACACAGTTATTACATTAAATAATTCCACATAAATCCTGCTAACAATTTTCTATACTTTGTTTAAAATTATAAATTTTGCCATAAAAATTATTTTTACAAATAAATACTTGTTAAGGAATTTGTACACACATTTATAATTACACACAAGTTCATGCTGTACCTGTATACTAATGTCATTTAATGAAGATTTCTCGTTTATACATTTTTTTGTTTTTAAATAATTTTTTATCAATAACTTTTGCTTCTCAAAAACATTTAAATTTGCTGTGACTTGAAAAATATTATTAAAACAAAAGTATCTATAAAAAATTAAATAATCCATTTGTTTCATGACAAGCTAAAAGAATCTAAAAACTTTAATATTATCTATCTAGGCTCAAAGGCTCAAAATTAAGTGAAATTAAGTGAATTAAGTAAAACAAGGCTCGAAATTAAGTGATCACAAATTGCAATATCTGGAAATATTTCTGGTCATCAAATTCTCAGTTTATTAAGAACCTGAATAACAGAAAATTTGAAACAAATTATTTTACTAATAACCGAATAAATAAAATTAAGTTTAAAATTACACCATATATTTGTATTTGTATATATATATATATATATATATATATATATATATATATATATATATATATATATATATATATATATATATATATATATATATATATATATATATATATATATATATATATATATATATATATATATATATATTTGTATATATATTTGTATATATGTTACGCACAGATCATGAAATTGCGCATTTCACAAACTGTGCAATTTTTTGCTCATTTCATGAAATGGATAGCGCTGTTGCACAGATTATGAAATGTTGAATTTTTACAGGTATTTTTTTAAATATTTAATTATACTATGTATAATAAATATTGATAGTGACTTAAATAAAAAATTGCGACTTAAATGGAGTGCTGCTACATAGACTATCTTATAGCATGACTCGCAACGAAGTGCTGCTACATCGACTGATAAATAGCCTGACTCGCAACAGAGTGCTGCTACATCGACTGAGGGTTTGGGTTAGGCAGGTAGTCTATTAATTTAAAAAACATATTTATTATAAATACTATTTATTACACAGAGTATGTATTAAAAAAAACATTAAAAGTTTAATATTTCACAATCTGCGCAACAGTGCTACCCATTTCACAAAATGAGCAAAAAATTGCACAGTTCGTGAAATGCACGATTTCACGATCTGTGAGTAACATATATATATATATATATATATATATATATATATATATATATATATATATATATATATATATATATATATATATATATATATTTGTATACACAAAAGATAGTCTTAATATAAATAAAAAACGTATTTAAACATATTGACTAAATGGAAATTAAACATAACACGTACAACTCTATCTAACCATATTAATATTACCATTTTGAACCAGATCATGAACCACATCAGATCACAGAATCCATTACCATCGGTGAGACATCTATAATACGCATCTATAGTATGCATCTAATATACGCATCTATAATGTATGTTTATTTTGCTTATAACACAAACAAATGGTATCCATGCTCTACGGTTGACACTTTTATGCATCATATTTACACTCTACACTAACAACTTTCATTATCACAACAATTAATAACATTTACTTTCCACGGCTATGGTTTATCATTTCTGTTTATATTTACCACATATAACTATGATTAATCTTCATTTTCTCTTTTTAAAGGCTTTTTGTTCTCCACTGGACATCTGTCCTTTTGTACTTTTATCTCAATCTGCTACACTCTTTTAACTTATTATGCTTCTCTATGGTGTTCACTGTTCAGTGCAGTTCTACTAAAATGCATTGCATTTAACACAAAAAATATTTACGAACACACAGATTCATACAAATAAAGACACTAAATGACATATAAAACTTTAAAATTTAGAACACTACAAACACAAAACACAATAACTAACACAACTTACAGTACACTGAAACAACACTTACCTGAATTTAACTTAAACAACACTTACTTAACTCTAACTTAATCACTGAATAATACTTTCAAACGCCATCTCTCAATACTGGACATCTGTTTAAGCATTTTAATTTATCAAGTACTCTCTTGCATTTATATAAAATATTTCTTTCACTGCGAAACAATAGCAAAACACTACAAACATGAAAATATAACTCATTTATTTTTGCAATAAGATAAATTGACTGTTTTCATGAAACAGTCAATTTATCTTATTGCAAAAATAAATGAAAAAAAACAAAATAATAAATTTACTACTACAAAAATAATAAAAGTAAAAACTGTTTAAACACCAGGCAATTTATAGATTATAAATAAATAAAAAAGTTATTTGAAAATTATATTAATTATTCAAGGTTCAAAAAAATTTCCGCCATATTTTAAAAATCAACCAATAAAAAATTATATTTAAGGTATTTACACATTGTATGAAACATTAAAATCAATTTTTGTTTAGAGGGAAACTTTGAGGAATTATTTATTTAAAAATTTAAATGTTTGATATTAAAAATTAATTAATTGATAATAAAAATATTAATAAAAGAGTATTTATAAAATGAATATTTTATTTTAAAATAAGTTAATAAAGTTTTTTTGTTTTGTTTTAAAATAACTATATTAAATTTAAATTAATTTTTATATGTTTTTTAGCTCCTGTGAATTTAATTTTGTATAGATATATGCCAAAAAATTATGAGCATTTAATTTGTAAGAAAATACTGATTAAGATTTAAATAAGTTGTTTTTTAAAATCACATCGTAATGTTTGCTTTATTTTTCTAGTTTTTCTGATGAATTATAAAGTGAATTTTTTAAAATTTTGTTATTTAGATGCCCCAAGAAGGCCTAACGATCTTGTCACAGAGTACTACGGAAGTGCATTTAACTAGGAAGATCACGCCTCCTTCCTTACCATGACGCAAAAATATGTTCATAGCTCGTTTCGAACCTGGATCTCCTGCTTCTAAAGCAAGTGCTCTAACACTGCTATGAATTAAAATATTAAAGTTTAAATCATAATTTTAAACAATAATAATAATAAAAATTATAATTAAAATATGGTTTTATAATGAAATTTTATATCATAGTTCAAGATCAATATAAATAATAAATTAAAATAAAAAGCAGCTATTAAGTTTAGCGATAAAACAAAAATTACCGTTTTTAAAAGGCTAAATATTTAAATACCGGAAGCATTTCCAGAAATCGTAATTTGCGATCACTTAATTTAAGCCCTGATATATATATATATATATATATATATATATATATATATATATATATATATATATATATATATATATATATATATATATATATATATATATATATATTCAGAGCCATGGCTAGGCTATCCCACACATCATAATGGGAGTGGAAGGGGGGGGGCAGAAAACTTTGGGGACCCATTTGCAAATTTTTTTTTTTCAGAAAAAACAGTGAAAATTTTTTAAAAAATTGGGCTCTAATGACAGGTTTTAGGGGGACTTCCAATCTACTAGCCACAGCATATATATATATATATATATATATATATATATATATATATATATATATATATATATATATATATATATATATATATTCAGAGCCATGGCTAGGCTATCCCACACATCATAATGGGAGTGGAAGGGAGGGGGGGGGGGGCAGAAAACTTTGGGGACCCATTTGCAAATTTTTTTTTTTCAGAAAAAACAGTGAAAATTTTTTAAAAAATTGGGCTCTAATGACAGGTTTTAGGGGGACTTCCAATCTACTAGCCACAGCATATATATATATATATATATATATATATATATATATATATATATATATATATATATATATATATATATATATATATATATATATATATATATATATTCAGAGCCATGGCTAGGCTATCCCACACATCATAATGGGAGTGGAAGGGAGGGGGGGGGTCAGAAAACTTTGGGGACCCATTTGCAAATTTTTTTTTTTCAGAAAAAACAGTGAAAATTTTTTAAAAAATTGGGGCTCTAATGACAGGTTTTAGGGGGACTTCCAACCTACTAGCCACAGCATATATATATATATATATATATATATATATATATATATATATATATATATATATATACACACACACACATACTATTTACCTTGCCACCTCCAATGCCTAATCCATTGTTATTTAGCTTCAGTGTTTTAAGATTATAGCAGGCTTCGCTTGTAAGTAAATTTTTAATACCTTTTACTCCATCAGGCCCGAAAGCATTATCACTTAAATCAAGTACTGAAAGTTTAGCACCAGCAGTAATAATTCCATCTCCAAGACGCTCCTAAATACAACATATTATTTATATAGATAATATCCTAATTTAAACAATGTTGAATATGTTATTGCTGTGTCTTCATTTTTGTTAAACTTATTTACTTACTAGGGACGGAGGAATTTCAGAACGCAAACGACCAGTATACATATCACTCCACAAAGCCATCTAATGTAAAAAGAGTATGAAATTATTATAAGATTAGAACTACAGCACATTGAAATAAGTTTTCGAAATAAGAATTTCAATGTATATATATGTATCAGGTCTAAAAATTGAATTTATATTTTCACTAAAAGTTAACAAATATAAGCCAATAAGCTATTACATTTAAATAAAAAAAAAACTTGATATGTGGAGTTTTTTTAGTTTAATATTTTTAAATATCATTTATTACTTGAAAAAACTTGATATGTGCAGTTTTTTTCATTCAATATTTTTAAATATCATTTATTTTATTAAATATCATTTATTACTTGATTTTTATTTAACTAATTTATTATTAAACTGATGACTGATGTTGATCAAATAATAACTGATGCCTGATTAGTTGCCTACTGAACAAAATCCATTTTGTTAAACTTGTTTAAAACACTTAACATAGTTAAATATTTAACTATGTTAGGTCTAATACCATTGTCTAATACCATTAACAACATGTCTTAAACATGTTGTTAATGGTATTAGACAACAAAAAATAAGTACAAAATACTAAAGGTATTCTAACAATCCAGTTATTAGAAAAAAATAAATAAGGGTTGTCCACAAATTACATCAATTTTTGACCATTTTAGAACCCCTCCCCCTTCATCACAAAATTGAACTTATTTAGTAACAAGTTCTGTATAAGTCGCCACAAAAACATTAACACACCCCCAAAGTGTGATGTAATTTATGGACGACCCCGTATGAGCAAGAATTTTTTTGATTTTTAAAGATAATAACACTTTTAGTAACTCATATAAAAACAGTTCTATTAAAGTACTTATCTTTTATCAGGCTCTTTAAAACATTAGTAACACAGTTAAGAAGTTTTGATTAAGTTTTGAAAGATCATTCACCATTTTTACATTCCACACATTCTTAACTTTTTTGTTACTGAGTAAAAGATTTACAGAACCTGTTTTGTCTAATTTTTAGATTGTGAAATGTGGCTTTAAACTTTATTTTTATAACTATGTGAAGTGTACACAGGCCCTGTTTTAAAGCATTATGCGTAGAGCGATTTATGTACGCCTTAAACAATTGTTATGTAAACAATAAGCGATTTTGGTTAAGCTACTTTTTAACATTTTTAAACTTTTAAATTAGCAGTAAAATAAAAGAATTAGTTTTTTTAAAAAACAACAATAATTTTTGCATAGCATAATGTAAAAATATTTATTACAAAAGTTTGAATAAAGTTACGTTAAAAATAAATGTTGTAACTTTTTATCGCGATGATACTTCTTATCTTTTTATAACAATTAAATTCAACGTAACTTTACGCTAAAATTTTTATCTAAATATTTAGCAACATGAAAAAAGTCCATCAATTCTTAACTGAAAATTTTTGGCAGATGTTTTTAATAAAAATTCAGTAAAAAACTCTATAAAAATCTATATTACAAAAAACATTTTGTTATTCTCTGGCAACAAAAATATTAAGACACTTTTTTGAGATGTAAAAAAAATCTGCCAATGAATGAACAATTTATTTTTATTGTAATAAAAATTACTTTTTCATTAATTATTACTGTTTGCTTTTCTTATTAGTTAAAGGTTTATGGATACCTTTAACTTTAAGATATATGGGGGGAAGGGGAACAAAAGGAAAAATAATTACCTGTTACTGGCAATTTTTGAATGAAGACTATTTGTTAAACTTTTTCTGTGTGCAATTCAATAAATTTTATTTTCATAAATCAAGTTACATTATAAAGTTAAAGAAATCACTAGTAGACTATAACATCCGCTAATATTACTAATATTACACTAATATTACAATAAATATATTTATATAACAGAGGTTTTATTATGCACGCGCACATTACAGACTTCGTTAAATTAATACTAAGGCACGTTATAGTTTAAAGACATGTCTTTATTCTTTACTAATGACTATATATTTTTCTATATAAAATAAGACAAACTAGTATATAAAAACCTAGTATATTTCTATTCTCTCCTAATTGTTTAAAGTTCGAAAATGGATTGAATTTTGAAGGACAAATTAGTTACTTTGAAAACTTTTAAATCCTGCGATTTTGCCAATGCTTTTTCGAATTGAAACTATCACAGAAAAGGAGAAGACTGATGTTAGTAAAATCATATGTAATTTGTGTGATCTTTATAAAAATAAAATTTTATCCAAAACCAATGGCGTCGTAAAGGCAGCTGCCCTACGGTTTATAAATGGCACAAAATAAAAACAAATATTGTTCAATAAATAAATTTTTTCTTAACAAAGATAACCTCATATTTATTCTCAATTTTTTTTATTTTATTACTCTAAATTACTTGCAAACGAAAAAAAAAACAATTTTGTAATTATACATAAAATAAAAATACTTTTGAGTTTTGTTTATAAGTTAAGGAACTTAATTTTTAATAAACAAATTTTAACGAATGTTTATTATAAACAGATACGATTCAAATTATTAAATATACTTATTTTTAATTTAGTTTTTTTTTAAGTTTGCATGATTAAAATATTGCATAGAAGTATTTAAAAAGTTTTTTGTTTTAAGATTAATCAACATTAGAGTTTGTATACTTAAGACTTTTATATTTTATTTAATTTTTTTTTAATTAAAAAAAATTCAAAAAAAAAAAATAACTTATTATTTAAATATTGATTTTTCTCTATAGCTCTGTGTTTCTTTGTGGTTTGTTTAAATATAAAACATTTTTACGATAATGTAAAACATTTATGCATTAAATTTCTGGCAAACACCTTCTAACTATGTATTAAAAATATGCTCAAAACAGACATTAAACTTTTTTATATATTTTTTTGAAAACAATAAACAATTAATTTAAAAATACTTAAAAGCCTAAATTATTTTTTGCTAGTCAAAACAAAATTGCTGTTTAAATAATTAAGAAGGGTTTTTGTTTATCAATATGTTAATATTTTTTGTTTACTCCCAAAATTTTTAAAAATAAAAAATCATTATTTTTTTTTTTTTATTCAATAATGATTTACTAACAATAATTATTCAAAAACTAATTTTAGAAATAATGAAACTAAATAATATTGAACTAAATATTATTAGCATAACAATTAAAAACATAACAAACTATTCATAATATACCCACATTTACAATGTTTATACATTGTTTTAGTTATTTGAGTTAATTTTTAAATTGAACTAGCTTGCTCTTATTTATTTATGTAGTTAAAACACTTAACGTCTATAAAAAAAAAATAAAGATAATTTTATGACGTCAAATATTACGTTAAGCTAATGCATTAAGCATTTTTTATTTAAAACAAGCCTTGTGTACATACATCAACTCATAAGGCAAAAGTTGAAAAAAAAAAATACAATGCTCCTTATGCTTTAATATATTCCATTTAAAGATGTATGTATTTCTATTTAATAATGTATATATTTCCATTTAAAGATGTATATATTTTCATTTAAAGATGTATATATATTGAAAATTGTGACCTAATATCAAAGCATTAAAAAATTAAAAAATTTTACCATTTGATTTTGAACCAATCATCTACAACTTAAAAATATCTTGAAACCTTATGAACTTCATAGTTTTCTTTTAGGTTTTAATATTAATTACTAGGGCTGTACCGAATTTCGGCTCCGGCCGAAATCCGGCCATTTTTACAAATCCGGCCCAAATTCGACTCCGGCAAAATGTTAGCAAATCCGGCATAATTTTGGCCGGATTTCTGGATGTTTATTGCATCTTTCTTACCCGTGATAACATGTATACATAATACTTAATTTTTGAACTTCATGTTTGTTTTGGTATCTGTATTTACATTTTTTTACAATTTAATTAGCTAAGCCTATTATTGAGTCTACGCCCGCTTGCGGCACAGCACATGAACAACAATTACCAACAAGCATTGACACTCAGCTAAGCCAATATCTGGAAGAATCAGAAATATATAGACACGCTGATTCACTACAGTGGCGGAGTGACAACATCCCGGGAAAAAAAGTTCTGTAGAATTTCTCTCAATTTTTGAAACATATGGCCTATAGAAACTCTATAAGATTTATATAAAATGTCTATTAATTTCTATAGAAATTGCTATAAAACTTTTAAACAACAAAAATGATGTTTAATAGAAAACAACCCGACGGGCATTTGTTTTTAAAAGTTACGTTCTGAATGTGTTTTAAATGTCTTTTAAACGTCTTTTAAACATTAATGTTTAAAAGACGTTTAAAAGACATTTAAAATACATTTAGATCGTAACTTTTAAAAAGAAATGCCCGTCGGGAACTGTCACTTGGTGATCTAAATAGTCAACTTTGTTGACCATTTTCAACACCAAGTAGGGATATACAGGATTTTGGTTCCTGTAGTTTTGCTTCAAAATCCGGCTCCGGCTCCGATTCCGGCCGGATCTGTTAGTAAAAATCCGGCAAATCCGGCTCCGGCCGGATTTGGAAAAATTAAATCCAGTACAGCCCTATTAATTACTACTTTTTACATAAAACTTTTTAAATATCATGACATTTAAGTCCTACCTCAAACTCTTTCTTAGATTTTAAAGCATCTGCGATCACAATGGCTGCTTCCAAACCAAGAGTATTTCCTTCTAATCTTAATGCTTGCAAATCTTTACAGTTTTTTATGGCATCGACTATCTCCTTTGCTAAATACATACATACATACATACATACATATATATATATACACACACACACACACACACACACACACACTCACACACACACACACACACACATATATATATATATATATGTATATATATATATATATATATATATATATATATATATATATATACACAAACACACACACACAGATATATATATATATATATATATATATATATATATATATATATATATATATATATATATATATATATATATATATATATATATATACAAACATCTATATAAAACATCAATAAAACAATACTGCTAGGTTGTTTTGTTAATATAAAAAACTTGTGATAATATAAAATAACTTTATTATGTTGTTTTATTGTTGTTAAATACAGTTTATAACATTAAAAACATAAAACGAGTTTAAAATAACATAAAGTAAATAAATAGAATTATTCTAATTAAAAAATTAGAATAAATAAAAACACTATCACCATAAACCTTTAAACATAATGTTTTTGCAAAAAAATGCACTATCTATATAACAAAAGAATAAGACCAAATCAAAAAAATAAATGAGTAAAATAATAAGTTATTAGATACCACATTCTTTTTAGATTTATTGCTTCTTGAACTATTAAAAATTTAAGTATAACTGATGTTTTAATTTTAAGTTGATGTTTTTATTTAATTTTTTTGTTTATATTGTTTTGCAATAAAATATAGAGAAAAAAAAAAAAAAAGTCTAATTAAATAGTTTCAAATTTTTTTTTTTTTGAAAAAAAATATTTTGAACATAATTAGAATAACTTATTTTTTTTTTAATTTAATTTAGTTTTTATTCAACTTGTATAACCTTTGCAAAAAAACAACATCTTAACAAAAAAATATCTAACAATTAAAAATGTTACGGCATAAAAAAAGTTTTGTTCCTCACTTGCACTAACTTCAAAATTATTACAACTAGTCAGCATAGTTAAGAAGAGATTTAAAGAAAAATATATTTTCTCTAATAGGTTTCAAAAAATGCTGAATCTTTTTGTGCATTTTGATTGGTTTATTTTAAAAGAAATAATGCGTATTTATAAAATCCTTCATCTTGCTATCCTTCATCTTGCTTTCCTGATTCATATAATTTGCAATCTTTTAAGTTGTCTGTCAATCGTTATCTTGCTCTACAACCTTCATCTTTTCTCTTCCAGTAACTTCCAACACTAATTAGTGGTTGCTTGCAGCCTTGTTGGAAGCGAAGATGTTAAAAAAAAAAAAACTCAATTATAAGTAATTTATATTATTACAATAGAAAAAACAAAAGATTGCTCAAATTGGTAATATTTTGTACATACAAAATATTGTGTGCATACAAAATATTTTTGTACATACAAAATAGAAAAATAGATGATGTTGGAGCAATTTTTCTGGGAAAATCAGAAAAAGAAAAAGGTTTTGGATTACTGAATTTATATAAATTCTGCTCTATCAGTGGCATGCTGGCTATTTATCCTAGAAAGGCCTTTTTTTTGCACTTTTATACTCTATACTACATTCTAAAAATGATATTTATATGCTTTTTTTTTATTATTTCACAAGTTAAATTCTTTAACAAATCTCTGATTGGACTTCAAGCGCATATATATATATATATATATATATATATATATATATATATATATATATATATATATATATATATATATATATATATTAGTAATTTGCATAATAAAATGCAACTGCTTGTAATTTTTGCCACAAAACAAAATCGATATTGTAAAAAATAATTGATCGTTATATGTCACTAAAATTGTTTATTATATCAGTCATTATATAGATAAAATTATTTAAGTTAGCCAGTGATTATTATGAGAAATAATTGTGTTCAATTTAAATTTATGGGAAAATATTCATATTGATAAAATTTTTGTTAAATTAGAACGATTAGTTGTTTTTTCATAAACAAAAATTGTAATGTTTTTAAATATAAATAATTTGTATGAGCTTTTATAAAATTGCTTTTATTGTATGTACTACTGCTATTTAAAAAGTAGTCAAATACTTTTTCTATATATACAAATAAATACAGCATTTTATTTCTATTTGAAAGTATTATGGACTCATACATTTCAGGGACTGCAAATATGTTGAAACTGATATTTAACATTATAAACTTTAGTAACCGCTTTTTTTTTTTCAAAGAACATAAAATGTTGTAATTATAGCTTCTATTTTTTTTTTTAAGATTTGACATAGAATGGAAAATCTTTTAAATTGTACACATTCAACGTTAATCTTTTTTAAACAATAAAATAGAAATTCTATTTGGTTACCACAAAAATTCGATGAAATTTGTTCGTTTTTAGGAATGAAAACATAACATGCTTGCCGCAATATAGTACCATTTTTATTTATAAGGAAATGCAATTATAACTCGTTGCTTTAGTATGTTGATTTAATGAATAAGGTCATATATATTGGATAAGGTCAGTTTTCTTTTGATTGATATATATATATACATACATACATACATATATATATATATATATATATATATATATATATATATATATATATATATATATATATATATATATATATATATATATATATATATATATATATATATATATATATATATATATTTAAATATATACAAATGAAGCCCTTTAAATCAAGCATATTTGGCAAAATCCCATATATATGGGCCTTTTTGAAAAAATCCCGCATGTGTTTTTTGGAGCCAGCAAGCCCCTGTGCTCTATATTTTGCTCAATTTAGATTGCACAGATTTTTAAATATAGTTTATGCTATTTTTAGTTAAAAAAATGGAACATCTTCAACTTTAATTAGTTCAATAAATTCTTCCAATCTTGTGTCAACAAAAGATATATACTAACTGTTGGTCAATTGAAGAATACTGTGATAGAATATATATTTCTGGAGATTCGATTTTCGACTGTACATCAGTATGCTTTCCGTATTTATTAAGTATTGATTATTACTTAAGTAAATAGCTTTGTCATACATGACATTTACCATAAATAAAATCTATGCATGGTTTCCTATAGTCAAGAAATTGTGCCATAATGGCAAATATCTTCTTGTTCTTTTTTTACTCAATATAATTGAAGTTTTCTTTTAAATTCAAAAAGAACTGCTTTTCTTGACAATCAATATCATTGTCACCTAATATTCTGAAGTAAGATCTGTGTCTGATATTGAATTTTTTAAGTATCTTAATGAAATCTTTTGCCTTGGATCTCAGTTTCTGTAATAGATGCTTATAGATCTTTATTTATGGAAATTTTGGGATATTTTTGTTGTACAATAAGTTGACCTGTCATAATATCACCTCTATTAAATAAATCATTTAGTTCTTCCTCTGACTTTTTATTTTGCATATTAGATGGTACACATATTGACACTATTAAACTTCTGTTTTTGGTAAGTTGGCTGATTTATAGTGCACATCATATTTTCTTGCAAGAAGCAAGTAACCTTTTTTTTTCTCAATTCATATTTTTAAAATTCCTCAGAGCTTCCAGTCTCTTGCTTTTAGTTTGTCATCTTTTACCCTTTGTTTTCTAACTAATGTTTGCCCTTTAACTTTGATATTGTTTTCAAAACTTTGTAACATTTGAACTTTATTCCTTTGACTGAGTGAAACATTAAAACCTAATGCTTACACACAAGTAAATATAGTTTAAATGCATTCTTAATCTACAGTCAGAACATGCAGACAAGTAAATATAATTTAAACTCATTCTTAATCTCAATGAACAAAAAAATCACTATAGCTTTAAACAATAACAAAATTATAATATAGTAGTTTTTAACTACAGTCAACATTTCTTTATCTTCCATTAAACTCTTTATGTTGCAACACCTATCGACAACAGTTTTAGATGATCCTATATATTACTTTATCAGGTATCAGAGTAGATTTACTAATATTTGAATCATTGTATGGAAATACATTATCATAATTCTTATTCAAATATTTTTATAGATTGTGATTTTTATGTGAGGTTATTCACCTCCCAAAACTGAGAAGGCAACTACAGTTGAGGAGGCTGCTTTATTGTGGTCAAAACCCTGTCTTAACTCTTTAACTCTGAAACACCTTTATGAATAAGGCCAATGCGCAGAGAAACAAGTTAAAAATAAATCAATACATATAAATTTAACGTGAAAGTTTTTTTTTTTGTTGCAATTTTAAATTATGTTTAAAAATCTTTTTCAAAATAACTTGAAAACTTCTTTTTATAAATCATTAAATAAATAATATAAAATATATTTAAATAAAGTTTAAGCAGAAAATTACACTAATTTTCAATATCATTAAAAAAAAAATAATAATAATAATTAACAAATACAAAATAAAACCCAAAAAAACCCATTAAAATTTAAAATTACCCAAAAAAAACCCACTTAGTCGGGTTTTTTTTTAAAAAAAAAAAAAACTGGGTTTTTGCTAATCCTGCTCTCAGTGGCTAACTTTTTGTTGGTTTCACCGACAAATTTAACTTTTTTAGTGTTGTTTGTGCTTTTGGAAAATGTAAAGAAAGAAATATATTTTCAAACTCTTTTAAAACTTTATTATATATTTTATTTATATGTTTGAGGTTATTTATGATTGGTGTAGATGTAAGTTTCGTTTTAATATGTACCTTCGTTTTGTGTTATGTATTGAAGCTCTCTGCTGGGAATAGTTCCATATAGGAATCATGTTCTTTACAGTATTTTTCTACTATCTTAATTCTACTTATATTGCCCTTGTTTATTTTTAAATATTTTTAACCAAGAGTTATACAAAAAAAAACTATAGTAGAGTTTTTGTCTCCTTATTATATCATTCTTTTAGAAATTTCAAGTGACATCAAACATTTCTTGTTTGATGTCACTTGAAGTTGTTGCTGAAAAATTCTCTATATCTATGTATCTGATTATTTAATAAAAGAGACTTAAATTTAACAATTGGTTCAAGTAGAAATCGAGCTGTGTGTTTAATAGATATGCATTAATAAACAAAAATTTTTGCAAAGCTAAAGTGTATGGATGAATGATTGAAAAAAACAGTTTTAAAAGAAGAAGAACAGTTGAATATTTTAAACATATTTGTTATTCTTTATAAAAATTAATTCCTTTACTTTATCAGATAATTAAAAAAAACTTTTTAACAAATACAAAATAAAACCCAAAAAAATCCATTAAAATTTAAAATTACCCAAAAAAAACCCACTGGGTCGGGTTTTTTTTAAAAAAAAAAAAAAAACCCGACCCATTGACCCGACACAAAATTTTTTTGTTAATTTGCTTAAGAAAGGAAAATTTATTACTGTTATCAAAAGTTAAGAAAGGAAAAATTATTACTAATGAATATTAAAGTTAATATAATGACTAACTTAAATAAGGTTTTGTAAAACTTAAATTTAAACTAAACTATATGTTAAAAAAATGGTTGCCAAATCAATACAGTTAGATGCCAAATCAAAACAAAAAAACACAAAGAAAAAAATTAGTTTTTAACTTATAATATTGCCTCATAATTTATAATTTATTGAATCACAAATGTGTAGTTTCTGCAAAACCAAATAACACAATACAGCAGTCTTTTGGCCAAATTTTCTTTTTGTTTTCTTTTCAATTCAAAATGTTTTAAATTATACAATGTAAATAAATATATAATATAAATATAAAAAAATACATAAATAATTATGAATTCCGTTAAAATTAATATTTTAGATAGATGACTGTTTATAATCCATATACTATCAAATCAAAAATCTTATAAACATATGTACTTTCTTGAAAGATTTTAAGAAAGATCATTGTATACAGATTGATCAAAAACCAAACAGAACAAATATAAACAAATAAGATTTTTTGAGGACAATTTTTTCAAAGTTATCTTTACTTTATTTAAAAATAAAAAAATATATAAAATTTTTTTATCGAGAAAAGTGGGAATGACATAAAGTAAAGCTATATTTTATCATAAGAAACAATACAGGAGCAAAGATAGAACCTTGTGGTACCCTTGAAGTTACTTGAAATAAAAAGGAGGGTAGGCCTTTAAGAATAACTTTATTACTGCAGTTAGAAAGAAATAATTTAATAACCTCAAAACCTTTATATAAAGAAACTAATAACAGAGTGAAGACTGATTGTAGGATAGTTGGAGAGGTCAAAGTGTTTTCTAGAGTTTTGATAAACTAGAATCACTTATTTAGCTATTTTTTTAAAGTTTAGCAAAAATTGAAGAGACTTCTAAAGAACACTTTTAAGACTATGATTGAAATCTATTTTGAAGCACAAACTGTAGAAGTGTTTAATTGAGAGTTAACTCTCAATTAAAAACTTCTATATAAAAAAAAAAGGTATTGCGTTTTTTATATTCTATTAAAAATTTCTTTTTTAAATAATTTTTAGTTGAAATTTTTTTATCTCTTAACAATATATAAGATATAAATAAAAACATTCCTATGGCTAACTTGTATAAATGGTATTGTATATACAAGTAAATGTCTTTGAGTATATTAAGTATATTTAATAGTTGAGTTTAGTAACTTTATGTTTTGATTTACTTTATAAAATTCAGTGTGATGTACTTCCATAAAGTATATCACACTAAATTTAACCTTATAATAAAAGTAGGAAATTATTGGCTTTCACACTTTAAGTAATTTAAGTAATTAAAATCCAAAAGTGTTAAATAAAATTTTGAATGAAATATTGAATGAAAATTTCCTCGCAAGAGAGCAAATGTTGACTTTTATTTAAAAGTTATAGTATGATGTATTTTATGGATGACCCCTAATAAAAACCTCAAACAAAAATATTTATTTTATATTTTTAATAATTGCAAAAAAATGCTAAACTAGAAATTAATAAAACACAAAACTATATATTTTATAAAAAATTGATTGCCATGGTGCTAAAATCAATTGCGATTAACAATGCGATATTGCATCCCCACTACTTAACTGTTAATACTTAATCTTTCACAAATAATCATGGTCTTCCAAGTAACCTTCCATCAGTTATAGCCTACCTCTTGCAGAATTCATCAGACTTGCTTATTCTTTGTAAGACTAATTTAAATTTGCCTGTTCCATCTTCAGATCCCAGTATTGATGGACAGTATCCTTTGATTTGCAAAGACTCTAATAGTCATATATTTTTCTAAGGGGTATACTTACCCATTAATTCACCTATTTGTTGAGAAATTAAATTTGAAATTTTCTTTCTCTTTAACACTATGCCAATATTGTTGTTATTGGTTACTTTAATGCTCATCGCACTGAATGACCTGGCTTTAAAACCACTGACCCTGCTTGCACTAAAGCCCATAACTTCTGCATCTAAAGTGGCTTTATTTCTACATTTAAAGTGGCTCTATTTGCTGACTCAACTTAATACTACTGTCTTGACAAAAAGTCTTTTCTTTTTGATCACTTTGAACAGGTAGCTGATCATGATCTCACAAATATGGATTAATATAATTAAAAATTTTATGAACTTTGATAGTTATCTTCATTTTTCACTTTTTTTTCTTCCTCCAAATATAATAAAAGTAAAATTATTTTTGACTCAAGCAAAATTGAAAAATAATTATTTAAAAAATATTAATGCAAAAACAATAATAATTTTATATAGCAATTGAATGTCATTAATGTACATTTAATAAAAAATAAATAAATGATCTCCACTTACTGTCAATATTATTTTTTAAAGCTAAAACTAGTAGTAAAAATACTTTTGAACGCTACTGTATATTGATGAATAACAGCCCTCTCACTGAGCCCTCTTCTTTACATCTTTTTGGTTTATTGTTCCCTACTGACCTCTCATGGAAAACATATATACAATTAAAATTAGCATCTGACAGATATACAATCAATATTAGCATTTTCTAAGGTTTATTATGGTCGCTATTTTCTTACTCCTGATTCCATTCTGTCTCTACTAATCTCTTATTCACCCCTGTATTGAATATTGTTGTCATATTTGGGCTGGTTCTTCTAATGATGCTCTTTCTTTTCTAGACAAGGTCCAAAAAACGCATTGTAAACATAGTTGGACCCACTTTATCTATCAAAATTGAGCCTTTCTCCCATCATAAAAAAATTATTGAAAAAAATTATTATATAATTAATAATTATTAATTATATTAATAAATATTGAAAAAGCTAAGATAATAACTTCAATTTTAATTACTTTAAATTTAACATTTGATTTTAATTCTCAGAATAAGTACATTTTATATACATTAAAAGTAATCTAATTAGTGTCTAATGGCTACACAATTGCAAAGTAAGAATTGCTTAAGAGATAACTTTAAAGTAAGCGATGAAGATGAAAAGGAAAAACAATGTGGATACTTTGCTAGAAAACTGTATTGAACCAGTAAAGATACACACAAAATGTCTACAACAAACTTACAAAATCATCTCAAAAAAGTGAATCACATGGTGCTTAGCATAATGATTGCTTCAACTAAGACTGTTAACCATGAATCTACAACAGATCAAACTCAAAGGTCTGTAAGACAATTTTGTATTACTCAAATAATATGTTTAGGAAAGAGAAACTCTGTATTGAATCAGAATTGATGTGTTTAGATATCATACCACTGTGGAAAATAAAGGTTTTACCAGGTTTTTAATAAATTTAGCTCAAAATTATATAATACCTAGTCAAATGCATTTTTGCACAAAAGAGATGAATATGAAACAATAAAACATAAAGTAAAGAATGAGAGCAGACTTCATCACTTTAAGTTGTGATGGTAAACTTGTTGAAATGCTTTTATGCATACTGAAACATAAGTGCATAGACTGCATGTACATCAGAGATCATTTATTTATGCGAATTTATTTGACTATGTTTGTGAAATAACAATCAGAATCATTTGTTATTGATGAACTTCAAAAAGATTTTAATAGTTTTCAAATATAAAAGAATAAGATCTGAAAATTGCAATAATGCTTGATCCATTTTTTAAATAAAAATTTGTTGAAAAAATAAATTTTAATTTAAAACATGTTTCAACCATTTTCGGAAATTTTTAGATACTAGGCATCAGACACTTTTAATAACAAATTATTTATAAACATTGCAAAAATTTTTATTGTGTTCTATTTGAGTTATGGTTAATTCAACAATACAAAGTATAACATAAAAGTACAACTCCATAATAATGTAATATACAAATAGTTGACAGTTTTACATTTTGTACAGTTTTATTTTGTAGCGTATTGTTCTTATCTTGTGTTACAAAAGTTTTGTTGTAACACAAGAAATAACAATATGCTACAAAATAAATATTTTGTTTAACAGAATAATAATTTACTACTTAAATCAAATCTAAACCGGTCATAATCAAATAGCTTTAAAGATTTTTTACTATCAAAAAAACATAAACAAAAGAAATGTACTCAAAGTAAACCATATATTCTTTTTGTAAAGCATTACCATTTAGTTTTTATAAATATTTCCATTAACTTGGTAAATTGCCACTTTACCAAGTTCATGGTTACATTGTAATTAATCTAAAAAGAATGTTTTTTTATCTATGTATTAAAAAACTTTTTTTTTTCAATTTTCAAATGAAAATAAATACAAATTTTTTGGGAAACCCTATTATTTTTTTAAATTTATTTTTCTTTTGATACATTTTTTTATTTATTTATAATATCAATGTTAAATGTTGCACCAGGAAATATTTATTATTGTCAATAAACATTATATAGTTAAAATAATTTTAGCTATTAATTTTAAAAGACAATGTACTAACCATCTTCTGCAGTGTCAAGTTTCATTTTGCGACCAGCAAAACTTAACTCATTAACATAGTCAACTTTGGTTGCAGAAAGCTGTTCTGTAAGACTGTTTATTGATGCCATTTATCTTTAACTGTACAGTTGAGTCTAAAATAATGCATTAAAAAAAAATTAACAAAAGCTTCTATAAAAATTACTCACATTCTTATAAAAGATTTGTGGAACTACTAGAAAAATATCAACTTAAAAACTTAGATTTTAATTATTACAGCAAATGCTACAGCAAACAATGATTATTATTAGAATAATTTTTAGTTAATTTAAGAACTTATTTCAACTGCTGTGATTTCCTTGACTTTGCAATTCTGTGAAAAAAGGAGAACTGGAGAAGCAACCACAAGACGAAAGAAAACATTCGGTTTAAAACCTCTATTAAATTGTTAGGGTTTAAGTGAGTCAAGTCCTCACAAAATATAATAAACAAATAGGGTCACAAAAATGCATAGGAAAATAGCTTCTAAAGTAAATGACCTAAACAGGTTAATTTGTGAAATTAAAATGATATGTAATAAACTTTCAATGTTTACAATTATGTTTATTGTAAACATTTAAATAGTTCATAAAAAAATTTGTCTAACCAATAAATATATATTTTTGGTTAATTACTTATCTTAAACTAGTTCTACACATAGTTAGTGTAAATGTAGCTTCGGCTTTTATTTTTACTGTCAATTTTACTTAATTAAATGCTAATTTTATCAATTACTAATTGTTAATTCTTAATTTTACTAACTTTAAACAGAAACTAATAATAGTAATTACTTCAAATGTCTGACAAAAATATTTAATGTTGCATTAAAAATTTAATGTGAGCCATTTAATGTGGTATTAAAAGCTCATCACCCTAACTTTAAGAGATGACGTTGATGCGGGTCATGTGTGAATATGATTTTATGACACTAAATGGCTCACATCAAATTTTTTTATTAAGTATTAATTTATAAGTAAATCTATAAGAAAGTTTAAAATTCTTTACTGAAAATTAACTTTCAGTAAACAAAAATTCTTAACTAAAAATATACTTGAATCCTCAGAATTTACATATGCATTAATAAACATTTATTATTACATTTATATACTTGAGTAATGTAAGAATTGATAAACAGCTATTGTAAATATATATTTTTCATACATAATGGCAATATGTATAAAAATATTATTGCAAAACTCTAAAATGTGTAACACCGCATGCTTGTTAGGTAGATCATGCATTATATTTATAATAACTTATTTAAATAAATTATCAATGCTATCTTATAACTTATTAAAATATCTTATGAAATTTATCAATAAGAAGTTTTCATATGCTTTATATAATACTTCTCTCTTTGTCTTACATAGTAAACATAAAAGAATATTGTAAATGAAATTCGCACATGGAAAAGCTGAAAAAACCCGCCGCTGTAAATAGATTTTACACAATCTTTAAATCAAAAATAAATAATACTAAGTACGCAACAGTACCTCAGTCCGCGCCAAAAGAATAGCAAATGCAATAATTTAGTAGTAAAAATACAGACCCAACTGGGAGAGCTGGGGGCTTTGGCACATGTGCCAAACCAATAGCACACACGCTTTGGCACATGTGCCAAACCAATAGCACACACGCTATTTCAGCAGATTTTAGAGGTTTTAAGACTTAGAAACGTATCTAATAGTCAATCTTCTTACCTTTCTTCATAATAACCTGAATGCAACGCTTAGGCAAAGAGGAAAATAGCGTTTCAAGCAAAGATTGGGGGATTTTGTTTCATTCCATATGGATGGTTATTTTCAGTTCCGTGACGTCACTGTATTGTTTTCCATTTGCATACACGTGACAAGACAAGTAACCCCAAATGTTTTCAATTAGATTCAAGTTAGGTAACAGCGTTGAATGATCAAATAACTGAATGTCATGTTCCGCTACAAATTCCATCACAGTCTTTGCCGTATGTATCGATGCGCTATCTCGCTTAAAGACAAACGTATGTCTATAGTTGGCATGCATGTAGTTGGCATGCCCATATGGCATTAAGTAATCAGAGAATGTAACAATATAGTCTTCAGCCGTTTTTTTTCCCCTTCTAAAAACTTCAATTCAGATAATCCAGCCTTATGAAAAGCACCCCAAATCATGACACCACCACCATTTTGTCTGGACAAGAAAGTCTTGGGCTCTTTTCCTAAATCATGCTAATAATATTGATATCCGTCTGGACCATTCAGATTAAATTTCTTCTTATTAAACTAAATAATTGAGCCCCAATCAGGTAGATAAGACAAATGCTTGTTTGCATACGCGAACAAGCATTTGTCTTAAGCAAACGTTTTTCACCAGAAAATATCATATGGTCTACCATATTTTGACGCGGGAAAACATTTGGCATCAAAATTGATATGCTTTTTATTACATCTCTGATTATGACTATTTTTAGATATATTAATGTTTAAACAGTATAAAATGAATAAAATATATTATATTTATAGTGTGTGATATTTGTTTGGCGCGTATACTGAGTAATGAAAATTTAAGTTTTTAATAAAAAAATAAAATTTGAGAATCTTTTGTGTTTAAAGGAATCACCAAGGAATTTTATTTATTTTCTAACTTTTTTTATATTTTATCTTTATTTGATTTACTGATCAGCGCAGCAGTCTTATGCCCAGGGTTTTTAATTTAATATCTATATTCTATGGAAGTTATATAGGGGCTCTATGAAAAGATTGCGATGACGTATTGTCATCTTCATCTTCTTTGAGCCCCTGGCTATTTAACTCTTTGTTTTATAAAGATCATTGTAAAAAGAAAATGTTATATTTTATACTGTATATACAAAAACGGCGCTTATTGACAAGATTTTATTGTCTTCTTTTTTCTACGGACATATTTTTTCTTTCTTGTATTTATACTTGTTTGATTATCAAAAACTGTACTTTAATGACGTTAAGGTTGGTAGACGCTGAGGAACCGCAAAGTTAATTATGCCAATCTTGCGGTTATTTTTTGTATTGTTCAATAAGATCTGCTCTTGCTTGTTGTTTTCTTAGTGTTGTCAGGTTTAATCTTAGTGTTGTCAGGTTTAATCTTAGTGTTGTCAGGTTTAATCTTGATAATCGCTGAGTGAAGGGTAAGTACTTTATCATAGAGATGTGTTTTGTGGCTCGGTGTTGAACTTGCTTGAGTTTAGCATTATCTTGAGCTAGATAAAGTGACCAGCTTTTTGATGCAAATTCCAAGTGTACAGGTTTGTAATGCAAATTCTAAGTGAATTACTACTGCCTCTAAAACCATTCTTAAGCGTGCCAAGCATACGGTTGCCAGCTAATGCGACCGTGAATACTTGTTTACTGACATTTAAATCGTTAGTTATTACAACACCTTAATCACTTTCTAATGTTGTGTACGGTAGCTTTTGCAGTTGGTCAACAGTGTCGTTCATTGTGTAGATTGCAGTTGATTTTTTGTTGTTTCAAGATTGTACAAGATGGATGGAGTGGTGTTTCAAATGATCCGATTATTGCTTTGAATGCAAAGGACGAGCTTATGTTTAAACTTTAATGCATAACTGGTTGTGCATCAAATAAAAAATAACTAAGTATTGTACCTAACTCCCTTGTAATGTTATTAAAGATCTTAAGAAAAAGAAGTATTTACTGTAGAAACAGGCAATTAAAATAAGATGAAAAAAACGAGGGATTTAATCAAAGAACACATTTAAATATTTTAACATATGGGTGTTCTGCACACTATTCAAATCTTTTAGAAAAAGAAGTAACACATCCAGATGTCATAAACACAGTTGATATGTATTGCTAATATTTTTGCAATACGTATCAACCACATGTAAATATTTTGTTGTACTTGTGGTTTATCAACTTCAGAAACCTAAATTAAATACTAAATTTTTCTATTTAAGGATAATTGCGTGAGAAAGTAAAACTAATACCTCAGCTACCAAATAATATCCGCTGGAACCAGGGCCGCTGAGAAGAAGGGGCAAAAGGGGCATACGAGTCTTGGCGCCATGATAATAGGGGCGCCAAGGTATTAGGGGCGTCAGAAGACAAAAGAAAAAAAAATCATAATGACATCTTAATTACAAAAAAGTAAAAAAAAAGTTTGTATTGATAAGGTGAGAAATAAGTTTACTTGATAATGTACATAGCAATTAACTATACTTTATTTTTATTATCAAAGAATTTTAGTTAAAAATAATTTTTTTTTGTTTGGCGGGGACCAAACAAAAAAAAACTTTGAATTGTTTTTATATTAGTTAAATATAAAAACAATTCAAATAAGTTAACTTTATTTGCTTAGGTTTAACGACTATTGAGACTTTAACAAGGAATGTTAAGAGACTTTAACAAGAAATGTTTAAGTCTCAACAATATTGAGACTTTAACAAGGAATGTTAAAGCCTCTACACAAATGTAACGCCTAACCTCAAAAAAGGAAACAAATTCAAGAACGGTTTATAAATATGCACTTGCACATACAAACGCACACACAAATACTCATACATATACATACATACATATATACATACATACATACAGACACACAGACAGACAGACATACATATACACACATACATACACATATATATCCATATACATATAAACACACACATATACACATATACATACACATACATACACACATATACATACGTAAACATTTATATATGTTTACGTATGTATATGTGTGTTTAAATGTGTATGTATATGTGTATATGTGTGTGTTTATATGTATATGGATATATATGTAAATACTATTCTTTAAATGTAAACTTTGCTACATAAAGTCTGATCCCTTTGCTGCAAAATACTAAATAAATAAATCACTACAAAAAAAAATTAATTTTTTAATGAACTTCAATTAAGGTCAAATTACTTTTATTTTTACAACTAAAAAATAACTTTTCATCATTCAGCAAAAAATTAGGCATAACAGAAAGAATTTTTTTTACAACATCAATTATTTTGCAAAAGACCATTAAAAAAAAATTCTTCTTGCATAATAACTTGCATAACTTACAATAAATTTATTATGCACCAAGATTTAAAACACTACTGATAAGTTTTTTAAAATTTGGTTTCAAGCTTGTAGTTGATATTCTAAGCAACTCTAACTAATGCTCACTAGTTAGATTGACACGATACTTTGGTTAAATAAATTAAGATTCAAATGTATATGTTAAACCAAAATTTTTTTTATAAAAATCCTTTTTAATTGAGGATACTTAACTTCAGGAACTATTTTCCAAAAATCCAATAAAGTTAGTGTTCAATGCAGCATTTAATAATTTGGAGATCTAGTAATTCCATTTCAAATTAAGATGTTTCTTCAAGTACGTTTCCTGGAATTGGACAACCATCACTAATAAAAGATCTTGCAAAAAATTCACATAGTCAAAAATTTCATGTCTTTTGCTTTTCAAGCAAAAATGACTTAATTGATTCTAATAGTTCTACAAACCTATAAAGAACATCTTTACTTGAAAGCCACCTTACAGCACAGTAAAACAACAAGTCACTTGGTTTGTCAGCAAGATCCAATTAACTAATAAAATTTTTGAACTGTCTGTGATTTTTTGCATTAGATCGAATATAATTTACAATCTCTAGCACAGATTTAAAAACAATTGGAAAATTAAAATGTTTTGCTGCTAAATGCCCTCGATGAATCACAAAATGAACTGGGATAAACTCTAAATACTACTTATTTATCACTTTTTAGTAAACCAATAGGACAAACATGTTTTCTAGCCATTGCTGTTGCATCATCTGTAGCAACACTAATAAGCTTAGGAGCATTGGCATTTACCAGAACAGTGTCAACGTCTTCCTTTAAATAAATTCCACGAGTTATGTCTTTTAGCTCTACTAAATCTAGCAACTCTCTTTTCGCAAGTACATCTGATGTTACATATCTAACAAATACTGCCATTTTAGGTTTACCGTGAATACCTGTTGATTCATCCAATGCTAAGCTGAATGCTTCACAATTTTATAAATCTTTTTTTAACAAATGCTGTTCAACTTTGAAAATAATCTCAGATATTCTTCTTTCAGTTGTATGTCGAGAAACAGAAATATTTGAAATTAACTTTTTTTTATTAGGATCTAAAACTATCATATCTAAAAGATTTTGTTTTATTTGATTCTTTGCTTGAAGATGAAATACTCATTTGATGATTTTGATATTGTTTTAAGCAACTCGATTTTATTTTTTCTATGACATGAAAAATACATATATTTTGATTCAATGTGACGTTTAACATTACTTGTCTTATCATGAGCAAGTTAAGTATTGCAAATTGAACACATAGGTTTATTTTCTTTTTCAATAAATACTTTTTTTTTTTTTCAAATCACCATGAAATAAGCTGTTTTTAGCTTCTTTTTTTATCTTACTTTTATTGTGAAGTGCATTATCTTTTTTTTGTTTGTTGATAAAATAACAAATATTTAAAATTTTATAAAGTTACATTATCTCAGCTTGATAGGTTATCTTTTACAATATATAAGTTTTATAATACTTGTGTATATATATATATATATATATATATATATATATATATATATATATATATATATATATATAAAATATATACAAGTATAGTAAAATTTATATATTGTAGAACATATCAATATAAGATAATGTAACTTTATAAAATTTTAAATATTTGTTATTTTATTTGTAAAAAAAAAAAAGAAGCAAGAAAAACGGCTGATGACGTAATCTCAATGTTATGTTTTATGAAACTATTTGACAAAAACATTGAATTATATAAGTTGGTTTGTGATTCTAAACTAACCTATATCGTTTTTTTAGAGCGGTCAACCCCAATAACCCTGGTTATTTAATGTTTATAAAAAAATCAACAGAAACAACAACAACAAAAAAAAACAACCTTTTTACAATTATATAAATTTATATAAAAACAAGTGGAAAATAAAACTATACAAGGACTGCACGTCGTTTCGATTTATGATTCTGGAAATTGAGTCAAATCAAGAGTAAGTGTACTCGTCGTCGTACAATCTTTATCAGGCTAAAAACAAAATTAATCAAACATCTAATTATATAATTGATTAAACAGTTAATTATATACAATCTTTTTCAGGCTAAAAACAAAATTAATCAAACATCATCTAATTATTTTAAGCAATTATTCTCAATGAAAGTAAGCTAATTAATGTTTTTGCATAAATAGCATTGTTGTGTTTAGCGTAACATTGAAGTCAGTTCCTGCAACTCAGTGCGCATATACTTTTTTAATACTGATTTTAAATACTATTAAATTATTTCTAAAGACGCTTTATCTTCAAATTTAAAATTAAAAATCTTTCCTCGTTAAATAAATATTTACATTATAGGTGGTTACAGCCCAAAAACAACTTGAGGTAGGATAAAGTAGGATAGCCTAGAATTTCTTTTTTGGGACAGATAACTTTTTATTATTAATTTTGAAAAATAAGCTTAAACATAAGGCTGTTCTTGGTATGTATTTCGTGTTTTTCCTTTGCTAGATTGCTGAAGTTGACTACACTTTTTACCATACATCCCAAAAACCACACTAATTAACTAAATTGGCTACAATTTCTGAACTGTATGGAATGATAACTAGATTTTATGAAGAAGATTGTTATAATAAATCTCTTTTAAGACAATTGCATCACTGCTAACTTATATAGAAATAAATAATAAGAAGCTGCTATAAATTAGTGCAAAGAAATGAATAAGAAGGGACAAGCAGCATTAAAGAATGGTATGTTTCCTCTCATTAAAGATAGACAATCAACAGTACAAAAGTGATGCCACAGTTACCAGAAAACATACAAATGAGAAATAAGCAATTAGAAGCTGCTATAAATTAGTGCAAAGAAAAGAATGAAAAAAGGACAAACAACATTAAAGAATGGTATGTTTTCTCTCATTAAAGATAGAGACAATCAACAAGCAATAAGGTGGAAAATTGCATTGTTCATTTTATAAAAAAGAACAGATCTTTACAAACTATTTACAGGAAGTAACCAAGTTAATTCTTAATGTGCTACGTGTTAGACATCACACTAATACAAAGACGATAATAATAGAAAGGTAGAAGTTTTACAAACTATTATTAAAAGCTCGAGCTATGCTGGAAAAAGGAAAATCGAATTAAAATCATTTAATCTACAACGATCTTATGAACATATCTAAATAATCAGAATCATTTTTATATTTGAAAAATTATATTTTTGTATTTTTAAAATTGGGATATTTTAAATATCCCATTTTACTTTAAGCTCTTCTTTTTTTTTACAAAAGGTTGATCGATTATTTTGGCTTTGTTTTCTGATAAGCATAGCTATCTTACAATCAAACGACGAGGGAGAATGCCTACAAAAAAACGACAAGGGAGAGTGTCTACAAACTGTGCACTGACATGTTCAAGGGAAACGGCATCTCGTATTTCAGATATTTAATTGTGATAAAACACCCCAATTTATTAATTATGGGGTTAATGGTATCAGTTCTGAATTATTTTATACTGGTGAAGGGGATGCATGTCAAATAATAAAGGAAACAGAGAATGTGTCACAATTCAACTATTTGTTTTATTTTCAGGTATGCAATAATATATGCGGTTTAAGAAAAAATGTATATATGATAATACTTGCTTTAAACCATTTTTTTTTGTATTTTAAGGTGATATATGTATTTGGACTTTTATTTACTGCTTCTGTTGGAACCATACCAGTTGTATGGTTCCAACAGAAGCAGCAAATAAAATTCCACATTTGTTGATCACAACACCAGATAATGGAATATCAAACCATGAATCGTTCTTGGCAGCAATGTCTATTTAAATGAAAAAAACGTTAAGCAGCCCAATCTCTTATTGTCAGATGGACCTAACTCACGACTAGACTTTGATGTTGTATCTTTTTTTGAGTCCAAAAGAATTCGTCACTCCATCAGACACAACAGTAGTAACTCAACTTCTTGACCAAGTCAATAAAAACATTAACAGTAAGTATTGTGAACAAAAAGATTGATATCTGTTCCTTAAACAAAGAAGCATTAATATTAGTTTTAGCCAATATATGGGACAAATGGATAAACTAAAAAACCATTATAAAATCTGCTAGAAGGGTTGGTGTTACTAAATACTCATTGGATGTTAAATTTATGCCTAAAGACAAATTTGAAAAAGCAGAAAACTGCATTGAAGCAAAAAAATAATCGTCCCCTTAATTTCTTTGGCTGTTAAAAGACATGGTTCAGCAAGTTACTGGTTAGATCTAAATTCGAACAAGTATAAGTAAGAAATATCAGGTTTTATGACAACCAAAAAAGTTAAGCCTAAAGTATCAAGACACGAAACCTGTTACCCAGGTTTGAATTAATCAATATAATCTATATAAAATTGCTAAACTTAATAGTAGTATTAGTAATATTATTATAATGTGTTAGTAGTGCCCTTTCGAGCGTGTTTGACACAAATCTCTTGGCAGCCATTGCAACCGAGATAATGGCGAGAAAGAGTCGCAGCACTTTGTTTTATAAGAAAATGCGAACAAAAGTGTATGCAAATATCTAACGTACGTAAACTTCAAGTTGGGTAATGTTAAAACATATTTAAACATATATCACCGTTAAAAAGTTTTAAAATTTCGATATGCAAAATTTACGTCGTATATCGAAATTTATTTAATTTTTTAAAATACAAAATACTTGTGAAGTTTTATAAAGGATATATACAAACATATCTAACGATATTATACACTTTATCAAACGAAAAGAATTTTAAAAAAGCTCAAAATTCTAAAAACATTAAAAAAAGGGGGGATATTTGTTGCGTATGTGTCATGGTTGAGATACTTATGTTATTTTAGCTTTACATTTCAAGTTTTTTTACAACTAAATTGAGTTTGTGCAAGAAAAATTAGTATACAACATGTTTATATAAAGAATATAAAATCTATAGAACTGTAAAGTTGTTTTGTTTTGCATTTTAAAAAACAAAAATTAAAAAATAAAGCAAGCTGATGATTTTAACTTACCATGCGGCGACCTTAACTTTTTCAAAAAAGTAAGGGGGTTTAAAAAGTATGTTTTATACAGAGGCGATTTTACAGGGGGTGGGTGGAGTGTGTGTGTGGAGGAGGGAGGAGGAGGGAGGAGGAGGGTGTGTGTCTTTAATGGACATAAAATGCAAAGCTTTCGGCTTGAAGCAGTGTCCAACCTGTCTCAACATTATGAAGTCTAATCGCAGCAAAGTAAATGGACGAAATCCAGAAATAATCTCATTAGCAGGAGGTAGAAAAAAATATTTGAAACATTAAAAAACATTTTTTAATGAAATATTTGTATAAATTTCGTGTAAAAGATAGATTCTGAATACATTTTAATATGAGTAAAAAACATGTTACTGAGAAATCTATGTTGCTTGTAGACAGTATAAAATGCTTTATTTGGAAATGAAACACTTAATACAGTCTCTTTATTGATAATTAAGAATTTGGCAACTCACATAAAAAACGTTTTTTTAAAAACCATCAAATTCAAGACCATCTAAACTCTGTTAATTTTGGTTAAAAAGCCTAGTTTTTTTGTTTTGCTGGGGATAAAAATAGGAAATATATGTTTGGATTGTTGTGAGAAAATTGCATTTATTAATAGGCAAACTTTTCTAGATCTACGTACTTAGTTGAGTTACTTAATAAGCCATGCCACTATGCCTTACACACCTGTAAGTTAAAATATCCTAAGAAGATCAATACTATCTCTAGAAAAAGCTCACAATGAAAAATTGTGTGAAGATAGATTATTGCTTCTGTGACCTTTTGTATAAAACTTGTCTTTTAAAAAGATAACTATGCAATTAAAAACTTGTCTTTTAAAGAGATAACTATGCAATTAAAAACTTGTCTTTTAAAGAGATAACTATGCAATTAAAAACTTGTCTTTTAAAGAGATAACTATGCAATTAAAAATGATCATTAGTTTTTTTGTTAAGTAGAAATAGTACTTACGTTAGCAAAAAAAGTATAAAAAAGTATAAAAGTGGAAAAAGTATATTTTGGAAAAAGCACTTACATCAGCGGTCACCCCAATTACACTATCAACTTTAGTATAAAACTCGTCTTTTAAAGATATAACTATGCATTGAAAATGATCGTTAGTTTGTTTTTTTATATATTTTGCAACCTAAAATTTCCAAAAATAAAATAAAAAAATTATCAAAACATACTGATTTACAAAATGACACATAACAAAATTATCACTAAAATAAAAGCGCTTAGTTCTCACTCTGTTAATGTTTGTGTTATCAAGAGCAGCATCTATTTCATCAAGTACAAAGAAAGGAGAGGGTTGGTAACTATATCATAAAAAACAAGAAAAATTAAAAAAAAAAACAGTTTAAAAAAAAGTCTTAAAACCTAAAAAAATATATATTTTTTTAAATAACATAATTAAAATATAACTAGTAACACCCAACAAACTCCATTAAGATCTTACAAATTTTTTTAAAGATAACTCCATTAAGATTTTATGAATATTTATCTAAAATAACTCCAGTAAAATCTTATAATTTTTTTTTTAAAGATAAATCCATTGAGGTCTAATGAATTTTATTTCAGATAACTTAATTAAGATTCAGGTCATATTACTTACTTAAAAATAAATATAAATGCATTTTGTGTAAATAAGAATTTCTCATGTGTTTGAAAAGAAACTCATTTGTATGCAAAAAGATGTTTAAATACTTTAAGTTTTCATGCAAGTATCATAATTATGTAGTGCTGTGGATTCTATATTGCTGTAATTGTGAGGTATGGCTGACAAAGTTGCAGTTTAGAATCCACCTTAAAGATGTTTTTTTTTTAAATTTAAATTTAAAAAAATATTTTTATTTGAAGTAGTTTTATGTTTTTTAATTAATAATGTTGTTTATTTATAGTAATGTTTATCATTTATCTTTATTTTTCAAAATTTTCATAAAATAAGTGCATTAATGCATACATAAATAACTTAAATAGAGATCGGCACAGTGGAGTGTACATACATTGACTGAGGATTTAGGTTTTAACAGGCATGAATTTTAGATAATACAAAGAATCGATAGTCATCTTTGAACTTGATTATTTGAATACTAAATCTTAGCATGCAGCATCCATTACGGAGTCGCTAAACAAAATGGCGACTCCGACTTCAATAGTAAAATTTCCCTGTATTACACGTGCATGTACAAAACATTCAATTAACCTAATGTTAATACTAAACTTTAAAGAACGTTTCTTAAATTTGTCAAAAAAGAAATTTTTAACTTATTGCGTAATATTTTTTTAAAAATTCAAAGAATTTTTCAAAAATTTTTCTTTGGAGTTGGAGCCGGAGTTGCAGTTGTACTCAAAAAATTTCAACAACTGGAGTCGGAGTCATTACTTTTTTTTTACGACTCTACACCCCTGGTGTAAACAACATCTATGAAAAGCAACACATGTGAATAGCATTATCTATGAGAAAGCAACACATGTGAATAGCATTATCTATGAGAAAACAATAGGGTTGAATAACATTATCTATCGAAAGCAACACGTCTGAATAATATTATATATGGTTAGTAATACCTGTGGATAGCAAATAATAAAGCCAAAGCAGCAACAGTTTTTTCTCCACCTGATAAATTATCCATGGGTCGAAATCTATATAAGAAACAAAAAACATATATTAAGTATTAAGCATTTATAAAATTTAAAACTTTGAACTCTTACATATAATTATTATATATATAACTCTTATATATAATTATAGTTATAAAATTTTTACCTTTTACCTGGTGCAACACAATTATAACTAATCCCTTCGAGATAAGGCTCCTTAATTAAAATTAAACTCTAGTAGTATATATATTTTAAAAGAAAAAAAAAAATAAAAAAATGTATAAACATTTAAAAAAAGCTAAAAAATTTTGCTTGTATTTCACACTTACATCACCATTCTCAGGCCCAAGGAAAGCTTGTGCACTAGAGTTGTTTGATAGTTCCTTAAAATAAATTTAAATTGAGAACAGATAAACATTAAATAAACAAAAGCTTTGAGTCACACAATAAAGTTGAAAATAAATCGTTAAAACAAAAAAGAATATAATACTATAAAAATTTAATTATGTGCCATCTAAAACAAGGACAAGCAAGATCTATGGTAAGAAAATATTATTTCATTTATTGATGAACATCTTTTAATGATTTTCTTTCCATAAGTAATTCTTAAGTATTGTAAACTTCCTAAAAAAATTTTCACATTAAATTTCCCTGACTTAAATAAGTATTATTATATTTTTCAATGATCTTATTTATCAAAAATCTGATGTTAAAACTTTTTTGTTACAAAATCCTTTTAACTTTTATAACATAAATTTAACTTTATATAGTTATAGTAAATGACTTTGAAAAACAGTTTTCAATGGATATATTTAATAAACATAATATTAGTTAATACCCAGTAAACACATGAATTTACAGAACTATATGACGTCTGAAAGATGTCTTATAGACGTGTCAAAGATGTCTGTCTAAAAAGTTTTTAAGAAGTCAACAATCAGCATAATTTTAAACAACTAACATAAAAAACACATTTTGATACGCCTTGTTTATGTTAAAATGTGTCAATTGTTTTTATTCTTTAGTACAGTTCTTTTTAAAAAACCACATACTAAACTGTTTATGAAAAATAAGTTACACACATAATCTCTCCACTCTTGAAAACACTAAATAATAATAAACAATACCCATTTAATTTTATTATGAAAAGCTTTATGAATAAAATCAAACTCAATTATTCCGAATAATTAAGATTGCAATCTCTAATTATCTGTACACAATCAGAATTATTTATATTATTATTCATACTATATATCTATTGTCTTAATTTTAAAAATAAAATAAAAGCACATGTATTATATAATACTTTATATATTGTACTATCGCATTAATATTGCATTTGACTTTGTGGTGTTTGATGTGTGGAAAAACAAGGTGAGGGCATAGCCTGGTTATTACGCTCAACTTGTTTTGCCCCACATCAAAACTCATTTAAAATTCAAAGTTTTTAATTTAAAATAAACAAATTCAAAAACTAAAATTTAATTTTAAACAAGTTTTGATGCACGAGACTATATGGTCAAGTTAACCAAATTGTTTCATAAAAGAAAAGCATTATTGTTGTAACTAAGAAACGCAAAACAGTCATTTTTAAAATAAACCATTAGTTGCATAATAAAATGCAACACTTTTTTAAAGACATGGTCCTAGTAAGCTCAAGACATAATCCACACATATATATCAGGGTGCGACAAATGTACGAATGTGTGAACGTTTGTTAAAAAAAAAAAAAAAAAAAAAAGGGGGGGGGGGGTATTTGACATACCTCTTAAATTAGACGTTCATCAATAAATAAAGAAACGATCGCCAACGTTTATTTAAAAAAAACGATTTTTTCCGCCCTGTATATTGCACCAACTAAAATGCAAATGATTTTAATTAGATCAGAGAAACTGATTGGTTTCTTTATAAAAAAAATCAGTTTCTTATAAAAATCTTATTATGAAATATAAATATATATATATATATATATATATATATATATATATATATATATATATATATATATATATATATATATATATATATATATATATATATATATATATATATAAATATATATATACATATATATATATATATATATATATATATATATATATATATATATATATATATATATATATATATATATATATATATATAAATAGAAGATTCTGTCATAAATCTTTTTCTTAGTTGAAGCAATTATGTAAAATTCAGTTTAGGATATTAAACATTTTTTAAAGATACATTTGAAAAAGTAATATTTTTGAATGTGATAACTGCTTTTATTTATTTTGCTTAAACTCATTTTACACTTACTTATAGTCATTATACAATATAGTAGCACGCGCGCTAAATTATTAATTTTAAACAATGTAATGAATTATATATTTTATACTATGTAATGAATTATATATTTTATATTTTTTTTGTGGATTCTTTAAATACTGTAATTTTTAAACATTGCGCATTCTATTGCAGTAAGAAAATTTAAAATATTTTTTATAAACAGTTAAAACTTTTATAACTTTTTGTTTATCAATTTTTCTATTGAATAAAGCCGTTAATAAATAAATGAATAGCTAGTGTGTAAACTCAAAGAGAATGGTTGTCTAAAGAATTTTTTTCAAAAATGGAATATTTCATAAGCTTTTATGGCACAATAAATGACACTTGTTATGTATATACTTGTAACATTAACGTTACAATTATATACTTCAAACAAGTATAAAATCTGTATTTAATAAGCAATTTTTGCTATGAAAAAACAGATGGCTTGCACAAATAGTTAAAAAAAGTCTTGTAAAAAGCTGTTTAGAGGAGTATTTTATATGGCTTGCCAAGTTTATTATAGGAGAGTATTTCTCTGCTTTGGCACAATTTGGCCAGCATATATATGTAGTGCAAACTTGCATAAAACAAAACATACTTTATATATTTCATCAATTTTCTGAGAAACGTGTTCGAATGCATCCATAAACTTGTCATACCTAAACATAAATAAATATTTTGAAAACATGTAGGAAATGTATACATCTTTTTGCTTCTATATATACTTTTATGAACAGCGAGACAAGTATCTTTGATTACAAAAATCTGGGTCTGATTTACACACCTAAAGCAAATATCAATGTGAACTTTAGTAAAAGGTTTACTAGATTTTAAAACTCTAAACCTATCACCAAATGATACCTACATTAATAACATAATGCTACTTGTTAAAACGGCTCATGCAAAATTGGTCTGCTCTATATATTAACAATACGCATCTAGGCATTATGTAGTTTTATAACATTAAACATTCTACATGTATCACTCAAATTATTTACAGATATAAATAGTAAACCATAAATGTTGTATAATAGAGCAAAATAAAAAAATAATAGATGCATAATAAAGCCTAAAATAAAACAGAGTAAAGATAAATCTATGTTATAATGGAATAGCATATAGTAAAATTGATAAATTCTAAACAACCAAAAAACCAGTGTAAAGTAAACTGTGTTAATCAAGTGTAAAGAAAACAACCAATAGACCAGTGTAAAGAAAAAAACCAATAAACAAGTGTAAAGTAAACTGAGTCAATCTGAATTTGATTGACTTGTAACTTTTTCTACACATAATATAAAACATTTGTTATCAAACAAAAATAACCTTTCTTTTTGTATTGCCTCATACTCAGCTTTAGCTTTTTTTGCTCGCTTCCTCGTATTTTCGAATTCGTCATTTGTTTCCTTAAGTCTATTTTGAACTTCATCCAACCTAACATATTACATATGTATCATATAATTATACATATTTTATATATATATAACATGTATATATATATATATATATATATATATATATATATATATATATATATATATATATATATATATATATATATATATATATATATATATATATATATATATATATATAAGGTGGTCCAAAAAGCAACATTTTTGAAAAAAATCTGCTCCACAACCCTAAATGTGTTTTATATAATACAAAAACACTGCAATTTTACAATTTTTTTAAATAAAAAATATTTTTAGGGGTAGCCCCTTAAACATTTGACCCTTAAACATTTGACGAGTCCCTAATATTTTGAAAATAAAAGTTCTTCTAAAATATGTCAACCTGGTACTCAAAAGAAGCAAAACTATATTAAAAATTCTAAAATATTAATTAATTTACATTAAATAGATGTCTAAAAAAACTATTTACAAAAAACTTGGAAATTATGACTTTTTTTATTTTCAGCTTAAAAACATCAGTTTTTATGGAATGATGTATAAAAAAATTATTTTTATATAAAAATTATTAATATTTTTGAATTTTTAATATAATTTTGCCTCTTTTGAGTACCAGGTTGACATATTTTAGAACTTTTATTTTCAAAATATTAGGGACCCGTCAAATGTTTAAGGGAGGGGGCTACCCCTAAAAATATTATATATATATATATATATATATATATATATATATATATATATATATATATATATATATATATATATATATATATATATAATTTTTTCTTGCTGTTAGAATTAAACTTAATCAATCAATAAATCAATATATTTTGATAATAGATAAATCAATTTATTTTGATAATAGATCTTACAATTAAGGTCATTTACAAATAGTTAAAAACTAATCTTAAGTAAATAACAATACAACAAATAAAAACTATAATAGTGATGATAAGTTAACAAATATAACAAAGATAAGATAATTATATAATAATAAATCAATTTTAATCTCAAAACAATTAAATATTATGCACAGACAGGAAATTACCAACAGTTATACAGACAAAACATAACAACCTCCAAAGAAAAAACAAACAACTGCAAAAAAAAAAGTAACAATGATTTAATAAACATCAATAATACATCATAATAAATACAATAGCAATAATAATAAAACATCATAAAAAATACAATAAAAATACTATATCTATAAGTATATTGTCAAAAAATAACAATAAATAAACAGAAAAATTGTTTCAACAACACTCACAAAAAAAAAGCTGTCACACACATACGCAACACCCACAAATAATTAGTTACAAAATAGTATAAAGTGTTCATAATAAATGAAAAAATTCAGACAAAAAAAAATCATATAATATACAGCTAACACATATTGCCTTCCAAAATGCCCCTTCATTGTCTACTTTTGAAAAAATTATGTTTACGTACCCCTTCCCTCCCAACTTTTTTTCTAAAAAACCTTTTTTTTTTCTTCAGAAAATTCTAGATATAGAGGACTTTTTTTAGAAACTGACAATTATGCCCTTCCACTTCAAAAATCGTGTCTTCGACCCTGCTCTGATCAAAGTAGATTTTCTCAAAACATATACTTTGTGACTTAAGTACTTTTAGCACTAAGTTTTTTAATTGTTTGTTTTTGTTATTAAAACATTAATTGCTAAATTCTTATAATAATAATAAAAAAAAAATTCTCATGCAACATATCTCAATGTATATGTAATAATATAGCCAAATATAATTTTAGCAACAAACTATATTATTACTTAAAATTGTAATTACCTTGAAACAGCTTTCATGTTAGGTGCAACAATGCGCGAAATTGTGCTTTCAAGTGAAGTGATTGTAGATGTTAGTTCTTGTTGAACATTTTTTATTTCAACTTCATCAGCCAGTTTTTTGTATTCATCTTTGAGTTTAGCATAATCAATGATGACTGAGTTTTCTTTATTGTATGTTACAGAGCCCTGAAAATATAAGAAATAGAAACCGCTTTGCTTTTATCAAACCAAAATGCTTTATAAAATGCAATTTACGAAATGCTTCATATAATGTATAATATAATGATATTTTTATATAATATATAACTTTTATATAAACTTTATATAATGAAATAACAGTATATTTAACAAAATTTGAGAAATTTTCATTTCACTTTAAATAAGTTACTAAAATTTAAAACGCAGTTTCAATGACATTAAAAGAAACCGCGCTAATACTTTCTTCAATAGAGTTTCTTTTAAGTATGGAACTGTAGAAAAAATTATATTTAGCATGGTTTTTACATGCGTTTACAAAAGAATGGCAAATTTAACTTAAAATGAATGCATTTGCAATTACTTTAAACGGAACCATGCTAAAACATTCTTTTTTCAAAGGCGTGCTTTTTTTAAATTTTCTTATTATCATTAAATTAATGTTTATTTGCTGTTTTTAAAGTTTTAAAAAAAATTTGCAGAAATATATAAAATTTAATAGATTTTATAGAACTTTTATGTTGATTATAGTTTTTATTTTTTACTGAGCGTTTAACAACAACCAATAATATAATATTTTTTTATTAAACACTTAATATTATAAATATAATAATAGCATATCAGGTATTTGATAGTAACTTATTAAATTATAAATTTAATAACTTATTAAATCCTTAATACTATATTATTATTTTTAAATATTTAAAAAATAAAAATGACAAAATAACTTTTATTTTATTTTTATATAGTTCCCTTTTATTTAAATTTTATCAAGTTTATATCTTTTTTTTATAATTTAACAAACTAAATTGAGAAAAATTCACTATTTTGTATTAATAGATAACGGTTTACAGCGAAAAGGTTATTGCATATTAGTTATCATTAATTTGCGCACACTTTGCAAATTCGTGAAAAATTGTTTTAAATTAATAAAAAATTGATAAAATTTGAAGTAACTTTGATATATCTAATTATTATATATCTTATTAACTAGAATAAAATTTATTTGAAAATAAAACTCCCTTATAATTAAATAAAAAAATTATTTAAATTAAAAAACAAAAAAAATTAAAGAAGTTAAAATGAAAATGACTTATTCTGGCTGACACACGGTTTCGAAGTGGAGGTGCACAACCATCTATTAATGAAAAAAGTCCTCTATATCTTGAACTTCTCTTAAATAAAAAAATAAATAAAAAAGTGTGTATGTGTGGAGGGGAGGTGGGGGGGAGGGGGTGGTGGATATTTGACATACCTCTTAAATTAGACTTTCGTCAATAAATAAAGAAACGAACGTCAACGTTTATTTAAAAAAAAACGATTTTTCGCGCTGATATATATATATATATATATACATTTTAAAGTTTTGTTTCAATGTAGTTTTATGTTTTTTAACTGTTATTTCTGTTTATTTATAGTTATGTTTATAATTTATTTTTATTTTTCAAAGTTTCATAGAATAGGCCCATCAATGCATAATTGTAATGCCACAGTGTACATAAATTAACTGACTTAATAGGAATAGGCACAGTAGAATACAACCCTCCGAATTCAGAAAAATGATAATAAAAATGAAATAGGGTTGGCTAAAATTTGCCAACCCTAATTTTTTTATGGTTGCGATCAGATCAGAAAAAAAAAATTGATACAAAGGCTTCACCACAAAATATTGAAATGAGGTCTGCAATTTTATGCTGATCTCAAACACTTTGAGGTCAGCAGTTATGTAAATGCTAAATGTGGACCCTAATTCCAAGGGTTGGGAATGTACATACATTGATTGAGAGTTTAGGTTTTAGCAGGCATTCTTTTAATTAAAAGAAAAATATTTCAATATTTATTTAAAAAAAATTTATAAATTAATTTAATTTATGCAAATAACTTATTAACTAGCTTACACTAGATTTTTAGGTGAAATAGTCTAAATAAATAATAATAAATACACATTTATAAAAAAATATTAGTTGGACACGGGTAAAAATAATGCCTAATATAACTAAATATAACGTAATTTTGTTAAGTAATTTCAAGTTAACTTATTTCTCCATGCAGGGACCTTGTTCATTAAAGTTCCTATTTGGGAGTTAGAGTTGAGAAAGAGATATAACCACAATTTAAGTAGTTACCTTAATTATAGTGACCTTCATGGCCTTGGGGAGGTGAATTAACATAAAAATAAAAAAAAATAAAAAAAAAACTAACGAATGATAATTTTACTAACTTAATTATTTGATGACAAAATAAATTTTTTTTACCAAAAAACTAATTGGATATCCGGAAATTTTTTTTTTTAAAGAAATATCTGAAGTTCCAAAAATATCTGGAAAAAGATAATCCCTGTATTTACGGAGTACATAACAGCACTAGTAATAGTTTCAGCAAAACAAACAACGAGTGTAACTATGTAAATATTTTCTTAATTAGAGAAAATGTTTTAACAAAAAAAAAAAAAAACTTTTTTTTTTCTTTAAAAAAAAAACAAAAAATAAAAACAGTATTCATCAAGAACCTCTCAGGCAACAATCTTTTTAATAAAAATTTTTGATACCAAAAAAAAACAGTAAAGCAATGTAAAGACCTTATAGACTTATGTTTTTAGCCAACACTGATATTTTATTTTTTGTAAAGGTTAAATTTTGTTGTGAGGATTGCAGTCTTTTTATTTGTTTTTTAATCAATAAGTATTTGATTTAAATTAAATATGAATATAATTCAATATTTTATTACAAGATATGATTTTATTACGAGATACAGGGCTCGAATTAAGTGATGGCGAATTGCAATATCCAGAAATATCTGTGGTCATTAAATTCTTATTTTTTTTAAAAACCATAAACACTGTTTTAATGAAACAATCAGTTTATCGTTTTGCAAAAATTAATGAAAAAGCAAAACAATAAATTTACTACTGCAAAAATAATAACAGTCAAAATTTACATATTATTAGTTGTTGTTTTTTTAAACAATAATTAATAATATGTAACTTAAGGATTATAAATAAAAAAAAGTTGCAAGACAAAAATTATTATTACTAAAGGTCCGAAAAACTTTCGCAGTAAATTAAAAATCAACTAATTAAAAACTATGCTTAAGCTATTTGTGCATTGTATAAAAATTTGTAGAAAAAAACAACCAATAAAAAAGTATGCTAAAGCTACTTGCGCATTATATAAAACATTAAAATAGATTTTTATTTAGGGAGAAAGTTTAGGAATTATTTATTTAAAAATTTAAATGTTCAATTAGAATTTAATTATTTAATAAAAAAAAAATTATAAAATATATTTTTTAAAAATATGTTATTAGAGTTTCTTTTTTTTTGTTTTAAAGTAAGTATTAAAAAAATTAAATTAGTTTTTATATATTGACTCCTCCGTCTTTTAATTTTATATTCGTTTCAGCTAAAGTGTTACAAGCGTTAAATTTATAAGAAAATATTGAATGAGATTTAAATAACATATAACATATAAAAGTATTTTATATCTTAATTAACAATTTCTTTTATTTAAAATATTCGATCACTGTTAAAGTTCCTTAGATTGTTGTGATTAGCGCTTATTTTTTTTTATATTTATATCGTACTTTATCATGCTTTATTTTTCTAGTGTTATCTGATTATTATAAAATAAATTAAAATATTAAAGTTTAAATTATAATCTTTAATAATAGTAAAAATAATAGTGATAATATGGTTTATTATTAAGATTTATTATTATTTAACATTAAGATTTTATATCATAATCGACGTAAACATTTTTTATTAAATGATATCTATTGAGTTTAGTGATAAAACAGTTTTACGGTTTTTAAAAAGCTAAAATTTTAAAGACCAGAAGCATTTCCAGAAATCGCAATTCGCGATCACTTAATTCGAGCCCTGAGATATGATTTTCTTGTCATTTTTTTAAAAAAGCAATACAAGTTATATGTTTATAGTTAGCATATGTTTATATTATGTTGAAAGTTTAACAAGTTTTTGAAAATATATGTATGTGGTAATGTGTTATATAATTGTTTTCTAAATGTGTTTTTATAATAGTTTAAAATGTATTTTAGCGAATATGTATATAATTGTTATATAAGGTGTTTATATATGTTATATAAGGTTAAATACACACACACACACAACAAGAGTTGTCAACCTTGCCATCCAAGCGATGTACTTAAAGCAGAGGTGGCAGCATTTAGTGTCAAGCGGTGTTACTGCTTTAGGTGTTGTCTAGCCTTCATTATTAATTATTCTGGAAACACATAATAATATCTTTCAGTAATATTTTGCATAATGTTGTTACTTGTGTTTATAAACTGAATGACATTGCTTCTTTTTTTTATACAAGATTGTGCATTGTAGTCTAGATACCTGGTTAAACTTAAAAATAACACAGGTCAACAAAAAAAAATTTTTTTTTCCTTTGCTAAGCAAACAATTTTTTTTTTGAATAGCATTTCTCATTATGATTTCGAATATGCAACTTATTTTTCACCATCATGTCAAGTTGTAAAAATATTTGGGTTCAAATCTTTAGTATTTAGGGGTAAAATCCCTAATATTGTAAGAAAAAAAAAAATTATTCAAAAGTATGTCAAAATGGGTCTCAAAAGAAGTGTATTTTCATAGAGATTTTAGAAAACATAAATATTTTTCCTTAAAATTTATTGGCAAAAAAATTATGTGAAAAAATACTAAAGACTTTAAAAAAAATTTTAACACATTCTTTCTTAGCAATAATACAAAAAGTACTTATTTTTATTACAATCAAATAATATTTTTAAAATCTCTATAAAAATACACTTATTTTAAGTTTGCTCGGCACCAGAAAAAAATTTTTTTTTTTGGTTGACCTGTGTAATTAATGTAAATAAATACTTTTTTATATTTTCGATAAACGACATATAAGTATAAACTTATAAAAAGATATGGATTTCAATAAATCCTAAGTTAAAATATAGTTTTTGATTAGAAAAGATAACAATTTGTAAGATTCTTTTATGTTCATTTATTATTCAGTTGTAACAATAGTAATATTACTAGTAATATATGTTTAATGATAACAGTGAAATTGAAATGGATAATATTAGGCTCAAAGAAGTTATTAGTGTAAATGCTAATTGATGACTTGAAAATAGTTGTTGTCAAATCAAAGAGATAGATCTAGGCAAAATGAAATTAATCATTGTTGAAATGTAAGAAAAGCTGCTGGGTGAGCAGAAAATATACCTGTCAGAATTTAGTGCCAAGCAGTATTAATGTCTGTTAATTTGATTTTACTTTAGACACTTTAGAACAAAGCAAAGTATGAATTTTAAAAAAAGTATGAATTGCTTACTGCTAGAAACTAATAAATGCAAGATTTCTATGATGTCACTTTATGTTAACATAAAATACTATAAAATTAACAAACCTGACTTCCTTGCATTTCATCATCAGTTTGGCTTAACGTATTTCCAGAAGCTTCTATATCATTCATAGAACCTTTTTTAAACGGAATAGTAATATCATCCATCTATTGAATAAACAAAATGCTAACTACAATTGTCAACCATGAAATCAATAAATAGACTAAGAAAAAAAAAATTATTATACTTTGCATTGTTTAAGAAGGCTGTGTCTGTCACTACGTTTCTCTTCTATTTGTCTCTCCTATTTGAATAAAAGATTATAATATAAATTTCTCTCTCGTTTATGAATAAAAGATTATAATATAAATTTGTTTCTCTTATATAAGTAAAATATTGTAATATAAATTTGTCTCTCCAATATGAATAAAGATAATAATATAATAATTAAAAAATAAGATAATAATATAAATTTGTCTCTCTTATGAATAAAAGTTTATAATATTTGATAAAAATTATCACTCTATTTCATATTATGAATAAAAGTTTCATTTTCCTATAATAATATACTAACAGAAAAGAATAAAATAAATTTTTTTTATCTTATAGTAGAAAATAATAAAAGATAATTTTTTATTAATATAGATGCCTTAAAAGATTTTTTCTTTTCCACTGAACTTTCATCTTTTAAAATGACATTTAAAAGTTTCTTTGCTTCTTTTATGTCTGCATCCTGTAAAAAAAAAAATTCAATAATATTAATAAAAAACTTTGTTATTCAATAACAATAAAAAATTTGTTTGGTCAATTTTGTCAAGTTATTCAAACAATTTTTTTTTTATTTTTTTTTACAAAAAGCAAATTCAATAGTCAAGGAAATATAAAAGTAATTAAAAGTTGTCAAAGGAATAAAAAATTTAGAAATTTTATTTTAAACTTTCTCTAAAATAATGTAAAAGCAAAAAGTTGACCTTTTTCTCAGCATTAGTTTTCATGACTTGTATTTCTTGTCGCCACTTGTCTAACTCATTTAAATTTATATCTATATCCTTAAAAAATAATTAAAAATTAAATCTATGTCCTTAAAAAATATAGCTAAAACATTTTAGGATCTTTGAACACCTATTTTTACATTAAGCAATTTGAACACAATATAAGAAAAACAAATTAACCTTAAGGAGTTTTTTTTCTTCAATTTTTAACTTTTCAATTTCAACTTCACTTTCTTTAATTTTTTTCTCAAGTTTTTTCATTTGTTCAGTGTGGTCACATGACTTCAAATAATCAATCTATAAAACAAGAATAAAGCTTCAGCTTTAATAAATAAAATTAAAAAAAAATAATATCCTTTTGTTTTTATTGGTTTGAGTAAAAAGTAATTTTGTACTTTTGTGTAAAAAAAGTCCAAATTTTATAGTAATAATTTTTATTTCTAAATGACACCATTTCGAATAATGTCTATTTGCCATCTTTTGGGTAAGTTCAAAATGCCATCCTCCCAGATTTTCCCAGTTTTCTGAGCAAAAAACTGCTCATGGCATTTTGCAAGCATCCAAAGAAATGATATTTTTCTGGCACATGTCATTCTTTAGGTTTGTGTTTCATTTTTTCCTTTTCTGGAAATAAAATAACACCAAACACCTAAAGCACTCCTGATTTTGCTCCACATCAACAAACTTGCAAAATAATTAATCTTGTAAATAATCAAACGTATTTAGCTTAAAATCAAACAGAGACTATTTTCAGTTACAAGAATTTAAGCACAAAATTTAAAATTACTTTTTAATCAACCCAAAACAAGTTTGATAAAAGACCTGGTTTTGCAATTTTCCTTCTTGTTTTTGAAATTGCAACATTTTTTCAGTTTTCTCTTGTTGTGCAACAAGCTGTGTTTCTTCATACTGTCTGAAAAATCAAACACATTAAAAAAAATTTTTTTTTAGCAAATTATTCTGTTGCATAGTAGCAAAAAATACCTCACTCCAAGTTAAGGTAATTAGATTACCAAAGCACTCCTCACCGGATATTTTGAACACCAATTTGTAAACAGAAAGAAGCAAATATCTAAAATATAAAATAGAATAGTAAAAATGTTTGCTTTTATATAACATGAATAATTATGCCAACAAACGAGTTGAAACAATTTAGTAGTTCTGAAAAACCACTAAATTGCATTTTAGATTTGACCCTTTTTAAAAAATTGCTAAATTTTTTAAAAAGGGTCAAATCTAAAATGCATAGCAATCAAAGATTCTCATCTCATCTCCTTGATTTGCTGGTATAGATTTAAACACAAGTTTAAATCTATACCAGCCAATTAGATGATGAATGGAATGAAAGACTGGTTAACAAAATGATTAAGTTTAGTCCTAAAGTCTTTGCCTAAAAATTCTGCACTATTTTTAAAACTTTTTAATATTATCACATATTTTGTTTAACTTTTTTATTTATCAACAAGACTTATAAAACTTTTAGCAGATCATTGAAGATGATAAAAACACTAGATAATGAATTTATTTAACAATGTTGAAAAAACCTTGATCAATTGACTTTTATAAGTTTTTGTTTCATAAGATATTTTTCTCACTGGTTTATTATCCTAATGAGGTTTTTGTGGTATTCTTAAATAAAATTAAATTTACAAATAGAAAAAAAGAAAATCAAAAATATCTAGAAGTTTATTAGCTTTAAGATTATAATGTTCTTAGTAAGCTTTCAAAGCAGTGTTAAACTATTTAGAGAATTCTAATAAACTTCTGCAATGTAACTAGGTGATAACAAAAACTTGTGCCAATTTAAGATAAAATGAAATAAAACTTTCATTAACCAATAATGCAGACTCATTGCACAATACTTAAACATGAGACTATTAAAACTAAATGTCATGTTACATTTATATGATAAAGCACATTACCTGATCTTCAATTACATTCTTTTCTTTCTCAATTTTTTGTACTTCTTTTTCACGCTTTTTAATTGATTCTGTGAAATTTGCTATATCAGGCTACGTAATTTAAAAACATAATTTGAATTAAAACATAATATAAAAGTTTATACAACTAATGTAAATAAAACTAAAAAAAATCAAATTTTTTTACTAGTATCTCTTCTATTTTTGAATTAATCACTTCCATTTCTCGCTCATTTCGAGTCATTGTCTGATTTTCCTGTTGAAAAAAAAAAAAAAAAAAAAAAATAAAAGTAAAAATAAGACAAGAAATTAAATGTTAAAAAACTTTTTTCAGAATTAATTTCCTGATTCAACATACAATTGTCTCCTTATCACGCTTGGTCCATTTTAATTTTGCTTCAAGACCCTGAATGAGAGATTTTAGTTCTGAAAGTCCTGGGGCTTTCCGCCGCTCTCCCTGTAATTCTTTTAACTCTGCTTGGTATTCATCTCTTTTTTGTTTCAGCTGATCGATTCTTTTTGAATCCCAACGTTTAGCTTTTATTTTAACAGCTCTAAATCATTTTAAGTATTATACACGATTACTATTAGCTAGATTATTTAACTAAATTTAAAATTTTATTTTCTTAACTTTTTACTATGCATTAGTCAATGTTTAAAGTATTTATTTATAAACGATTCTACATTGATTAAAACTGTTGAAAAAAGTATTTAGTTAAAATAAAATTGATATAATGAGTCTTGATTTGTTTAATCTTTTTAATCTAACCTAACTTATTAATTTTTAAACTCTGCTGCACATTAATTGCATATAAACTTTGGACAACTTTTCAATAAATTTTATTATAATATAAATAGTAGAACAAATTAAGATTGTGACATAAAAAAGTATGATAATAATAAAAGTAACATAGTAACAAGTTGTACTAAACCTAAGAATAATAAAATTTTAAAACTAAAAAAATATATATAATGAAAATTAAATTCTATTTTTTCACCAACCTCACAAAACTCTTTTAAAACATAAAATTTTTCCAAATACAACTCTTATCTGCAAACCAGTGCTATTTTTTTTAAGGAGTGACCAATTATTTCTTTTGCGACCAAATTTAAAATAAAGTTTTAGTGTTTAAAATTTATTATTACCCTAATCCACCTGAGATAACTCCTGACTTCTCAAACAAAGTGCCATCAATTGAGACAGTTCTTCTTCGCTCTGAACCACGGAACGCCACTTGGCGTGCTTCTTCAGCTGTGTCACAAACCAGAGAGTTTCCACAAGAAAACTGTAAGGCTTTCTAAAAACATTTAAATATACATAAAAAAAAAACAACAACTAATAAATGATTATTTAAAAACTTATTTAAAAACTGAATTTTTTGCAAAATTTAAAAGATTCAAAGTTAAAAATAAAAGCATCACTACCAATTGATCATAATCCTAATAGAAAAAAAAATGCTTATGTAATAATATAAGACAAACCTTTATGCAAGAAGGATCATATTTGATAATGTCAATTACAAGTTTTGCAGAGCCCCCAATTTCACGAAGCTGTTCATTTGTTGACTTGATTTTCAATGTATCAAGAGGCATAAATGTCTCTCTAGGCAAACTCTAAATAAAAGCAAAAAACAATAAAAATGCTTTAAATAATTTTATCAATTTTTTTTTTTTTATGCAAACAAATTTATCAGAACTTATACGAATTGGTTTATAATAATTTATAAACCAATACTGTACAAGTTCAATTACATACAATAACTTGTTCGTAAATGGTTTATAAATAAATCTTATGACTTTTTATAAAAGGAGGTAATTTTGTATGTGGTAGTGGTGTTGTGGTAGTGGTGTTGTGGTAATGGTGTTGTGGTAGTGGTGTTGTGGTAGTGGTGTTGTGGTAGTGGTGTTGTGGTAGAGCCCTTGAAAATGAGAGTTTGATATCCATTACATCCCTGTTAGTACTGTACTTAACTTGTTCTGCATGGCCTTATTTTTTGAGGCCAAGCAAAACAAGTTTCTGAGTTAAAGAGTCTCAAAAGGGTTTAAGAAAAAAGGATCAGCCTCCTTGTGGCGCACTCAGACATATGAACAAAGTAAAAAATATATACAAAAAACATTGATTACAAAAATATATTGACTATCCTGGTTGTTAGCACTTTGTAATTTAACAAAAATAAAAAAAAATTATTGAAACAAGTATTTTTAAAATACTTGTTGTAACAAAAAATGTTCTTTTGTAAATTTTTTATAATATCAACTTGTGCCAACTAATAATCAGTCTTTACAATTTGCACAAAATGATTTTACAAAACTATATACTTTAAAAATATTTTGAAATATAATTTTCAAACAAAGTATAGAAATTTGTTGAGAGTGTTGATATTATTAATAATAATAATAAAAAGGCTAGAATCAATAAAACTGCTATATTTTTTTGAAAAATCATACAAACAGCTAGAATATCTTTTCAAAATTTTATCTCTAAAGAATAAACAAAAAATTAAGTCATTAAAAATAAATAACATCTAAAATCTTTTAATTGCTATGAAATTTTAGCTTGTTTCTTTAAAATGTGCAATTAGGTGATTATATTGAGAAAAGTGTATACTTTTTAAAATAAACTTTATTAAAATCATGTTTAAAAAAATTGTCTTGTTATTTTTTTACTTCAAATTTATTTGGGGCATATTAGAGCAAAAACTAACTAAACTTTGCATCCATTGCATACCAACTATCTATAGTGGGATAGAATGTCTGAGGATTTTATGTTGAACAAAAAAAGTAGCCTATAATAAAAATATGCGTAATAAAGATTAAAATATATTAGAAGGGCTCTAAAAATCTGTATCATAAAACAAGGGTTTAGCTTTGTATGAAATGCCATTGATGCTGCCATACTGAAACATACATCAACTGGGAATTTGAGTTTTGGCAAGCACCATAAAAAATATTTATTATGGCAAAGTTTAAATTTGTTTTTGTTATATATTTCTATTTCTTAAAATATATAACAAAAACAAATTTAAACTTTGTCTAAATTTATTTTTGTTATATATTTTAAGAAATAGTTCATTATTTTAAAATATCTGAATTGAAATAAAAATTATAGTGAATAATTGTTTAAAAATAAAAAAAAAATAAAAATTATAGTGAATGATTGTATAGACCTAAATAAACAGTATTAAAATTTTTTAAATGTAAAAAACAAAAGTTTTTGCCAAAAATTGTTCTAGATACATAGCTGTGCCTGTCCAAATGCGCATTTTTTAGATTCAATAAGAAATAAAATTAAAGAATTTTATCAATAAATAGTATAACTGATTTCTTGATATAATCAGTTGAATCAAAATTATGGCTAATCAAAAACAAGAACAATGCAAGGCTCACAATTGACATTTGTTTTTGACTCAATCTGCTTGTAATTCATTTTAATAGAAAAACTTGGCATCATCAAGTCTAACTTGGATTATTGCAGTTTGAGATAACTATTCATTAAAACTTAATCTTATAAAAATCGACTGGTTTTGCTTAAAAGCAAAAGTTTTTTTTCAAAAAGGTACAAGCAAAAAGACAAGAAGATCCAGCGTTCATCATTCTGGGCAGGAAACAACACAGGCTTACATTTATGCCAACTTAATAAAAGAAGATATCTAATGCAATTTAGACATTTTTCTTTTACAGGGCAATAGTAAATTTACTAATCATTAAAAGGCCTCAAACTTTTCAAATAATAAGAGATAATACAATTACAAATATTCCTTCTATTATACTAAAATTTTTTCTGCTCAAATATTTATTGCTAGAAATACTTTTGAACAAAAATTTAAAGTTTAAAAACAAAAAATAATAATGAAATTATTTTCTGAACATGAAATGTGTCAATTCCATTCCAGAAATAACCACATTCAAACAATTTTTATATATAATTTATTTTAACATTATTTACCTGTTCTTTCATGTACTGAACACACTCTCTTCCAGTTTTTTCAGTATCAACAACTATGCCATCCATATATTTACCAAGCACTTTTGTTATTGCTATAGCATATCTGAATAAAATAAACATAAGTACAAAAACTGTATAAAATGTATTTATATAATGTACTGTGTAAAAAATTTAGATGGTATCCAATCAACTTGAACAGCTGGAACTAAGAGAAGATGGAGAATTGTTTATTTGGAACAACCAAGTATAATTTGTTTTGTTTGCAAACTTTCATCTTAATATTCAATTAATGTATAACTACCTTAATGTTTGAATAAGAAAACTTCAGAGAGTAAAAAAAAGCTTTAGAAAATAAAAAAAACTGTGCAGATGTGGTCAAAAAAATAACAAAGCTTGTGAAGATATACAAAATTCTCCACAGTTGCTCATAAGATAACAACAATAACAGCCTACCTGATAACAACAATATAATTAATAATTTATTTATATTCTGTAGATATTTATTACTATTTTTTTATTGAACAAATATATACTTTTTAAATTAATCAAGAATTAAAGTCAATTGTTTTTGTACAAATTGGTAGAAAGTATTGTAGAAACTGAAGAGAAGAAAGTTGCAGAAACTGAAGAAAAGAAACTTGTACAATATAAGTAAATTTATAAGAAATAATGAAAAAAATAATAATAAGAAAACTTACATTATAAATAAATTTACTCAATTTTTTATTTTTTAAACAGTTTTACTTAAAATCTAATCAATAAAACAGATTTTACTGCAACCATGGCAACCATGGTAGAATTTGCAGAAAAGAGAAAGGTATACAACCTTCCAACAATCCGATAGAGGCTCAAGCTTAACAGCTAGAGTAGGTCCAACAACATTTACATCTCATTTGTGGACCTTGTCTGAAAGAGAGAGGGTCTTATTAATGCAAGTGATGGATAATGCAAGAAGACATTAAGTAATAGACTCCGTAAGAGTGTTATGGTTTACTACTAAAAAATTATTTTTACATCAAAAAATTATTTTATATTGATACTAAACTTAAGTTAAAAATATATACATGAAAAATAAAATGAAGAATAAAAACCTTTTATGGACAGGTTCACAAAGATCAACAAGCCTTCCATAAACCCCAGGATACAACTCTTTAAGTTTCTTAACAGTTTCTGCTCTTTCTTGTGATCTTGCATCTTCATTCTTATCAGCCTTTGCTTCTCCTAATTCAAGCTCCACTCCTTCTAACAGAGAACATTTCTGGTTATAACGCTCATTTGCTTCGCTGAGATTTAAAAACCAAAACAATTTTTATATCTTATCGAAATTAAGTTCAAATAATTGATTTCTATTAAAATATAAGGAAAAAAAAGATGCAAAAGAAATTAAATAATAAAGAATTGTTGAATTACTTGACATTTTTATTGAGTATGTTGTGTTGGTCATTAAGTTCACTTAACTTTGCTTCATTAGCTCTGTACAAAAAAAAAATCTTTCAAACAAACTTTAATATTTTTCAAACTATTTCAAAAAAGAAGTTATTGTTTTTAACTTTATATACAACCAAGATTGCTTGACTAAAGCTTGTACAACCTTAAAAAATAAGGTTGCTTAGATAAAATAATAATAAAAAAAAATCAAGGTAAACCAAAATCTACACAAAAACAGAGCTCAATAAAAGTAAAAATAATAATAATTAAAAAAATGAATGGAAAAATAAACAACAGAAATATCTTAAGGGTTAAAATGAGAATTTAAAATTTCATTTTTTAGGAACCCAAAAACAGTTATGTTATTAAAACCTATCAGCTTAAAACTCTCTAATTAAAAAAATGTATAAATAAATGTAACATTTATACATTTTACTGTTACATTACTGTAGCATAAATGTAACAACTTATTGTAAAAATGATTTTAATTTGTAGAGAAAAAGTAGCAAATTTCAAATTATGGAAAAAGCAACTTTCAATTTATGGTAAAAAAATACTTAACAATTAATGGTAAAAAAAGTAGCTTTTAATTTATGGTAAAAAAAAGTAGGTTTTAATGAAGATTTTGTAACTTTAACAATAAAGCTAATTTTCATTTTCCTTTAAATATTACATTATTTGTGAAAGTTTTTCTTTTAAAAAATCACAAAAAAAAAAAAAAAAAAAAAATTTAATGAGATCTTTTATATTCCTCTATATTTTATTTAAAGTAACATACCATGATAAAACATTGAGACCATCAGGCAATAGTGCATACACACGCACACATATAATACATACATGGTTATACTGTTACATTTGTTTAAACAACAACAAATTTTAAACTATAAAAATCAAAGGTCAATAATAAGGATTCTTTTTAAATAAAAAATGTCTTCATATTAATAAAAATCCAATTCTGAATCTCTGTTTAAATATTACTTTTTAAAAGAAATTTGAGAATTAAAGCTTTATTAATCAACAAATTTCCCTTTCTAATTATTATTTAACAAACATTTTTGATTACCTTTTTTTTTAAATTACTTTATTAATAATAATTTAAAGTATATTATTAATAATAATAATCAAAGTATATTAATAATATTAATAATCTAAAGTATATTTTAAACAAAACATTATTTTTAATAAATATTAAATTAGAATCGAAAAAAGAAAAAAAAAATTACGCAATATAATCACAAGAGTCTTTAACACGTTGGTGCAGCTGAGCACGTTCTTCTTTGAGTTCTTTTAATCTAGATTCGAGATTAAGTTTACGTTGATTTAATTGATGCAAATTTGCAATGTCTCCTTTCTGTTCTCGATTTATCTAAAAAAACCCCACGAAATCTTTAAAAAAAAACTTTATTCAATACACTATAATTTAAAGTTAATGGAAATATGCATATCGTGTTTAAAATTTCGTGGACATATTGGAAAATTTTTGTTACCAATAACAATATAAAAATAAATATGAATAATTGAAAAAGAAGGTCCATAACAGTTTTAAAAACTTACTTTGTCAAGTCTAGTTTGCACTTCGCTTGTTTCTTTTCCAGCCATTTCTTTTAACTGATTGTACTCAGCCATCTATTTAAAGCAAACTGAGTTAGTTAGATTGAGATATTAGTGTGTTGATTTTTTATTTTTTATGAAATTGTAAAAAGAGGAGTTTTTTATTTGATGAAAACAGTATTTAAAACTTGAAAAAAATAATTTTTTTTTAGTTTGGTAATTTTATCTTTCAAAAATTAATTGCTAATATAAACAAAAAAAAGTTTATTTCCAATTAGGTCAACCTAGGAATCAAAAGAAACATTTCTAAATAAAGATTTAAAAAATAATTTTTTTTTTGAGAATTTATTGAAGGAAAACTGGAGCATTTAAAACAAATATTATTTTTAAAATCCTTATTTAAATACGCTTCTTTTGTGATACCCAGGTTGTCCTAATAACAAAAAATAAATTTTTGCTAATATTAGTAGGCAATTAACTTCACCAAAAAAAAAAAAATAACAAGCTTAAAAATATATACTTTATATAATTATTATTTTTTTTCCAAATTTTAAATTCCCATAAATAAAAAACTACTCTTTTTCAATTAAAAAAAAAATAATAATAATAAGAGAAAATCAACACACCCTACATACCACACCCTAATCTAATAAATAATATTATTAGATTAAATAGTTTTATATAAATATTTATGACTTTTATAAATATATATTATGCTTTATAATATTATACATTTTACACTTATAATAACTTTATTTTTTTAAATTATAGTTTACATTACTTTTTTTACCTTAACTTCTTTCAATCATTATAGTTGCTATATTTAAAAAAAACAATATTGAAAAATATAAAAATTTACATATAATGAAAATATTTTATTCTTTTTACCTGAGAACCAATAAGATGTAAGCTCTGGCCCTGACTTTCTCCAATTTCTTGTTCATATGCTTTAGCTAATTTTTGAATTTCAATAAGAGACTTTTCCAAATCTTTTATCTATATTTCAGAGCATAATTTGCGCTATTTCAAAAATTCCAACATTTTAAATGTTTACCATTAAAAAATAAATAAGATTCTACCTCGTCCTTTTGTTTATCTGCATTCTTCTTATGTTTGTTATACGCGTTACTATTTAGAGAAAAAAACATTCCTTAATATTTATATTTAATATAAAGAGTATAAAAAATAAAAGTAGCAAATAGTTTTACAAAAATATTAATACTAATATATAAATAATAAATAGAGATAATATTAATACTAGTATAATAAATAAAAGAAATTTTTAAGTTTCAATCTACTTAGTAAGATCGCGTACAAGGTAAAGATGTCATCTATCAAAAATATATGATAAACTAATAATGTAAAACTTCAAGAACATGAAAGAAAAGAGCAATTGTTAAGATCTTAAAAGAAGAGAAAAAAAAGAAACATGAAGGAAAAGATGCAGATCATGAGATAAAATTTATGTAGTGAGGGAAAAAGGTCAGTAGATAATGGAAGGAAGCAAAAAAAAGTTTGCAGATTTTTTAAAACTCGATTAATCTCCTCAAGGGCATGGCGGCCGCTACAGCCGAGAAGACTCATGTTTTTGTTTTTTAATTGTTATCACAACTCTCTCCTAACTCTTTAACTCCAAAACATGAGTCTTGATAAACAAGGTCATGGAGAAACAAGTTCATGGAGAAAAAGAGAAGAAAAAATTTAGTACATATAAAAGAGAAAAAAACAAATAGCATTTGGAATGTTTGACATAAAACCACGAATTTACTGTTTTTATTTAAGTCTTAGAAATACTACAAGTAAATGATGTATAGCTTTAAGCAAAACATTGTGATTTTTTTTTTTTTATTTCTTAGTTTTAATTTACAACTGATGAGTCAGTAAAATACTAATAATAATATTGTCAGTAAAAATAATGGGAGAAAGATTGAAAGAAAAAATTGTTTACCTTGGGAAAGTTCTTTGAAAGAAATTATAAATATGGAAATTGTTATTTTCATATATGAAACTTTAAACTTCTTTTTCTCTTAAGTTAAACTTTAAAAAATTTTTTTTTCTTGAAATATTCAGCAAATTTTAACTACAAGTTTTTATGATTATTTATTTAAAAAGCCAATACTTAGCATCCTCCATTTTCTTTATCTCATGTTGAGTCACTTGCTTTGCTTTTAAATACAATGGTTGCTTCTTGCTTATCTCTGCTTCTTTTTCTGAAATATCTTTATCTTTAAGAGCAATTTCTCTTGAAAATTTTCCGCCTTCACTTTTCTTTAATTTCAATTGAGTTTCAACAGTAACTTTGCGTGATTTCTAAAGATTATAGTTTATAAAATATTTTTAAATATTTTTTTGATCATAAAACTGGTATTTTTACATTGATGTTGAGATCCGGTTTCTTTTTTACATCTACTTAATATACAATATTTCACATAAGTGATGTGATAATTACAGGGTACAGAAAAAGTTCTGATAATTTTGTTTTAAGCTATTATGGAATTTTTATTGTAATTATTGTTTATTTTTGATCATTTTATTGAATTCCTTGTGAAATTTGGGTCCAGAAAATGTGATATTTATTTGTTTTTTTTTCAGTTCAGTCCATGTGATGTTTTGTGAAAATCAACGTGTCGCTGTCATCGATTTGCACAAGGCTAGAATAAAGATGGCCGAGATTGTTCGAATGACTGGATTCAAACCAGTAAGTGTCTACAGAGCCGTGAAACGTTTCAAAGAGACTGGCGGGACCGCAGACCGTCCTCGAAGTGATCGTCCAATCACTGCTACAGCTCTGAAAAACATCAACAAGGTGGGATGTCCAATCCGGCACAATCTGAAGAGGTCAATGCGAAAAGTAGCCAAAGAGCTCGGAATCAATGAGAAAAGCGTTAGTCACATCGTCAGGAGGAAGCTGGGACTGCACAGTAACAACAGTAAAACTACTTGCGTCCACTTCTTGAATGAGACAATGAAGGCGAAATGGCTGCAGAAATGTTGCCGAATGCGTCGGCTGGTAGGCAGTGGTCGCCTGAACAAAGTGCTCTTTACCGACGAGACGATATTTGGGAAGGGTCAGCAGAAGACTGTGGTGGCAAAAACCATTGACTGCAGCCACTCTCCAGCTTTGGTCATGGCCAGGACCTGGAGCAAAAAGACTCATCTACGCAATATGCCATTGTAGACTTGCACCTGGGACAAGATTACGGTGGAACAATGCATGACCATCATCAACAATATTCCAAAGCGCATTAATAAAGGCATTGATGCTGGAGGAGGCAATTTTGAACATTTGTTGTAATTTTTTCTGCTCATTGTTATTGTTATTAAACTAATAAAGGTTATTATTTTATCCGAAAAAATTATCAGAACTTTTTCTGTGATAGTTATATAGATAATATCTATTTAATTATCACATCAATTATGAGTACAGCTCTAAGAAAGAATAGAATATATATATATATATATATATATATATATATATATATCAATGAGAAATATATATATATATATATATATATATATATATATATATATATATATATATATATATATACACACACACACAGGCCTTGTGATGAATAAAAATTGCGCGACACATAAGCACGACGTGATTTTTGACGCCATTAAATTCTTCTTATTTGTTTTTTATATTTATTGACATTAACTGCACCAATTTGCGGTAGTGGTGTAGTGGTACCAATGCGGTACCACCAATGCGGTAGTGGTGTAGTGGTAGAGCGCTCGCTTCATAAACGAGTGGTTCCGAGTTCGATCCCCACCACGTCCCTGGTAGTACCGCGCTCAAATCATTTCTCCGCGCAGCGGCCTTGCTCGTCAAGGTTTGTGTTTCGGAGTTATAGAGTTGAGAGAGGGTTATAACCACAAATAAGTAGCCTCCTCGTCTGTAGTGGCCTTCTCGGCCTTGAGGAGGTGAATTAAAATAACCGCAAAACTTCTTTAAATCATTTATGTAGAAATGTTATTCTTTCTAAATTACTGCAAAACTTCTTTAAATCATTTATGTAGAAATGTTATTCTTTAAAAATGTTTTGGAATGTTTCATTTTTTAAAATTTTAAAACATTTGTTTATTTTCTAGACGTTTGACACGTTTTGTCTATACTAAACGAATAAAAAACATTATAACTAAACATTTAAAAAAGATTATAAAATATGCTAATATTTGATTTTTTTTTTCTCAAATATGTAATTTAAAGTTTTTCAAATAATTATTTTTTCTTTTTAAAAAGTCAGCAAGTTATAAACTGGAAATTTTAATATTGTACGATTAAAAACTGTGCAATAGCTAATATTTTTACTAGCGATTTTATATAATATTTTTTTATTTTTATTTATTTTCATAAAGCGGTTGATAAGCACAATCACTCGTATTACTAAAAAACTTTAACAAACATTTTGAATAGATTTTTAATGTTTACAAGGAATTTTATTTTTGGTAAAATAAAATAAAATGTTAGAATAAAAATCTTATAGGTATAAAAGACATATTTCAGCGAAAAAATTATTCTTAAAAATTATTCGAAAAACTATTGACGTTCTTTTTTCAGCAGCTGTTCTTGAGCACGCTTCGTTGAGTTTCAGTAACTTTTAACAAAAAAGCGATTGTTATTATTTAAGTAATTTTTTTGACAAAAATTTTAATAACTGTACTTTTTTATTGAATCAAGTAGAACACATTTTAATATTAATCCTTTTATTTTTTTTATTTGCGCTTACCAATTTTTAAAATGTTTCCTCGAAATTTCTCTTAAATACTTTAAATATGTCTAACAGTTAATAAATATTTTTAAATCTATGGAATAATTTTAAAACCTAACAAACCCCCGTAAAATAATTATTTAAGTTAAAAATCTAAAACTAAAAGAAAGTATATTTGTTCAATTTTATCGACAACTTTGCTATTGCTGAATAATTTTATTAAAATGTTAGCTTAAAAACATTTAAACTTTTTTTTTTATCTGATTTTTTTCTACTTGTAAATAACGAGCATATTTAATTTTTTTGTAATTTGAACTTTTATATCAACTGCGTGCGGTTTTTAAAATACTTTATTAAATGTTAAAATAATCGTAAATTACTTCATTAAAATTCCGCTCAAAAATATCTTTAAATATACTCAAACAAAAATTTTTTTGCTCGACACAAATAGGCCTAGCTACACACAAAATCGCTTATGGACGACGTAAAATTCACATCGCCCAACGCTTTATTGCAAGGCCTATATATATATATATATATATATATATATATATATATATATATATATATATATATATATATATATATATATATATATATATATATATATATATATATATATATATATATATATATATATATATATATATATATATACATATATATTAGGGTGCATCAAACACCCCATACTTTCAAAATTGATCTGTACCTTTTCTTAAAACTTTCTATTGGTACTCACAAGACACTCTGTTAAATTTTTTCAAAATTGAATGAGATTTAGGGGGGCCACCTCAAATCTGAAACTTGCGACGAGACTCTAAACAGAAGAAAAAAAAGTTTTTCAAATGTATGTCATGTTGGGTCTCAAAAGAAGCGAAACTTTATAAAAATTTCAAAAATAGTTTTGATTTTTTGTTAAAAATACATCGAAAAAAAATTTCAACCAAAAACCATGAAAATATGGCTTTTTTTAATTTTTTGCTAAAAAATAATTTTTATGCAATAATACTTATAATAATAAATATTATTTTAAAATTTTTAATGTTTTTAAAATTTTTTAATAAAATTTCGCTTCTTTTGAGACCCAACATAACATACATTTGAAAAACTTTTTTTTCTCTGTTTAGGGTCTCGTCGAAAGTTTCAGATTTGAGGTGGCCCCCATAAATCTCATTAAATTTTGAAAAAATTTAACAGAGTGTCTTGTGAGTACCAATAGAAAGTTTTAAGAATAGGGACAGATCAATTTTTGAAAGTATGGGGCGTTTGATGCACCCTAATATATATATGTATATGTATATGTATATATATACATATATATATGTATATGTATATATATATGTATATATATATATATATATATATATATATATATATATATATATATATATATATATATATATATATATATATATATATAACCCTCGGAATTAGAAAAAATGAGGTCGGCAATAATTTGCTGTCCTTAAGACCTTAATCTTTTAGAGGTCGGCATCAGGTCGTCTAATCTTTTAGAGGTCGACATTGCCAAATGGCGAACCTAATTCCGAGGGCTGTATATATATTTTTTAAATTGATTTAAATTAATTTCATGATGGTGAAATTTATAAAAAAATTTTTTTTACTTAAACAAACATTGCAGTTATCATTTTGATATATGATATCATGAGATAAAACCTAATTAAAATGGAAAATAAAATTAAAATAAATAAAAAATGCAACAATCTTCATTAAAAATAATTGAAATAAAGAAATAAAAATTATTATTAAATATTTGTTGTTTTTTTAATTGTTTTTCTAACTTTGTCTGTTCTGATTCTGAAGAAGTTAAAAATGACTGCTAAAGTAGAATATTAGAATAGCATAATTTCTATTTAGTCCCATTTTGTCTTTTGCAAAACCTTTTTAGTTGCTAACAAAGTTTTCTTTTATTTTTTAGAAAACATTAGAAAAAAAATTAAAAAAAAAAAATCACCTTTCAGTTAGTTTATTTCACTTTATTATGATTTTTTTGTTAAGAAAATATAACTTTTGTTAAGGAAATATAATATTCAATTTATTAAACCTAATTTTTCTTTCACTTTTTATTGCAAAACAATTTGAATGAAAAAACTAATCTCTATATATTATTGCAGAACTTAATAGTTTTAATAGTTTTATTATTAGTAGTAGTGTCCCTTGGAGCGTGTTTGACACGAAACCCTTGGCAGCCATTGCAACTGAATTATTGGTGAGAAAGCTTTACTTGATAAGAAAACGTAAGCAAACTTGAACCTCATACCAAATGTACATAAACTTCATGTTATGCTGTGTTAAAACATATTTAAACATATATCAAGTTTTACAGTTTGAAACACTTAAAAACTGCATTGCGTCAACCACTTCTTAATTTCTGATCTTCAGCATCCATTTCTGTTAAAAGCAATTTTTATATAGTTTTAAAATTTCAATGAGCAACGTGCCTGCATGGCCGAATGGTTAGCGCAATGAACTACTTAACAAGAGAGCTGTGGTTCAATCCAAGAACTGGCAACTCTTTTTTATTAATTTTTTTAGATTTTTTAAAATGCAAAATACTTGTGAAGCTTTATAAAGGTTATAACCAAACATATCTAACGATATTCAGTGGTGTACACTGGACTTTTAGATGTTTGAGTTTTGACACTTACAGGTATTGTGCAAACTCTAAACTTTTGTATGTTCATGCTTATGTCAAACGAGAATGTTTTGCAAAGAGTTGCGGTGATAAGAGCTTGGGGACAAAAAAAACGCCAATTTTTGGGACCACCCAGCCCTTAATGTGGGAGCAACAAGTTGATAAAATAATTTTTTTTAGTATTTTTATCTAAGTTTATAATCATCAACTAATTTCAAATTTCATCCAATAATTTCTTATTTTTCGAAAATTATGACCATATAAAGTTTAAACCCCCTCAATTTGAGGGGGCTGTAAACTTTGTAGGGTCATAAAAACTAAAAACTAAGAGGTTATTGCATGAAATTTGAAATTTGTTGATGAATATAAACTTAGATAAAAATACTAAAGAAATTATTTTATCAACTTGTTGTTCCCACGTTAAGGGCTGCCCAGTGGGCACCGGACCAAAAAAAGACGTCTTTTAAACATTCAAAAGACGTCCAAAACGCGTATAGGACATTTAAAAGACGTCTTTTTTACGTTTGTGCCCACTGGGTGGGTGGGCCCAAAAATTGGTTTTTTTTTGTCCCCAAGCTCCAATCACCACAACCTTTTACAAAACATTCTCATTTGACATAAGTATGAACATACAAAAGTTTGGAGTTTGAAAAATGTGTGTAAGTGTCAAAACTCAAAAATCTAAAAATCCAGTGAACACCACTGATATTATACACTTTAACAAACATTTTTTAAAAAAGCTATAAATTCTAAAAACAATAAAAAACGGGGGAATATTGTTGTGTATGTGTCATTATTGAGATACTTATGTTATTTTAGTTTTATATTTCGAGTTTATTTACAACTAAGTTGAGTTCGTGCAAGGAAAATGAGTGTACAACAAGTTTATATATAGAATATGAAATCTATAGAACTTTAAAGTTTTTTTGATTTGCATTTTAAATAACAAAAATTAAAAAACAAGAAGCTATTGATTAAAACTTGGCACGGGGCGAACTTAACTTTTTTAAAAACAGTAAGGGGGTTTAATACAAGAACATAATTGAAAATTCTAATTTTATACTTAAATTAAACCATTTTATTGAATTAATTACTTTTAAAGATAATTAAAAGTTATAACTATTTAATATTAATACAATAAGGAAATTTAGAGTTTTACAGCTATTTTACCATGCCCCCGTTAAACATTCCAAACTAAGTGCACAACAACGACAGAATTTAGATAACCATCAAAATAGTATTATACTCTATTATTTTTTGGCTTTATATACCTTTTGGCTGATCCATAACCTAAACTTTTAAATAAGGGATCGTCCATAAATTACGCAATGCTAAATTTATTTTAACTATTAAAAATCTTTTTTGCAATATTAATATTTTTTTGCTATAAATATTGCTATATTTATTATGATATATACTATTATAAAATTTTTGTTAGAAATATTGTTTTAAATACAGCAAGATTGAAAAACTTCAATCTTGCTGTGTTTGTCTTTAATCCTCCAAAACAACACAGATGACAGCGCATTAAAACACTGAGCTATCAATGATATGTGGTTAAGAGAAAAACAAACCCTTAAAAGGGTGCGCATGTTAATTTTTTTGCTCTTAAAGCAATTTTTTAAAACGAGTTATTTTATATAAAAATATTATAGTAAATTATAAATAGTAAAAACAACAATAATAGTAAAATGAATTTACTATACAAATAGGGCTTTAAACCTGATCCCAGTTTTACTTAATAAACCTGGCACTTCCTGCTTTTCTTGATAAACGTGGGTGCTACCTTTAATGTTAATATTTAAAATAGTATTTAGATATTGAGACTTTTAAAAAACTTACAATTTTCTCTAACTCGTTGTTGTGTTCTTTTAGTTCAACTTCAAAATTTTTTAAATCCTGTTCAGCATAATATAGCTTAAAGAGTTGAGCTTGAAGCTTTGCATCAAACTGTAAACAAAATTTCATTTATAACTAAATATTTTATTTTTTTTTACCAACATTTTACTTTTTTTAAATTTAATTTATGAAAGACTAAATTAAAAAAATTAAAAAAAAAAAACAATTATAGTAGAGGGTATGAAGTATTGAGACCAAGAACTTAATTGAACTGAAAATAAATTTAAAAAATAGGTTATCTTACTAAGTCTTGTGTTAATTTTTTATATTTTTCAGCTTCCTCTTTTTCAGCTCTCGCTTCTTTTCGCTCTGCATTAATGCCCTAATACAAATTCATAAATCTAAGTATTGTAAAAAGTCAATAAAAATATTTTTAGTACAATAAAAAGTTTTTATATAATGGCAAGCATTTAACTGGAATTTATCAAACACATTAACTTTTTAAATGTTATTGCTAAAAACCAATAATAGTCAAATACATGTTTTAAATGTCAAACTATAGTTTAAAATTTAAACTATAAATGTTGAACATTAGTTTGACAGTCTAACTATAAATGTCAAACTATAGTTTGACAGCCAAACTATAAATGTCAAACTATAGTTCGACAGTCAATTATAGTGTTTATTTTATATAGATTAAAAAATGTCTGTAAAACATCTGAGTGCTCAATCAATAAAACAAAAGAATGATTAATTATATATTATGATTAACTATATAATAATTAAATAACTTGTATAAAATAGATATAAACATAAGCATAATAAATTTTTTTTAAAACTAAAAAGCTTAACAAGCATTTTATTTAAATAAAAAGGTGCACAAGTGGTAATAAAGAAAGTAATGATAATACAAGTGAGATATTTAGGACATATTTATAAAATAATAATAAAACAATTGTGGCATTAAAGACATATTTAGTAGATTTAGTGTACTACAATTATATTTTATGGCTACTTAATTTTATATCAACATTTCTTCTATATTGAGCAATACAGCTATTAACCATAAATGTTATAAATTACACGTAGACCACTACTTGTATTATCTTTTGAATCGTTCAAAACTATGACAGGTTGTTATAGGTTGTTATAGTAACAGGTTGTGTTATTTTTTAAATCCTTTACATTATATCATTATTATAACATTATATTGTTAGGTGCTTTTATCTAAGCTTATCTAAAAATTTTTTCAACTTTTTCATTTTTTAATTTCTATTAATAATTTTGAAGAATGAGTGCGCATAAAGCCAGTGCAGCAAACATGGTCAGCCCAATGATGCTACTTGGCAGTGTTTAGTATCAAGCGGTGTTACTGTTGTCAGGTCTGGTTCTGATAGAATTTTTTTTTTACTATCTGGCAATATAATAATGTCATAACAATTATAATAACTATCTTTAAAAAAATTTTTAAGATCTTTTTTATGTTTTTTTTTGTTTTAAATTTGACAGGTTGTACTTATGACAGGTTGTTTTGATTTGACAGGTTGTACTTATGACAGGTTGTTTTGATTTGACAGGTAGCACTTATGACAGATTGTTTTAGATTTGACAGGTTGTACTTATGACAGGTTGCAAGTTTTACCAGGAAAGGCGTGCAATTTTTTGTCTTGTATGACCACGCATGAGTATTTTATTTTAGACAACTTGGTCACGGCCGTTTGCAAGTTTTTTTATATGCTTTGCTGACAAAAGTTTTAAAAACAAAATAACAAAATAATGCTAAACTTTTCATACATTACGTTTTGACAAAGTTACGTTTACGTTTTTATAAGTTACTTAAGTTTTAAATATTGTTTGGATATCCACTATTTTTTTCTAGATGCTTTTCTACTTCAATTAAAAATTGGGAGAACTCATCTTATTTGAATAAAGAATGAATTATAAAAGTTATAAGTGCGTTATAAAAGCAATAACACTATTATAGTGTTATTACTTTTAGAATGCAGTTAGTCACTAGAGTGTTATTACTTTTGTATTTGTAAGTTTGTTTTATTTTTTATAACTTGCTAACAAATTAAAATTGATTTGCCCCTTAAAAACAAAGAACATGTTTTTGTATAAACTAAAGTTTTGAAGACCAGATATTTTTTGCATTTTGTGATCGCTTAATTTAACTCTTATTGTTATATAAATACATTTTGCTTTCCTCTTTAAAAAAAGTTAAATAAAGAAAAATCATTCTTTTTATCGTAGACTTAAAACATTTTTTTTTAACTTCGCCTTATCTAATTTTGTTGCTGAATGTAACAACCACACTAAAAAAACAAAAATAAAAACAGTACATAAATTTTTTAAATTATTAATTTATTTTTATTTTTTTCTATTTAAATTTCATTTTATTTCCTATTTTGTTAGTTTTGCTTTTTTTGTTTTTAAAACTTTTCCTGCCATGATTAATATTGTAAAACTTGCAAATGGCCGTGATCAAGTTGTCTAAAATGAAATACTCTTGCGTGGCCATACAAGATGAAAAACCGCACACCTTTCCTGGGAAGGCTTGGGTTGATTTTAGATTTGACAGGTTGTACTTATGACAGGATGTTGTGTGCATGTAAAAGAACCAAAAAAATATTGTGTAAAGTACAAGTAATTCTTAAGTCATATTGAAAATAAAACTTATAAGTTGGCCTATTATAAAAAAATTTTCAAATTCACTATGGTAGTACATGATCAATAACCTGGTCAAAGTATATACTTACAAAAAAATTTTTTCTCCTGAACTCTTTTCGTTACCCTTTAAACTATTTCACAAATTCTTAACATATATACAATCTGTTGTAGAATATATACAATCCGTTGTAAAATATATACAATCCGTTGTAAAATATATACAATCCGTTGTAAAATATTTACAATACGTGGTAAAATATATACAATCCATTGCAAAGTTAGGATCTGCAAAGGTGCATGCCACTGTAATTGAGCTGGCCATTTTCCTTTAACCTGATTCTATTCTTTACTTTTATAAATTGCTTATTTATTCTTATATGGAATACTGTCATTGTATTTAGCTGGTACTCAACGGTCTCACTTTTAGACAAGAATATGCATTGTAAAGTGATGTTAAAACTGCCTAGTAGTCAGGCTTGAGCCTTTGCCTAATAATTTTAAGGTTGCAACTCTTTTTTTTTTTTAAATAAAAACTACCATTGCTTAAGTGAGTTATGATTGCTTATTCCATCAATAAAAACCCTATCAGTCAATCAAATAAGTTGCATCCTTTTACTGTGTTTGTATTCAAATAAGTTGCATCCTTTTACTGTGTTTGTATTCAAATAAGTTGCATCCTTTTACTGTGTTTGTATTCAAATAAGTTGCATCCTTTCACTGTGTTTGTATTCAAATAAGTTGCATCCTTTTACTGTGTTTGTATTCAAATAAGTTGCATCCTTTCACTGTGTTTGTATTCAAATAAGTTGCATCCTTTTACTGTGTTTCTTAAAAAACTGAAACTTTTGTAACTCAAAAAATTTTTCTTCTAGTTTTTGAACACTGGTATTTTAGAATTCTCTCCCATATTCATGTTTTCTTTACTCATACAATTTATAGTTTTCTGTCAACTGCTTTCTTACTCTTTATCTCCTTTGCTTTTTGCTCTTTATCTCCTTTGTTTTCTGTTAACTCCCTAACTTCCAACTTAATAGTGGCTTGCCCACATGTTGGGAGTGATTTAAAAAAAAAAAAAAAATATTACCAAAAATAAATTTAGCAAATAATTATTAATTCATTATAAAGAACTATTACCTTTTTTTTGTTTAAAGAAAAAGTTGTATCTTCTTCTGCTGTTAGCATTTCTTGCTTCTTCTTATCATACTCTTCAATCAATTCACCAGACCTATTTGAATATTAAAGATTAGGTGCCAAATAAGACATTGTTACATGCATACAAATACATACATATATATATATATATATATATATATATATATATATATATATATACATATATATATATATATATATATATATATATATATATATATATATATACATATATATATATATATATATATATATATATATATATATATATATATATATATATATATATATATATATATATATATATATATATATATATATATATATATATATATGAATATATGTATATATCAAAATTTTTATAAAATTTAATAATAATCATCATTTTATCAAAAAATTATTTTAAATTTCATTGCCTAAAAAAATTATATTTTAACTGAAAAGAAAAATATGTATTTTAACAAAAAAACTTTTATTAACTTTTTTTTTTCTTAATGTTTTTTATAAAAGCATGATTTTTTTTACTTAACTTCGCTTCTTTTGAGACCCAACATGATATACTTTTTTATAATATTGGGGACCCATCTGATGCTTAAGCGACTTGAGCTACCCCTAAAAAAATTTTCTTTTCAAAAATTTTTCAATTCCAGTATTACTTTATTATACAGAACACATTAAGAGAGTAAAGCAAAATTTTTTTTTAAAAGTTGTTTTTTGAGACACCCTAATATTTAAGTATGTATGTATGTATATATGTATGTGTGTATGTGTATGTGTGTATGTATGTATGTATGTATGTATGTATGTATGTATGTATGTATGTATGTAGTTGCATGTATGTAGTAGCATGTATGCATGTATGTAGTAGCATGTATGCATCTATGCATGTATGTAGTAGCATGTATGCATCTAAGCACGTATGTAGTAATGTGTGTATGTGCATGTGTGTATGTGTGTGTGTATGTATGTATATATGTATATATGTATGTATGTATGTATGTATGTATGTATGTATGTATGCATGTATGTATGTATGTAAGAATGTATGTGTATGTATGTATGTATGTATGTATGTATGTATGCATGTATGTATGTATGTATGTATGTATGTATGTATGTATGTATGTATGTATGTATGTATGTATGTATGTATGTATGTATGTATGTATGTATGTATGTATGTATGTTTGTATGTATGTATGTATGTATGTATGTATGTATGTATGTATGTATGTATGTACAAGGCTCAATTTAATTTTTTATTAAGTCCCGGACAAAATGTTCGATCAAAACTTGTTTGGGTCAGACAGTGTCCGATCAAATTTTTCAAATATAATATTTACGGTTTTACAGAACCGATTTATGCAATTTTTGTCATGTTATTCAGTTTATTTAACGTTAGTCTAGCAAAGTTTCTTTCCTTATTATTTAGAATATTTCATCACAGATTTTTTTTAAATAAAATAGTTTCAATTTAACATTGTATGTTTTTTTACATTGTATTTTTTTTTTTACAATTAGACAACGCTTGTTTTGATGTTTTATTAATTTAAATACATTAAAAAAATTGTTACATTACGAATAACTTTTATTTGTAAATTCAATGTTATATCTAAATTTTTTTTGTAGGTAAGCATTTTATATGATAAATTTAAACGTTTTAAACTACTTTTAAAAGATAATCTTATATTATATTATAAATAAAACTTCAAGTTACTTTAAATTATGAATAAGTTAAATTAAATCTTCCCACGATTTATTTGCTTCATTTTTTTTGTTTCTATTTTTACAAAGAATTGTTTAAAAGTTTGTTTTTAACTTCACTTACAAATTAAAGCATAAAATGATTAAAAATTATGATTTTGAAATATTTTTGAAATTTTTGAAATTTTAAAAAATTATGATTTTAAAAATCTAAACAGTCGTGGTCAAGTTGCAAACAAAAAAAAAAATCATTTGTGTGGTCAGTAATTGCGTTTGATTGCACGCCATACTTCTTTTTTTTAGAATTTAATTCCCAACAGTCTAAATATCCAATTACTTTGCAAATTGATTGGACAATCTGAGATTTTAGCCGGACAATGTCTGATGTCCGACCGTTAAATTGAGCCCTGTATGTATGTGTATATATGTATGTGTATGTATACACTCAGTGGTGATCACAGAATTAGCTAACCTAACATTTTCTTTATTAGACTAATTACAATTTCTTTCTTTACTAGAAAATAAAATGAAAAAAAATCATACCAATTTATTTGCTATTATCATAAAGAAAAAAATCTTTTTAAACTGAAGTTTTAAAATTTTTTTTAGTATAATTTGTTGAAATACAATATAAAGTTATGATTATAAAAAAAGCATATCAAACAAAAAATAGTGCTATATTAAAATTTACATCATAACATTAAAATTAAAAATAATATTTTACCCTTAGTTTTTATGATAGCACATCTTAATAGCATAATGTTAACAAGTCTTTGGTACCTTTTGACAGTTATAGCATTCCTGGCTTTTCGAATTTCCCGCAAAACTCATTAAAACTAGAGATTTGTCTATCATTATTATCTATATTACTATTGTTTATATTATATTATTATCTATATATCTAGAGGTTTATTTATCTATCCCATAAAGCCACCCTTATATTTTTTAACAAGCTCTAAATCCATAGTTTGGGGCGGTTTTTCTAGAACATTAATTTTATTTTCTTCAAGCTAGAATTTTAGTTATCTCACAGAATGCTTTGGGTGGTTGTTGTGCATTGAAATCCAAATAAAAGGTAAGTTATCATCAGCATACAACTCCATTATATTTTGTAATCTATCTTTGCATTTGCATTGATTCAAATTTCCATCAATTTTGACCAGCAGACTGATACCATGTCAAGACATAGACCTTCTAATCTCAATATTAGCCCTATTGTCCTTCACTGTCTTTAGAGTATACAATGAGTTACTTTCTTGCTTCTTAGGACCCACCTAACATATACTTTACCATCTTATACAAAACTTCATTGTTTTAGTTGATTTTGTTTTAAAACAATGGGTTTATTATTTACTATACAGCCTTGAAGGCCAGCTTTTTGTAAAAACAACAAGCAAAGTTTGTTTGTAACTTATCATAAGATACACCATTAAAATTAAATACATATAAATGCACTATAAAATCACAATAAAAAAAATTTTATGAGTGTCTGTGATCACCATTGAATATTAGAATGAAAATAATTTTGGATTAAATAAAAAGAACAAAATTAACACCACACCTCTTTTCTACACACCTCAGTGATACTAGAACTATTTTTAATTTTTTATTGTGACATTTTAGACATTTTTATGAAATTATAGCCATTTATTACTAGTATTAGTGCTAGATGTAGAAACCTGTTTTTTTTTTAAAAATAATCATTATTTCATATTTTTCTTCGATCATAATGTATATATATATATATATATATATACATATATATATATATATATATATATATATATATATATATATCAACTTATTTCTTGGCGCAGCGGCTTTGTTCGTCAAGGTTCGTGTTTCAGTGTTATAGAGTTGAGAGAGGGTTATAACCACTATTAAGTAGCCTCCTCGGCCTTGAGGAGGTGAATAACAATATATATATATATATATATATATATATATATATATATATATATATATATATATATATATATATGTTTGGAATCGCCCAATATTTTTCAATAAAAACCATGTTTTTTCTAATTTATTGCATACAAATAAAGATAGTATAGCACCAATTCATATAATACTGCATATTAGACTAGAGTATATAGCACATACAATGTTGAACAAATCTAACAATATAAAAAGTTGCAGAAATTTAATATTTGGTAGGATAACCGCGGTTCTTTAATACAGCCGCAATTCGACGTGGCATGTTCCAAACAAATTTCTTGCACAGTTCTGGTGTTATCTCTTTTGTCCAAACTTCCACTAGCTTCCTCTGTAAATCTTCAATATTCTGTGGCACCTTTCTTCTCACTTTACGCTTCAGTATGGTCCACAAATTCTCTATGGGGTTAAGATTGGGGCTTGCATCACCTTGGAAGTGTGGCATGGAGCATTGTCTTGCTGAAATATGGTTGTTTTATGTGACTCCATGCTTGGGAGCAGCTTTTCCTGTAGAATTCCCTGATAAATTTGGGAATTTACTCTCTGCCCCTTCGGTACAAAATGTAACCGGCCGCGAAATCGAGCTGAGAAGCAACCCCACACCATTATTGACGGTGGATGTTTTACAGTAGGCACAGTGTACTTCTGAACATACCTGGATCCTTGTGGTCTTCTAACATAATTACATGATGTCCCAAATTGTTCAAATGTGCTTTCATCAGAAAACATTACTTTCTCCCAGTCCTTCTCCTTCCAATGTTTGTGCTTTTTGCAGAAGTCCAACCTCCTCTTGTGTTGAGTGTCATTCAAGGCTGGTTTCTTGGCAGGTCGTCGAGCAGGACGCTTCAGATCAATCTGCAGCACACGCCTGATTGTTCTTGTGCTTGGTAGACTTGCTTCAGCATTTCCAGGACTTAAATCATCCAGAATCCCATATGATGACAGCTTGGGATTATTCTCCACAATAAACTTGATGCGTCTTGTCAACCTTTCAGTCACTTTTTTTGGTCTGCCACTTCTCCCACGTGACGAAAATGTTTCACATTGTCGAATTCTACTTAATGTCTTACTAACACAAGATTGTGATACATTTACAATTTTTGCAATGTCTCTAGTTGAATTTTTTTGTTGAGCTAATATAAGAATTTGACCTCTAATAACTTCTGATAATTCCTTCTTTTTTCCCATTAAAATGATCAAAAAATGTAATTAAAACTGCTGCTTAGCTACCACAAATGGTTTAACTAAATACCGGAACAAAGACAACTAAATAGAATTAATATTTCTGACCAAGGTTCGACAAAAACACAAAAAAATGAAAAGATCACATGTGATTCTAAACTTTTGGCCACGACTGTATGTGTATATATATATATATATATATATATATATATATATATATATATATATATATATATATATATATATATATATATATATATATATGTATTTTTTAACTTTATCAAAATGTACTATTTTGTAAAGGTAATGCATTGATTTGTGTTTAAGACTTTTATTCAATGAATAGAATAATACTGAATTGCAAAATGTTTTACAGTTATTTTGAACAGTTATAAACCATTAACAAAATTACTAATACAAAATTGTATATATAGAAAAAAGGCATAGTAAAAATAGTTTCAGGAAATGTTTAAAAATGGTAAATTATATTTAAAAATTACATGAATTAAATTTAAATAATTATTTTCAAAATATATATACTATATTGTATAAAGATATAGAAAAAGGACTGGAAAAACTTTTATGGATTTTTCAGGATATAGGATAAGGACTAGAAAAATTATTATGGATTTTTCAGTTTTTAAATAAAAATCATGTTTTTTACTTTAAAAACAATCATAACATAAAAATAAAGTTACAGATTATATATTCCAGGTATATAAAAGTTTTTAATACTTAGTTTGACCACCTTTGGCAGCTTTCAATGCTTTCACTCTCTTAGGCATGCCTATGATTAAATCACGGCATAACTTTTTTGCTGTGGAACCAGACATGGATTAACCTCTCTATAAGCTGTGCTTTTGTAGTAATTGGAACTTTGTGTATTTCATCCTTTAAAATGTTCCATAAATTCTCAATTGGGTTCATATTTGGTGAATTCCCAAGCCATTCGAGTACAGAGAATCCATTGTCTCGGAACCATCTTATTGACAACTTGCCCGCATGGCAAGGACCACTATCTTGTTGAAATATAAAATCCTTATTAGTGAACCAGTCTCTGACTTGAGGGACCAAACATTTCTCCAACACCTCTATATACTTTTTCTGGTTCATCACTCCTTCCACAAGAACTTCTTCTATTTTTGAGGGCCATTACTTTGATTTTTCTCTCAAGTCTGGGGGTAGTGATTCTTTTACGACCGCAATTTCCAACTCTTCCAGCTTAACGTTTCTACCCTCATCCAGCTTCCTTTTCACTGCACTAACTGTTTGTGCTGAAATCTTTAATTTCATAGCCCATCTCCTTTTGTTTTACGCTACTATTCTCCAACAAAACACAGATTTGTCCTTTTTTTCTAGGGCTCAGGTCTTTACCCCATCACTTCAAAATCAGTCAAAAATGTCACAGATTTTGCTAAACAACTATTTTTTTAGAACTGAAACTTAAAATTTGTAGAGTTTAAATACACGCAGAGCACACCATGCACCACAGAGAGTAAAAGAAATTGACACAAACTTAAATTAACATATTTCATGATTTACAGTTAAATTTTAGAAACTTTTATCGTACATATATTCCACAAATATTGCTGCTCAATATTGGCATGGTAATATTACTCCAATATTGGCATTCCAATATTAGTAAAATAATAATGGGGTAATATTGGTATGCTAATATTGGTCAATATTGATAAAATATATCATTGACCACTGAAAACTTTTTAGTTCCAAAAGGGTTGGAAAGAAAAAGCATCCTTAGAACCAGATATGACAACCAAGGGCTATTCTAGACCGTTTTCGACAGCGCCGACTGTATTTGGGTGCCGCCCAAATTCAAAATTAAGGAACTTTTTCTTTTTTCTTTTTAAACAAAAAACTTTTTTTTTCTTTTTTCTTTTTAAACATTCTTTCAGCAAATCACATATATTTTAAAGGAAATATCTTTACAGCTAATATCAGTCTGGAGATACCGCCGCTAAAAATTTTTTCTTAGAATTGCCCCTGTCAACAATATTCTAATAATAAGATACAAGACAAAATAAGATAAGACACAAAATAAAATAAGACAAAATAAGTACAAATAAGACACAAGACAAAAATTAATGACATAAACAAGTTTTGTTCTACCCATCTCATAGGATTCAGTATGCTATCAGAGAACATTTTTTGATTTGAAAACAAAAAAATTGTTCTGTACTGCATGCAAAACAGAACAGATTTCTGCACAAGTTTTATCAGATTGGTTTACTACAGTAACTGCTTGCTTTTGGGATCTTAGAATTTTTAACATGTTATATTCATATGACTTGTCACAGCTCTTCAGCGTTTTTGATAAATTAAATTTGACATGGCTTGTTTTGCATTTGGCTGACTTTTTACTAGTGCCATTTATCTATCATTTTCCAAACAATGGATCATTCAACCATTCTTGATTGGAATAAGCTGCCATTTAAATTTGTAAAATTTTTATTTATTCTAAAAAAATAGAATGAAAATTCAATATGGTTTAAAAGATTGTCAAAACTTTAACTAATTTCACTTTTCAAATGTTTTGCATACTATTTTTTGTTTGGTTCATGCTGTAAATAAATGAGCATGTTAGAAGTTAATTTTTTTTACAATAATCAAATATTAATATATTATATATACATATATTTTTTTTGTTTATATTATTGTAGGCCTTTCAAATCTGGCATTGATGGTAAGTAATACAGGTTATAGTCCTGATGAAGATGAGTCTCAGTACAAGACATCAAACAATTCTAATAATATACCACTGATGCTTTGAATTATAAATTAAATCTGAGTGGTTTAAACTATAAAGATCAAACAATGTTAACAATGCCGGTATCATGAACTACTTAGCCGGTATCATGAACTACTTAGCCAGTATCATGAACTACTTAGCCGGTATCATGAACTACTTAGGAGTAAATATGAATAAAATTTGATGAACAGAAAAACAGTCCGATTACGAGGTAACTTGAAATCAAGGCAACAAAGTTACTAAAATTATATCAAAAAAATAAGGGGAAAAAATCTTGTCCTTATTTTTGAAGCTACACATTTAAATAAGGAAATCAAACAAACAGTTACAAGAGATAAAACTTCTGTCTTTTGTCAGTCCTGAATCCCAGCACAAGGACAATTTTTTCTTAGGATTTGATACTACAATGACTAAACCTGGTATGAAAAAAGGAGTGCAATTTGTATCACATGACTTTGGAATTTACATGAACAGCTATAAACTATTTAAATCAAGACCAGCAGATTCTCTAGATTTTGATTTATGATTGTTACATTAAATGCTCCAGGGTTTTTAAAATCCAGTCTCACTGAACATTGAATGACTTTAACTCATTCATGTCATAAAAGAGAAATGGGATACAAACATAGAATTTCACTCTTAAAAAGTTTAAAATTTTATTCCTAGTATCTTTTATTTAAAGTCATGGCTCTTGCTGACCCATGAAATTCAAATGAAATTTGACATTTTTAAGGCACTGCAAGACAAATTTTTTTTTAATACTTTTATTGCAATTTTTTCAGCAATAAAATATATAACAACTTTCAAGGACTGTTGATGATTCCAATGCTCTGGACTATAACATGAAAACATTCCAGTGAAAATTCCTAAATAGAATCATTAAAAAACTTAAGTAAAAAATGACATTATTACATACCCACTAATTTTTTCAAACATAGCTGTTCTTTCTTTTGGTGTTTTCATTGCAATTGATTCCACTGCTCCCTATTTAAAAAATTTCAAAATTTACAAATTGGAATTTGGAACTTTATTTTTGTCTAGCTTAGATTTTAATATATATATATATATATATATATATATATATATATATATATATATATATATATATATATATATATATATATATATATATATATATATATATATATATATATATATATATATATATATATATATATATATATATATATATATATATATATATATATATATATATATATATAACAGGTTAAAGATCTGCATAATAAATGTTAATTTACCCTTTAAATAGTTAAAATTAAAATTGAATTTCTATTAAATATTTCTAGCGATAGTTTGGGCAGTCCTTTAAAAAAAAAAGGTCACTCTTTATTTTTTATTTTTTTTAATAACAAGATTTTTTAAACATCTAAAATATGTTATGAGCCTACTGAGTAAATATTTAAAATCTTTACACAGAATGGCTATTTCACCTACAAGTTCAGCAATTTACATTAACAAAAACTTTATTCAATTTAAATAGTTTTTTTGATATTCCTTATGCGACGTTTATTTATTACATTAAATTAATTAATTGTATTTAACATATTAATCACATTTGTTTTATTTTTAATTTTTTGATTATAAAAACAGATAGTTAAATAAATTTTGACTTTTTAATGAAAAACTTTAAATTAAATATGGTTTTAAAAAATAAAAATTTAACTTTTGAAGGATTGTAAAATGGTTTTAATTTTATTGCAAATTAATTCATTAGACAAAAAATGTTTTTAACGATTTTAAGTAATTAAATGTGTAAAAGCAACCATAAAAAATTATTTGTTTTAAGAAAGGAGAAGTGTATTGGTTTAAAACAATTTTTTTCACCTATGGAATTAAATCTTTATTTTTATTATTTAAAATCTCATTAAGGTGGCCATACACAATCTTTTTATAAAAAGTAAAAAAAAAAGATTTTTTTTTTGGCTTTAATTTTTGGTCAAACTATTCAGGAGAAAAAAAATTTTTTTTTTTTTTTTTTTTGAAATTCCAACTAATATTTTTGGGAGTTTTTTGTGAGCCTATTATTCCTATATTTATTTTCTTCCACTGTTCACAAATTTTACAAACAGTAAGCTTCTTAATTGCTGTTTGCTAGGTTAGACACAAAATTAAAATAAATCTGTGAATAGGGTTCTTTGGTCCAAATGTTCTAAAACTAAGTTTTGCAGACAAATCAAAGTTGAAATTGCAGATTCAGAAGTAGTGCAACAGTTTAATGCTGGTGCTAAGTCAAGATTAAAACTTTTAAAATTTATTGAATTACCTATTTCCAGAAATATGGCTACTGCTGTCCGCCAAGAAGATAGTGTTTGGATTAAATATGCAGCAAAAAATACTTGAAAAAACTAGAATCAGGCGGCGTGAGCTGTGAGCTCATAAAAAATCTAAGATTGATGAAACAGTTTATCTTGCAGGTAGTTTTGGATTGTCTACGGACCCAGAAAATTTGTCAGTAACAATTAGTAAAAGAAAAAAATTTCAAAAGACAAACAACCCCTTTGTTTTTATCTGGTGATCCTGTTTTTACAGATGGAAATGTTAATGTAGTGTTTGTTGATGAAAATGCCATTAATTTTGTTATCAAAGGCATTTAACAATAACCTTACTTTTTTAAGCGACCCCTGGTTCAATTTAAGATTTTTTTTTTTTCAAATAATTATAGTTCAAATATTTTTAAATCATCTCTGAAAATTTAATTGTCTTAAACATATTGTAGACAAGATTTGGTAGACAATAGAAAAAAAAATGTAGTTATTTTCTGAATTATAGTGTATGGCCACCTTAAGTTTGTACAACTTTAGTTTCAAGAACCACAAATTTTGTTTTTAAATATAATTCATTTAATATGTAAAGAAAAAAAAAGAAAAAAAATAAAAAAATTTGATAAAATAACGTGATAAAATAAAAATAAATAAAAAAAAATGTGATAAAATAAACAAAAGATTATTATGTTATGTATAAAATATTATCAAGAAATAAATAATAAAGAAATATTATCTTTTTCAAAAAAACAAATTTAGATTTCATTATTAATTTTTGTTATAGTTATTGTTTAAAAGATCCTAACGTAGTGTAAAACATACACAACGCAATTCAATTTTTAACAATATAAAAATCATTTCTTAGATTTTCGTAAATAAAATTCCATAGTTATATAAAAAAATATAATCAACATAATTAAAGTCAACAGTAATAACAGTTAAAAAACGTAATGCACCGCTAAGAAATATGACAATTTTTTTTTAATGTACTTATTTTCTCATATTTAATAATTTTAGACTTGATTGATGTTGAAATTTGTAAGTTATGGAGTTTTTAGTTTGGGCGCCCATATGGGTTAAACGCTATGGAATTACAACTGGGTACAGGACTTTATTGGCTTTTTATATTTCACATTATAATATGATTATTTTTACATGAGATTTTGCCATGAAAACTTTAAAAGCTATAAATTGAGACTGTAGAAATGTTTTTAATCATTATTCACTTCTGACAAAAATTAATAAAAGTGATTTTATTTTTTTACTCCAAACAAGGCTGCAAGCAACCACTATTAAGTTGGGAGTTACTAGAAAACAAAGAAAGGAAAAGGAAATGGTTGACAGAAGACTTAAAAAGTTGTAGGTTGTATTAGCAATGAAAACATAATGATGGGAGAGAGACAAATGAAAGTTTTTAGAGCATGCAGAGATGGATACAGTTTAAGGAAGAGACTTTGCTGAATGACAAGTCAAGCGAGAATGCATTTAGGTTGAACTAGAGATGATATCACTTTTAAGCAGCAATCACGATAGTATTTGTAAAAAAAAAGAAGAAAAAAAAAAAAAAGAGATGCAACTTTATGACAATGATAGAGAGACTTAAACTTGATGAAGCAGGGTCAACTGCAATGCGTTTTTGGACTTTGTTTAAAAGAGAAAGAACATTGTTAGAAGAACCATCCCAAATATGACAACAGTATTCTATATAGGGACGAATAAGAGATTATTAATCAGATAATGACGAGCATAATAATAAAAAGTAGATGATAACTTTGTAATTGATTGTATATATGACTTCCAAGATAGAAAAGTTGTAAATGATAATCCAAGAAGATGTAAAGAAAAGGAATCAGTGAGAGGGTTGCAATTCATTAAAATAGTAATGTTGACAATATTATGATTCAGTCAAACACTTGTTAAACAGTTTAGAGAGAACTAAAAGAGTTCTGGAGAATAATTTTGTAAAACTCAGGAATGCTTTCTTGGACCACGAGCTGTAAAAGAGTTGAAAGCTAAAGTGACTTGAATGTCTAACAATGGGTTAATCTGTTTAACTGGAATGGTAGGGAGAGTATGGCCATAAGATTCAAGAGTTGAATCAGAAGAAAAGTTCTTTGCAAATAGTTCTGCCTTTTCTTTGGGTAATAAGATCATTCAGGTAATAAGATCAGTCCTATAAATGGAGATGGAATGTTAGACTTAGTTAATGACACTTTGAAATAAGATTTTTCAAGTCTCTAGAGTCTAGTCTTCTCAGAATCTCAGATCTGAGGTACAAGATACAAGATTTAGTAAACTGGTAATAATGAATCTTAGCATCAGACAGCAACTTTTTACATTGATTTAATGCAATAATAAATAAACATACTTTAAATCATATATACCTGAAAAACAAGAAAATTTTTAGCTTTAATTAGAATTCCAATATCCTCAAGTGCGCTGTGATATTCTTTATTTGCAACCAATTTCCCATTTATACGATATTCTGTACCAGAACCAACAATTCTAAAAAGATTCAAGTTTCAGTGATCAAACCTGTTGATTTTGATAAAATGTGTAAAACTCATAACTAAAACTCATAAAAAAACTCACTATGACTATAGCGATAAATTTTTATTATTTTTATTTTAATGAGTTTTAAGTTTATCCTTAAGCAATATACTAACAAATATTACTTAATCAGTGTTTCCATTACCTGGCCAAAAATATTTACCCTGGTAATGGGTAATTTTAAATTTACCTGGGTAATACCTGGGTATTACCTGGATAATTTTTTTAACTACAATTTTATTTTTTTCAATTTTGTTGTACAACTGCACAGTAAAATCATTGCATCAAGGGTATTATCTCCTAATCTATTCAAAATTTTGTGGAAAAAAATCCCACGGCTGAAAAAGCTTGTTCTGGCTCCACTGATGTTGGTTTAACTGTTAATAAAGCTTTAAAAAGTTTTTCAAAATTTTTAGGCCTTGCACGAGTAGCTTCAAATATTGAAATATCCAAAATTGAGCAGCCATGGCGCAGTGGTAGCGCACTTGCCTCAGAAACAAAAGATCTGTAGTTCAAACCTGGGCAAGTTTAGCAACTTTGGTAAGGAAGGAGGCATGAACTTACAACTAAATGCTCATCCGTGGTGTTCTGTCATAAGACTGTAAGGACTTCTTGGGGCACCTAGATAAAATTAAAAAAAAAAAAATTAAAAAATAAACATCTCTTTTTTTAAAATTTTAGATCCAATCTTATCTACGGTGATAGCTTGATGCTCTGTTTGTTGAATAAATGAAGCTAATTCATCTGAAAGAAATTTTTTTTATCCATTTTTAATGTTTGATCAGGTGTACTTGTAACTTCAAAATCAACTGGTAGCTCTTCTTCTGCTTTCTGTGGATAAAGTCTGTTTAAAAGTAAAGTAGCCAGAGATATTATATTACGTTTTTTTATTTTGAGACCAAACTGATTCTTTTGTACTTCCAAAGTGTCCAGAAATTTTAAATTTTGTATTAAGTGTACAAGATCAGGGCTTCTTCTTTCTTAAATTTGGACTTCAAATTTTTCTAGGAGAGCAAGGCTTATTGATATCCCTTGATTTTTCAGCTTCTTAGCAGCAAATTCAGTAATTTTTTCAGCAAGCAAAAGATCCTTGCATAAACTTTCTACAGTCATCTTAATGGGAGCAAGAGCCTCGCCTAGTTCTTTAATCTTCTCCGATTCTTTATCAGAAACATAAAGTTCTTGTTCAAGATGGATCATTGCTACTTTAACTTCTTTGCAAACTTCATAAAATCTTCATAGCATTTTAATAAGGCTATTCCATCGCGTTTTACAATCTAAAAATAAAGCTTTTTCTTATCCAAAGGACAGAATATTTTGAGCTTGAAGGTTGTCACCATTTCTGACTGGGGACTATCTGAAGACTTAAACAATTTTACAAACTTTAGCAACAATAGCACAAATAACAGAAACTAGGTTTGTCTCAGTGCTTAATTCATCACATTCCTCTATTGCTTCTTCATAATTCTCTTCTTCTTCAGTTTCATCATAATATATCCCATAAATTGATCTCTGATATTTTGAGGACTTTTTGGCAAAGTGTAACCATCTGATCTAAATGCTCTTCTGAGCCAAATTTTCAATTTGATTGAAACTTAGACTATCAACTGCAACCAATTTGCTTATCACCTCACTAAGAGGTTCAAAGCCTTTCTTAAAGGAAGTATCAATGCAAGAAACTTTTGATGGTGTTGATGATTGTTTTCCTGGCGACAGATCTTTTGAAAGGCAAAATTTAGCTAGAATCTTATGCTTTGCTTAAAGTTGATATATAAGGTTTTTTGTTACAAACACCATCAAAACTGCTGAACAAATTTTGCAATTTGCACTTTCTTCTGTTTTGCTATACATAAACTTTAAAACTATGTTTCTTTTATGCCTAATTTTTAATCATCATTAGGTATTCCAATAAACTTTCTAAATAGCAAACATTGGCTCTAGTGTCAGTGCCACTATTGCTTGGCTTATCAGTGCTACTATTGGTTTGGCAGTGCCACTGTGTCATTTGTCAATTGTCAATGTGCCACTGTGTCATTTGTCAATTGTCATGGTCACTATTGGAAATGGCACTTGGCATATTGGCTCTAGTGTCAAGCCACTGAATGGCTTGGCTCTAGTGTCAGTGACTCTGCAGTTGTTAAAACCCACAACTTGTCTTTCTCAATCCCTAATTAAAATAGCCAACTTTCCAATTCACTTTCCAGACAACCCGAATCATTTACCTTCTCTACTCAACTTATGTCTTGTTTCTGATCCTAGTCAGTGCTCAGTTTCTCCACATTCACCCTTAGGTGCTTCTGATCACGGTTCGAACTCTCTAAAACTATTACCTCATTCCTCTTTATCATTTGAATCCCCCTACCACCATACCTCTTACAACTACCTCAAGGCTGACTGGGACTCTTTCTGTGATTTTCTTTGTGATTGCCCTTGCGTAGAAATCTTTCTTTTTCCTGCTGACAAATGTGCATCTTATATAACTTCATGAATTCAAGCTGGCATGGAATCTTTTATTCCCTCTCAACGATTCCAGCTCAAGCCTCACTCTTCTCCATGGTTTTCCTGACATTCTGCTGCTGCAATTGCCAATCGAAATTGTTACTTCCATATCTATCAGCAAAACAATTCTTCAGAAAACAGACATTTGTTTATTACTGCTAGAAACCATTGCAAAAAGGTTTCTAGCAGTAATAAGGCTATCTCAAGATATTAAAAAAAAAAAATTATATCCATTCTCTTTGTGGTTTGTCTTTTCTGTATCAAATTTCAATATCATTATGTATTCACTAGAACAAACTTTCTAAATAGCAAACATTTATATCCATTCTCTTTGTGGCTTGCTTTTACTGTTGCCTTTACTTTACTAATTTTAAACAGTAGTTTGATTAAGTTCATTGATTTTATTTATATCAATAGCATGGCACACGTGACAACAAAACTTAAAAATGACTCTTTGAAATAGCAAAACACTTGATTTTTGAGCCAATATTACAGAAGCAGGTCCTAAGACATTCTTTATTTTATTTACAGTTATTAAAGATAAACAAAGACATTTGTGCTGTTATTAAAGATAAATAAAGATATTTGTGATGTAATTATAATTTGCATTACAATCAAAGCAAAAAAACCAAAGAAGAAAGATAACTAATCAGGCTTGGTCGGGAAGCGGGTGCGATCGCACTCGATAATTGACCACGGAAATAATATTTAGTTGCAAAAAAACTGGCCAGATTTTTTAGTTGTTTTGAGAATATTTCAAAAACAAACAAAAAAGTGCAATAAAATCAACTGGACCGAAGAGAGACAGTTAGAAAAATAGCTTTTAACGCGAAAAAACTTTAAACAAAATAAATACCATTAGAGCAAATATTTTTGAAATGTTGCTTTTTTATAATTTTTTTTTTATAAAATTAAGCGACATTTTTTATATAAAGTAACAACTTACTATTAACAATTGTTTAATAAGGAAACAAATGTTCTTCGATTTATCAAAGAGTATATATAATTTTTATTTATATACTTATGTCTTATTTCCAGTGCTGGATTGAGGAGGTGGGAGGAGGGGGTTGAGGTAGAAGGGCTATAGCCCTGGGACTGTTAGGGGCCGCGAAATAGTCCTTTTTTATGTGCCACAGCATAAAAATGAATAAAAAAAATACTGAATGGTCCTCTTGCTAGAAATCTTAACGAAAACATAACAAAACTCAAATAATACAATTTTCAAAAATATTTCAACAGAATACTTTAAAACATTCGGTTAATTTTTTTTAAACCAATAGAATTAGTTGTTCGTAGATTTAGCAAGTTTTTTGAGTTCGCAAATATTCTTTTTTTATTTTTCCGCACAAAGATGTTTGAGAACATTCGAGTTTATGTATGCTTCCATGTATGTCCGTAAAACCAAGTATTTTAAAATTTACAATAAAATAATAAACTTAATTATTTTGTGGACAAACAAGGAAACATACATAAACTTAAATGCTCTCAAAATGACTAAAAAATCTGGCTGGTTTTTCACAACTAAATATTATTTCCGTGGTCATTTATCAAGTGAGATCGCACCCGCTTCCCTAAAGCCTGACTAATACTATACTATCTGCCATTTGAACAGTAGAGCATTTCTAGCAACATCAACAAGGAAAATTATGATGATAACAAATGTGGTATCAATAGTCCTTTTAAGATATCTTCTATTCAAGAAAAACAACAGCTCATATACCTTATAAAAATATTGCTTTTTAAGTTGTTGTTGTTTTTTTTTAAAAACACCTTTGCTTCAAACAAGACTGCAAGCAACCACTAATTAGAGTTGGAAGTTACTGGAAGAGAAAAGATGAAGATTGTAGGGCAAGATAACGATTGACAGATGACTTAAAAGATTGCAAATTATATAAATCAGAAAAACAAGATGAAGGAAGCAAGTTTAAAAGAACTGATGTTCGAGAAAAAAAACTAGATGAATAAGAGTTTTTGGAGAACTTAGGAACAGTAACAGAAAAAGGATGAGACTTAATTGAATGACGAGTAACATGAGAATGAATTTTAGTAGATGGCACAAGAGACGCTAACTCTTTAGAGCAGTGCCCATTACAGTATTTGTAGAAAAGAGAAAAAGAAGCAACATTATGACGATGTGATAATGGTCGAAGGTTGGCTGCAAGAGCCAACTATGTTTACAATGTGTTTTTGCACCTTGTCTAAAAAAGAAAGGGCTTCATTAGAAGATATGCCCCAGATATGGCAACAGTATTCCATACAAGGTCGGATTTGAGATTTATAGAGATAGAGAATGGAATCCAGAGTAAGAAAGTGTCAAGCATGATAAAGAGATGAAACCTTAGCAGATGCTAATTTTGCAACAAATTCGATATATGGTTTCCAAGAAAGATCGGAAGTAAGAGTTAATCCTAGAAGATGAAGGGTAGATGACTCATCGAGTACATTATTGTTTATAAATATAGGTAGGCCTAAATTATTGCAATTGGCTAGATTGGATTGGCTGAAAAAAATTGAATTTTATCTGAATTAAAGTTCACCAGCCAGTGAGCCCCATGCCGTAGCAGAAGTGAGAGCTTTTTCAAGCTCAAATGCCCCCAAAGAGCAATCAGAGAGTGTTGACTTCTTATCATGAAAAGAATAAATGGTAGTATCATCAGCAAACAATGCCACCTTTGGTGGGATAATATCTGGAAGATTGTTAATGTAAATTAAAAAGAGTATAGAGCCAAGGATTAAACCTTGAGGAACCCCTGAGGTTACAGAATAAGAAAAAGAGTGTTGTCTATCGAGGACAACTTTAATAATACGATTGGAAAAAAAAGATTCAATAATCTTAAAGATGTTACCAGATACACCGTAAGAAGAAAGCTTATGGAGAAGACCAGTATGCCAAACTTTATCATTGCTTTAGAAATGTCAAGAGCAATGGCCTTAACCTCTCCACCTTTATCTAATGCACGATAAAACCTATCGGTTATTACTGTTAGCAAATCAGCCATAGAACGAGAAGATGGAAATCCATATTGATGATCAGAAAGTTCGAAAGAGTAGTCTGTGGATTCAAACCTAGTTTCCTGACAAATGGGTGAATTCTTACGAATGTAAATGCCCAGGCCAAGCATGTGATTATTGGAGTCTTTATGAATTAAAGGAAGATAACCATCAACACTAAGATAACCATCAACACTAAGATAGATAACCATCAACACTATGATCACAAGATGAGACAGCCAAACTCAAATTAGTCTCACAAAGAGAAAGTAGGTCTGGTGAACTTTGCAAGAGATAAGTTTCAACAGAAGAAAAGTTACTTCAAAGACCACGAATATTAGTGAATGATAGGTTTAGCAAACTTGGTGATGTCAGTGGTTTTTGTGTTTTATAGTTTTTGTTATTTTATTCATTTTCAAATTTGTTAAAGAACTTGACTTGAAACATAGATAGTACTCAGTACACTGTTTATTAGCCCAAGCAATCGCCTCATTACAATGTGGCCTCCAATGTGGCCTTGGCAATGCACACCAAAAGTACAAACAGGGACACCATCCATGCGCAACATGTCACTGTTAATACTTTGATATTTTTCAGCTGTTGATGGAATCAGCCTCTCTGAGAGCTACCACAGAGTTCGGGAAACCCGACTACCAGCCGGCCTCAGAACCATAAAACTGAGTTTTAGAGCTTTACCCTCATTAGGAGATAATAGAATGAGTTGCCTAGTCATAAAGACACATGCAAAACCCATGTATCGAGACACAAGCAAAACCCATGTATCGAGTCAAGAAGATCCAGCATTCAACATCATAAACTGGAAACAATGTATTAAGAATACAGCTGCGCCTGCTTAATAGATGAAAAAGGGTGCGAGGCTGGTCAACAGATAGAACCTGTTTACCCCTTAAGTTATATAAACATTTTTTTTTTTAATTTAAAAGAAAAAAAAGTTCTGTTTATTTTTTGCTACCACCTTACATTACACCTTGCAATAAAAGTTTTCTACTAACAACAAATACTAACTAAAATTAATAAAAACTGCCACCATTTTTAACCATATTATTTGAGCAAACAAAATACACAAATTTTTGATTATCAGTTATTAATTTGTAAGTTAATTAGATTAAGGTCAGGTCAGGCTTAGGATCATCATAATAATCCTGCTTCTGGTAATAAGCAATCCGGTACTACCAACTGCTTATCTTACTGCTTTGTATGATTTTCCTTTCTAGGCAAAAGTAAGAGAATTAAACTGATTTAAAATATCTAATAAACAAAGTTAATAAAATTAACTTTGCAATGTTTCTACATGCAAGCTTATCAAAAAGAAATAAAACACCAAAAAACCCTAGCAATCTAATTTAACTTTTAATTAAATCATTTCATGTTCACTCTATCCAACATCTGATTACATTATATGCCCATCTTAATTGACACTCAATTAATGTATTCTATTGCCATCTTATTTAATTTTTGATTATAATATTTCAAGTATACTTTATTTAAAACTCAATTGAGTTATGAATTGAAGTATGTTTTCCTATATAAGCATATATTACAAATAGCGATTGAGACAAAAAAAATTCATACAAAAAACTGGCAAATTACTAGTAAATTATTGTAATTTACTGGTAATGCAACAAAAATTAACTAATTACAGATAACCCAGTATTACAATACCTAGTGTATATATAAATATAAATATATTTATATGCATATGAATGTGTGTGTATATATATATATATATATATATATATATATATATATATATATATATATATATATATATATATATATATATATATATATATATATATATATATATATATATATATATATATATCGGACAATGTCCAGCTAAAACCTCAGATTGTCCAATCAATTTACAAAGTAATCGGACATTTTGACCAACAGGAATTAAATTCTACAAAATAAAGCTTGGACAGAAATGGTGTGCAATCAAACACTATTGCTGACCACGCAAATGAATTTTTTTGTTTCCACAACAGTTCAGATTTTTTAATGATTTAAATGTTTTAGAAATGCGCTGAAAAAAGAAATGTTAAGTTAAACTTAAACTAGCAATAAAATTGAAAAAACTAAAGAATAAGCAAAAGAAAAAGAAAATAAATTAGCTTGAAAATAAAACTAAAAAAACTCAAAGTTAAAATTAACTTTTTATTACTTTTTTTTATTGCATTTGAAAAAAACTACTTTACAACATCTTTTAAAACATTTAATTAAAGTTACGCAAAACGCTTTTACAAATTAGGGGCTGTCCATAAAGGAAGTCACCACTTTTCAGACAATTTTTGAAACCCTCCTCCCCCCCCCTCCTTTGTCACCAGTTGTCCTTTTCAAAGAACAACATCCGGGATCCTCACATTTCACAATTTGCATGAAATATTGGCTGGTACGCACATGGGAGGCTAACCACTCCGGATCCTTCAATAAGAGATTCTTCAAAACAATGCAAAATTAAATTGAAACTATTTTATAAAAAAAAAATATATACGATGAAATATTCTAAATAATAAGGAAAGAAACTTCACGAGACTAACGTTAAATAAACTGAATAACATGACAAAGATTTCGATTGCATAACATGGTTCCTAAATTTTTAAAAATTATATTTTGAAAATTTGACCAGACACTGTCCAACCCAAGCAAGTTTTGATCAAACATTTTGTCTGGGACTTAATAAAAAATTAAATTGAGCCCTGTATATATAAATAAATAAATACTATATAGCCGTATTCATACACTTTAGCATTTAAAAATTTAAATCAACAGAATATATTAGTATCATGACAATCTAAATCATATATATATATATATATATATATATATATATATATATATATATATATATATATATATATATATATATATATATATATATAATATATATATATATATATATATATATATATATATGATTTAAATCATATATATATATATATATATATATATATATATATGATTTAAATCATATATATATATATATATATATATATATATATATATATATATATATATATATATATATATATATATATATATATATATATATATATATATATATATATATGATTTATATATATATATATATATATATATATATATATGGTTTAGATTGTCATGATACTAATATATTCTGTTGATTTAAATTTTTTAAATGCTAAAGTGTATGAATACGGCTATCTAGTATTATGCAACCTGTGTGTTTGTGTACGCTAATATTTAAACTAACAGTTTGTCAAAATAAAGACAAAATTACCTTCTACAAAAAATGGTCTCCTGCTTTTCTCCATCTTTGTTGTAATCAATGTAGTGTGCTGACACTTGTGCTGTTGTTGCTACAGGTTGCTTAATGGGTGCTCCATGAATAAGTTCCTATTAAAATAAAGCAAACCTAACAAGACATTAAATTGTATGATATATTTCAATACATTAACTTCTATTACATCATTATCATTGTCTATAATCTCTTAATTTATCACATATCAATATTTCAATTGGTGACATATTCAGTTTTTACACTGGTTTAATTGTTAAAGCTAATCAACCCAAACTCCAATCAATCTCAAACATTTTTTAAGAAAACTTCTTTTTAAAAAATTAAATTGAAATAATGAAAAAACATATTTTACTTTACAAATGCATCAGTTAGCTAACTAATTAAATGGAGACAATATGTGACAACCAATCAATAAATTTTAATAACAATCTTCACATTTCAAAGATATTCACAAATAATAAAAATTTTAATAATATAAAACTAAGTATACACATAATCATAAAAATAGCTGTTCATAAAATAAACATCAAATTTAAATCATAATCATAAGTTGGTAAGGCAACAAAAACAACACAATTTTTTAATTTAACTTATAATATAGAAATCATTCCAAATTATTATTTAATGTGTCGTTTAATATTTAATTTATTTTGTTTATAATATAAAATAAAATGTGTAGCAACCTATTGAGTACAAAAGCAGGTATATAGAACAATAAAAAAAAATTTAAATCTAAAAAAAACACACTCATACTCAGACTAAAAACTTAAATGTTTTAGTAGATTATTATTAGAACTTTTATCTCACAATCAAGAGATTTAAGGCTCAAATCCACCACACTATGTCTATGAAAGTTTTAAATAAAACCTCTGCATTAATGCATTAAGAAAAAAAAAATTCTGATTCCACTGTTGTGTACTCTGATACATTAATATGATGCATTTATAGAAGTTATAAATGTCTTTATTACACCTAAACTTAAGTTTGCACATGCACATTTACTTATGTCTGAATTTAGTAATGCATTCAATTGCATGCTTTAACATAATTTAGATATGCACCTTATACATGCCTTTAAAAAATTGAAAAAGAAAAAAGAAAAATTTCAAAAGTTGATAAAAAAACACAGAAAAAGATGTTGACAGCAACTAAAAAACCTTTTAAGAGAACAATAGGGTACTTTGCGGTTCTAAAAATAGATTTTATAAACTTTTCGCAAAGCTTTCTGGGATCAAATTTCGACCAAAAAATACGAAATGCCAAGAAACTTATGGCTGATTCAGAAGAAAATCTATATAAAAGTACAATAAAACAATGTTATTAGTATTTATTCTCATCAGATTCTTGCTAACTTGAAAATTTGTAGTACTAAAGATTCGATGACAAACTTGGAAAAAAGGACAAAAGAAAAATTAAGATTTGAAATTATATATTTAAACAAAAAGTTTACATCTTGAAGATTTTCTAGTCGTAAAAAATGAAAATAATACTAACATAGATACAAATAATATGTATAATCATTATAACAAAGAAATCTGTAAACTCTTCATTAGTTCTGATATAAATTCAGAATGCAGCATTGTTGATTTTAATACTGGAAATATCTATGATTTTATTGTTGATTTAGTCCTTTGTTATACGAACATTAAAAAGATGATTTTAGCTTATTAATGAATCTCAATTTTCTACTTTTATGACTTAGTTGGACAAGCAAAATATTAACTTTCATATTTTAGCTCAAGGAGTGTGAGGGTTGAAAAAAAGTTTTAATAGATATCTGTAAAAAAGCATAAGCATGTATCAAATTTTATATCATTATTGATGTACTGACTAACATTAGATGTGACTATATATCAGAAGCGTGGAATTATGGAGTATAATAATTTTCAAGATTCTTTTCTTATCTATAAAATTATAATTTATAATTCAAGACTTGTTCTACAAAATCAAGCAACTATTTACAGTGCACTATTTTTAAAAGTGAGAAAAGTTTACTAAAGAAGAGTTCATACAATTGAAAAAAATTGTTAAAAGCACGAGTTTATTTTGATCAATTTAATTAACATATGTATTTAGATTCAAATAAAAATCAACAATTCAATCAAAAGTTCAGATTATTTGATGAAGTAATGCATTATTTTTTTTCAGAGTTGAAATTTAAGCTTTCTTAAAAATTATGGATTAAAACTTATAAATATTTTGTAGACATATACTAATTTTACTTAGCTGCAACTTTTAAAAAGAAAATTATATACTTATTATTTAAATATATATTGAATATTTTTATTTTATAAAAATAATTTTAACAGTCAATGTTTAGAGAGCTAGTTAATATTTGACCTTGTCTTTTTTATTTATTTTATTACTCTTAGGTGCTTAAAAAGAAGGAGGGGTAGCTTGTTTAACTTTTGCAAAGTACATCCCCCTGAACATATTAAGATTCATTAAATTCATTTTTTTAATAAATTTCACTTACTGCCAAAGAAAACTATCTACTGATAAAAATAAAAACTTGGAGCAACAGGCTTTAAAATATATTGAAAACTGAATAACTTGTATTGTTGTTGTTATACATTTTTGAGTAGTTTGTTCAAATTTATAAATTTTATAAAATAAAAATTAAAAATGTATAATAAAATAAAGTATAATAAAAAATTAGATTAACTCAAAAAATATATTAAAAACCCTATAACATATATTTTTAACTTTGTTCACGTGTTTAATGATTTTAAAAATGTTTTAATATCAAACAACTAAAGTACTTCTGATTTTGCTCCACATTAACAAGATTGTAAAATAATTACTATTATAAATAATTGAACAAATTAAGGTTAAAATCATACAGAGATCTATAATCTCTCCAAAGAACACATATAGAAACAGTAAATATAATTTAAAAAAACTATTTTTAGTTAGAAAAATTTACATGCAAAATACAAAAATACTTTTTACTCAACCTAATAAAATATAGTAAAATACATAATAATAAAAAATAAAAAATGTTAACTGAATCAAGTACTATGAATAAGTATTTAAAGACTAATAATTTTATAGTATATAATATGCTAGCAATATAATGTTATAGTATTATGAAATAATTTTATAGTATTATGAAATAATTTTATAGTATTATAAAATATGTTGGCGAAATAATTTTATAGTAATATGAAATAATTTTACAGTATTATGAAATAATTTTATAGCATTAAATTAAAAAATCATAATAAATCAAAGTAATTTAAAATGAAAACTATGAGATAATAACAAATAACAATAAGATAAAAACTAATAATAAATTTCAAACTACCTTAACTGACTTCACCCTCAAATTAGAAGTTTTTTCCCCAAGAACAAAACTTATAGCATCCATCATGTTTGACTTTCCTAAATAAAAAAAATAAGCTTTTTAGAATTTATTTCCAAATAAATGATAAAACACTTAAATTATACTGTTTTTAAATTAATACTAAATACTAATAATTTTAAAAAATATTTTTAAAACTTTTACCTCTTGGAAGAACTTTCCCTTTTTTCCCCCCCCCCCCCCCCTTCCCTGCTTATGGAGAAATAGAGCTAGAGCATATCAAAAGAACAGCTTATGAGAATTTTAAAGTTATGTTTTTATAAATAATAAAACAATTATTCTTTGTTTAATAAAGTTAGATAAAAAATTATCATTGTTAAAATTAAACATAAAAACCATTGTCATAAAAATGGTGGTCAATAAAGTAATTTTTCTTTCTTTAAACTTTGACATATATGCTCTGGTTGAGCAGATTTCCATAAAATATAAGGGTTTTCTTTTTATTAATATTCCCTTTGAAGTTCTTTTGATCAAATTGCTTGTGAACTTGAATGTATAAAATAGTATATATAAAAAATGTATTTAACAGTTTATTACACTTTCAATTTTATATTGTTCAGTATCGAATGCATCAAACACATTTTAACTATTCAAATTGATTGTAATACAATCTTAAAATATTGTTTGCAGGAAATTTAACTGATACAATACCAACCACATGGAACTACATTCAATAACATGGAAATACTAACAGAGTCAAAAAAGGATCATCATTTAATAACCATCCTTAGTCAAAGCAACCCTTGTTCTATGAAAGCTACAAACTGATTAAATAAACTTAGTATCTACAGGCCACTAATGAAAGAGAATATAACAAAAACCACTTTAGACATTTTTTGAACAATGTTTTCCTTTTAAAAGATTTACTTAAAAATGAAAAAATTAGATTGGAAAGTGGAAAGTTTATTGCTGCATTCAAAACATTTGAAACAGTTAGACAGATAAGTTTTGGGAATGTCATCAATTTCTTTTGTAGAGATTATATTTTCTTTTGAGAGATCATACAAAGCCCATAAAAATTCCAAATTTCTTGATAAGCAAAACATTACTTAACAAAAACTTCCTCCAATTCTCTAAAAAAATGTATCAGGAGTAAGGCCACGCGGTTAAGGTTTTTTTTTAGTTCCGTTTTTTTCGATTCAATTTTAAGCTTAAACCTATCAGTTTAGTTTTTTTCGGTTTGGTTTGGTTCAGTTTGGTTTGGTTCAATTAAAAACAAAACATGGTTTTAGAGTTGATTATTTATATACATTTTACAACTTTAAAAAATAATCTTTTTAAAAACACCTAATTATAAATTATTTTTATTTTTTTTTTTTAATGTTTTCTTTTATGTAATTACTGATTTTATGTATAAACAATTTTCTCGACATTTTTAATCGCAATGTGGTTCTTCTGGCAGTTACGACATTACCGGCAGTAGAAAAAAACTCTCTCTGTTGCAGAAGTTGCTGATATACATAGGTATTTTCGTGCATAATCAGATAGAATTGGGTACTGCAACTTCATTATTTTTCACCATTCTAAAATATTTTTTTTTTGTCTGCTGTTTCGACTCCTAAATAATGTTTTTTCGTCTGCTGTTTTGGCTCCCAATTTAGTTGTCGTTGAAACGCTGCGTGCTGAAATATCTTGTTTTAGTCTTTTTTAAGGCCTATCGTGGTGATTAACATTAGTATTTTGATCGCTTTCATTGTCTATTTTACTGCTTTTGATTGGAAGTTTTTTTTTTTTTTTTCTTTTTCTTTTTCCTGTGTCAATAGTGCTTTTTTTATTTCATCAGTTTTTTTATATTCAATTAAATGCAGGCCTTTGTTATGTGGATCTAAAAAATTAGCATAACAATTAATCAGCTGCTCATCACCATTGAGAAAATATCTTTCCTGGTGTTCCCTTATCAACATTTTTTATAAATATTCTTGTTGCTTTGTCTTAATGATTTTGTTGGGCAAGTAGTTCTTGGTGCAAGGAATATAATTCAGGTATTACATCTTGAATTATTAATTTTTTATCAGCTGATAAACCTACTGAAATATTGTAAATTTTTTCAAGAAACGGTATGCTGTATTCTAATGTCTTCCGTCGATCATCTGAAGGACATGACCTTTCAAATTTTTCATTTGGTTTTGCAAGTGTTTTGATAGCTTCTGTGGCTTGGAGGACTGACATTTTGCACATGTACTCAGAATTCCATCATGTTGTACACAGAACAATCAATTTCCTAGCCTTAATTCCAAATTTTTCGCATTCACCTTGAAGCTTAGCAGTAGAGAGATAACTTCTATGTGTGTGTTGCTAAATCCGTGCAGGTTTTTATTGCTTTTGAAAGTTCAATTGAATTTTTGATCGCTTTAAGAATAACTAGCTGGATAGTGTGATCGTTGCAGCACAACTCTAAGTTGATTTCATCACTTTCTTTAGCAGCTAAAACAATGTTGCTGCCATTGTCATTAACTCAGGCTCTGTGCACTTCTTCATTTAAGTTCAAATTAGCAATAATAGAATCCAGGTTTACTGTGATTGCTACCCCTGTATGTCTACCAGTAAATGGTGTGCAAGCAATGAGAAAACTCAATAAATTAAAATCTAAATTAATGTAGTGAATTGTGAGACTCATGAAGGAATCATTGTTTTGACTTGTCCAGAGATCTGTTGTAAAACTAACTCCAGTCACATTTGGTAAACCTTTGACAAATTCTAGTTACAACCCTTCCTTAACCTTGTCATACAACATTGGAAGTTTATGACGTCTAAATGTTGATGCAGATTTGATAGTGAATTTATTATTTACTTCATCAAAAAATTCTTGAGCTCCTTTATTATTCAAAATTTCAAAAGGTAGACCTAGATTGCAGACAAACTTTTTTAAATCGAAGTCAAACCATGTTTTTGATTTTTTTAATATACTAATTTCAATTGTTGTTGTTTTGGCGTGTTTTGCTTTATCAAGCTTTCGTCTATTAGGTGACTCGATGGTTTTTAAAAGTTGTTCCTTCCAAGATGTTTCATGTTTGATTTTAACATGGTTGGTTATCGTTGATGTACTGCCACAGTTTATTTTGTAAGATTTAAAGCAAATTTTACATTCAGCTTTAAACTTGTTCAGTTTTTCAAATAATTTCCAAATTTCACTTTCTTTCGGCATCTTCAATTTGAATAAAGTATGAGTTGCTTGTATGAAAACCAGACTAAAAAAAATTAAATAAAATAAATTTGTATACCTTTTTGTTTGGTCAAGTAGCAGATAGCTAAGTTGATAACAAGAAGTATAAGATTAGAAAAGATTAAAATTAGATTAAAGACGAAGTAAAATTCACAAATGAATTTAATTGAAGGCTTATTCAAGTTTGAGCAAACAGTTTTGTTAATGAAAATGTTTAAAATTGTTTGTATAAATGTCAAACTATTATAAAAAACAAAATATATTTTTAACAGTAAAACATATTTGTTTTATTATTTATCTAAATTAAAAAGAAATGTTGTTATAATAAAAATATTATACAATATATTTGAATTTTAAAGTAAAATAAAAAATTACAAAAGTTTAGAAAAAAGTTCAATTTACTCACATGTTACAGTACAATGATATCATAACTATATTCCTTCGTGGTCCGCAACTTTTGCCATAGTTTTGCGGCACTATTTTGCACATTGTACATTTTGCACATTATTATTTGCACATTGCACATTTGCCAACTATTTTAGAGTTATGTTTACAGTCTCATCTTTTTGACTTATTTTTTTTCTGTGGTTTAACAATACTAAACTTTAATAAATAAAATATATTAAAAAAATCTATAAAGTTTTATGACTTTTAAAATTTTATATCGGTTTTTCAGGTTTTTTCAGTTCCAGTTTGGTTTAATATGTTAAATATTTTGAACCGGTTCGGTTCAATTCAGCTTTTTTAATTCGGTTTTCACCAAAGGAACGGTTCGGTTAACTGCGTGGCCTTAATCAGGAGCTTATTTAGAGCAAGCAAGTATCAAAATTAGTTTATATAGGCTATGGAAATAAGTGTTTGCAAACAAAAGTTGGATCATCCAAAGTAATGCAAAAAACAACCAATTCAATACTCATAATTAAAAAAAAAAGCTTTTTTAATGTAATATATTTATTTAGAACAATTATAGTATTTAGAACAATAATAGTAATTTTTCAGATGTTTTAAAATTCCCCTTGGATTAATAATTTTTTAGATTGATTTAAAATATTAGGATTGTGCATTGAAAATGAGCATTTTGTGTTGAGGCTCATGATTGGGCGGGTATATATCTGATCAGGCTGAAATAAATCTTACCTGAAAGCTAAAACCCTAGGCTGCAAACATCAGTCCAATTTTAACTGCTGGAGTGTAAAGACATTTTTATCCAGAACTTAAAATGTGGCTGATTTCATCCCTACAAAACTGTTTTTGCAGGGAATTCTTTTACATTAGTTACACCAAAAGATAGCAGCTGAGGCACATAGAACATTAGTGGAAACATATGACAACAATCCTCTTTCAGAAAAAACATGCAGAAGATAGTTTCAACAATACAAGGGAGGTGATTTAGACCTAGAAGAACATCCTTGAGCTGAGAAAAAGTTTGAAGATACCATATTGGAGGCATAACTTGATGAAGATTCATGCCGGACATAGGAAGAGCTTGCAGAAATTTTGGGAATTGATCAATCAACAGTTTTTAGATGCTTGAAACAACTAAGAATAATTCCAACTCAAGGAAATTTGGTGTTACAGTATACAGGCCTTCTCGTAAGAGGCGTGCGATCGGATGCTTTATATGACCACGCATAATTTCTTTGTTTTAACAACTTGACCACGGCTCTTTGCAAGTTTCGATAATTAGCGCGTTTAAAAATTGCGCTTAAAGAAAACAAAGCAAATGTAAATGCAATTTTTAATTTAATTAATTCCATAATTACAATAAAACTGCCACAAAATTTCCTGAGTACTTTAATGCAACTTAATAAAAGCAATCGTTGAAAAAAATATTCAGATTAGAGTTTAAGGCAAAAT